CATAAAATAATAAGAATAGACTTATCATAATCCATCTCTGAAATCCATACCTGAAATTTAAGAAGAGGACCACTTTTTTTTGGATTTATTCTCCATATGAAGACTCTTTTCAGTTTCCACTACAAAATGATCTGTCCACACAAATCCTGTTGAAGTCAAGCAGGAAAAAAAAAAAATTGTCATTTTAATCAACAGATTCAGCAGCAGTCCTCAGTAAGCTGGCATCACATTGTTGATGACATATAGCAGAATTTTTCTATTGACAAATGTCAAAATCGCACAAGAGTTGAGTGAACTTTTTGCCTGAAAATCATCCACTCAAGAACACTGAATAGCCTAGGGTTCAATGACATGCGAACTTTCCATTTATTCCTGTTGAAAATGTCATTTTGAGCTCTAAGACTCGTTGACGTTGTGCATGCTATTTTTCTGTCGTGTGACATTAGCTTTATAAAAAGGTAACAAGCTAACTTGAGTCATGAATTCTGCTTAGATGTGAACACTGAATAGGGTTCAATGACATGCAAACTTTTCATTTACTCCTGTCGAAAATGTAATTTTGAGCTGGAAGACTCATGGAGCGAGCTTTTTTTCTGCTGTGAGACGTTAGCTTTATAAAAAGGTAATAACTACGTCAATGGATAAAATGAGTCATGAATTCTGCTTAGATGTGAACACTGAATAATGTTCAATGACATGCAAACTTTTCATTTACTCCTGTTGAAAATGTCATTTCGAGCTCGAAGACTCGTGGAGCGAGCTATTTTTCTGCTGTATGATGTGAGCTTTATAAGGTAATAACTACGTCAGTGGATAAATTGAGTCATGAATTCTGTTTAGATGTGATAATGACTCGTTCTACCTGAACCAGACCAGATAAAAGCTTCTCTAATTAAAGCGTAACTGACGAATAAATGACTCAGCCTCAAGGGAGATCTATATTCAAAACAGACTGTCAAATTAGGTAGTCTTTAAAAATCCATGTGTGATAGGTTGTGTACTTATTTTAGTTATAACAATTTCAGGTATAGGCACTAGTTGAGGTACAGGTCTAGACCTATATCAAAATTCTTTTTGGGGCATTTAACCTAAAAAAATTTGGTGCACAGAAAAACTTTAGGTGGACCACATAAGACAAAGTAGCAAACTTTCATTACAAATATTACTGCCTCACTTCAAAACTTGAATCTGAAATTCTATGGCCAATGTTAAGATTTTAACCGACCAATTATTTTTTTGACATTTAAATGTGAAGTGTGTAATAGTACAGAAATGTACCTACACAAATACTTGTGTGCACCCACACAGTCAAAAATTAAGGTACACAGCTGCAACTTTGCACAGAGGTGCATACATTTTCGAGAGCCCTGTATAGTAAAAGCCTGTTGAACACCCAACAATGTCAGAGGTAACCACAGAAAAGGCAGAGAAAAACCACATAAGACTAACCCTTGGAAGGCAGGAAGTAAAGTGTAGTGTTTGAAAAGGAACTCTTGGAGACAGCTAGGTCAATGACCTTCCAGATATAAACAACGTCTTCTGTTTTTACAGCTCTATTTCTGTTGATGTTGCAAAGATCCTCCAGATATAAACATTTTCCAAGGTCACCTAGTCAAAATACAGTAAAAATTTGCATATACTGTACATAATTACATTAAGGTCATCAGCTCTATTTTAAAATCTTTCTGTATTCCCAAACATGACTGATCCTTTCTTTCCAAAACCCTTTCCATCAAATTTAATATCAGGGATAGAAATATGCGTAACATTTAATTTGCAAAAAAACAATTTGAGACTCAAAAAAGATGTTTGGCAAGCTACTACTAACAGAATAAAAGCTTTGTAATATGAATCACAGAGAACAAATTGTATTTTTAGAATTTGATCTACTTTCTCAGTTTCTATATATAAATCCTTGCAAAATGATGCATGGCAATAGGAACTCTTATCACCTATTTATTATCAACCCCAACTGGGTTATCAAATACGTTATAACGATTTTCCCCACCCTAATCTATTATCATTCCCTATAAATGCATTATCACCCTGGGATGCAACCTCCCAAGTATGGGCAATAAAAGGATTCACATGTATGTCCTAACTGCCATTACTGTATCAGTGTAACCTTTGTTGTTTTGCTGCAAGGCCGTTTCTATAGCAACAGAATCTGTCTCTATGACAACCTGGTGGGATAATTTGTGTGGTATAACTGCTATACACACTGCAATATTTTATGAAATAAACCATTCCGTTGTTCATTCATTCAATGAACTTCCAAAATGTCAAACGTGTAACAGTGTAAAAAATGTCAATCTTTTGTCGATGAAAAATTAAAAATGATGCAAACCAACTTTTATCTCTTGACCTAAAAACGGAGCTTTGGCTAAAACCTTGTCCTAATCTGCCTAAGTTCTGTGCCTAATGTATCAATTTAAAATCAGAAGCTACTTCAAAAGCTTTCCTAAAGTACACCCAGAAACCCATGTCACAAAGAAGTTAAGCCTTCACTTCAGTCAGACTCATTGTGGGCTGTTTTAAAGTTTTAAGAAAGGAAAAAAAAAATATGGTGATGTCTTATTAAACACAAAAACATGGTATGTAAATGAGAATAGCATGTAAACAACTGCATAATGTGAGGTCTTACAGAAATGCAACACATTGCACTACATAAAATAATATACATAATAAATCGAGTCTACAAGGAAAGTAGAATGGTTTTTCTTTTGAGAATGCAATGCTTATAAATGCAAAGCCATCAATTCCTTGCATATCTTTTTTATTAAAATATTGCATACTTCATTGTCACTAGGAATGGGAGGTTCTTTATCGCTGCTTAATACTCAATTAACACAAAATGAAATCATGTCTACCATATGGAATATCATATCTATTTAATCATTTCGCACACTACTGTGACTAGCCTACAACAATACCAGGAACAGAGTAATAATTGGGAAGAAATTACAATAACTGTATTGCCATAACTACATCAAGAAACGTGCAATTAACAGCCCTCAGATGAAAGAACCATCATCCTTTTAGCTGTTGCTATGGCAACGTTAATAATTAGAAGAATGATCAATACAGTCCTTTTAGGGTTAACAGTATTATGGACAATGAATCATCACACACAATATAGATCCGCTTGCAAAGAAACGGGCCATGATTTGAGGCCTGTGGGAACTTGTTGCTTCCCTCAAATGATTTCATCCCCAAATTGATGGCAGACAAATAAATTAACGGCAATGAAATGCCAGATTGAATGTGTCATCAGGCGACTCGCGAAGTCATTTATTTTCGTGTTACTCGGTTTATGATTCTGGCACGCGGTTTCTTGTCGAACATAAAATCGTTCAGCTGTGATCATAAAAAGGAAAAAAAAGAAATACTGCAAAATCTGACTTTATAAACTGATAAGCCAGGAAAAAATTGTCAAATTTTCTAGGGAAATGATCAAAATCATGTGTTCATAGAAAGAAGAAAATATCACAATACCACAAACACTGTGATTACAAACAGGAAAAAATTTGTCAACAATTTCATTTAAGTACTGCAATCAAATACATGTACTACCTCTGTTATGTGTGAATTATGAATCTGATCATTATTTCTAAGCGATGCAGGAAATAAGAATTATTCAAACAAAGGGACCAGAGAAGTCAGAGCGGGGATTGAACCAGGGACCTCTGTGCCAATCTCTGACCAAACTGATTGACATGCCAGTTGCTGAGGGTCTGTTTCTGACAGATTCCCAGAGACAGGTGGTAACAAAATCTGGCAGCTGTCCTACATCTTATATTTCCTCATCAGTAAACATCACCCAAAAGACACAACAAAGCACAAGGATCAACTTCAAGTGTTTTTCAATTACTATAAACATTTCCTTTGACGCATCTGCCTTCTACACGTAAATCCTGTGCTGATGGCGTCAAAAGCTGCTAGCTTTGACGAAATGTTGTTGTTGTTATGATTTAAGGGTATCTCCCGAACATAAAGAAAAAACGATTTTAAGCGAATCTTGAACGTTAAGTCTGCGTGACTTTTTAGTCGTATCCTCCTTGAAGCAGGGTGGTAAGAGCAGCGGAGGCGAGACAATGCCGTCTTTGTGGGGAGTTGGACGACATCTTTCTACAGCTGCACTGATTTTCCATTCATGGTGCCACTGGGATGGGAGCCCCCACAAAAGAACAAAGACCCCAAAATGTCCCATTCAAATGCTGACTCAGGACAAAAAAAACTCACATACACAGCCTCATCAAGAACTAAACAAAACCCAGTACTACTCCGTAGTGGATAGAGGCAGAATAAAACGTGTTTGATGTTCCTAGAGGTCTCAGATTACGCTAAAGTTTGACATGTAATATTTCCTGCTAGAGTTGGGACAAAGGTTTGCTTGGGGAATGGGGAAAATTCAAGATGGCGACCCCCAAAACAAAACCCCAAAACCCCGACTTTCTCAACTTTTCCCACCGATCTAGTGAGTTTTGAGCATCAAAAATGCGTTTGGGCGATGCCTTAGATCGGTGGTGACTACGTTAAACAGTGGGAAAGTTGTTCAAAGGAAATATTTGTCTGGAAAAGACTTTCTTAGCACACGTAACCCTCGTGCAACAACAATAACGAAAGTTGTGTCAGATCAAGGTTCGGGGCACAGTTCGCAACAACATAACATTGTTTTGAAGCTTATAACACATTCCTGTTTCAAACATATAACTGTTTTGGGCGATCTGTTGGAAGATCGGAGTAATCACGAAGATATTCTGAGGAAAATTCGGTCGTATAAAGTGGTGCGAGGGGCCAAGATTGGGGGTTTCGTCACTTGTAGCGACCGGACCAAAATAGCAACAGCCACACAACATGTTGCACTTCTACAAACTTAAGACCTCGCCTTTACCACTTCCTCAAACTTCGTAGTAACATCCTAAGAAGCAGAGGAACATCTCTGTCTTATTGTTAACATCTTAAGGTGTCGCGATCGCTGACATTTGAGTAGTACTCACAGAAAAAGTCTTGTTGATGTTCTTGATCTTACGACGGTTTTCGGCCCGGAGAGTCCCTTGCCGTCCGCTTGGCGCTACCTCGTCTCGATCCCGAGCAAATTCCTCGACACAACGTCGGCGAACTCTGGAAAGAAGATACACAAGCTGTGGACTTGCTATACAACATGAAAATGGCCATTTTGTCCTTGTTTTCCTTGTTTGTGGACAATGTTTGCAGCTTCGACGTTTGGTTTCTCCCCGGTCCGGAAGTAAGGTCTGGAAAAATCTCAAAAATTTCAGAGATTTGTCAGTTCGACCCCAGCGCCCGGCCTCTTTCCAACCTCGCCAAAGTCAAGAAAAGACGAAATTCTGAGGAAAAGTGCTCACCGTTCGGCGGCCAGGGGACCCGGGCAGGGCTCTGCGACTCGGCGGCGGCTGTTGTCGGCGGAAAGCAGGCGTTTTGGGGCGGTTTTGTGGCCGGTGAGGCCGCTGAGAGGAAAGAATGCGTGGAATGGAGGGTGGAATGCCAGGCCCGCGCCTGCCGAGCGACTGCGCACAGCCCGGCCGGGTGGGGCCACGCACGCAACTCACCTGGGGAGAATTCAACTCTTCAACACCACAGCTTCATCCTGCGCTTCCGAGCGACAGTCAGAACAGTTCAGAACCTGCAAAGATGTTTATAGACGTTGATTTTCAACACTTACTTCAATACGATGATTAAAATCACAAAAACATATTTTCAAAACACCATTTTATGTAATCTTTAATACATGGTTTTTCGCTCTTTGTCTTTGGCCGCCCTTGGTCCGCTTGTCCTATGGTGCGCACTAGCCAAACCAATAAAACAAACAAAAATAAAACGCTTTACAATTTGTTTATTAAAATCGTACTAATTAATAGTTTTAGAAACTTTTTCATTTTTTTTTAGAATTAACAGAGTTTTCATTTTATACCTTGCATTTGTAGAGCACATCTGTTCTTACACTGGAGAAATATTTCAACCCGGGCGTCAGGTAAGTAACGTTATGATATGAAAATATATTATTTTTCATCATTTTTCATATGTATTTAAAAAATATTGACAAGAAAGCTCGGCAACTTTGGAAATTTTGATGTAGAAAATTGCCTGCACTGAAAAAAAGGTCGGTCCCTCTATATTAAGTTCAAATGTTCTATGAACGTCCCACGTACTAGCATCTAGACAAGGACAAAAAGAAAAAAAGAACGAGAAGGAGACGAGAGGAAATTAAAAAAGTGGAACATTTCAATTATAAATGTCACATCCTGCTACTTTGATAATACTGAATAAAAATCCTAACACGTCAAAGTCTCCCAAATCGCTTAATTGCCGCCAATTGGTAGTCTAATATATATCTCTTTGATAAGCATACTCTTGTAAAAGATTGCCGCTAGAATTTGGGCTATTTCAGTTTTGTAAGCCGACATTTCTACAATCCCCGCTTCGCGTATTAAGCGTATCGGAACCTCAAAAGCGCTTCCGGAGAACAAAGTGGTGGCGCTTTGATCAGAAGCTGAATTCTCCCCGGTGACTTGATTAGCCGGCAGAGGTCGCCCCCTCCCTCCCGGCCGGAAGTGGCTGCGCGTCGATGGTTGCAGCAGGTGCGAAGGAAATGCCAAGAAAAATCTTTTCTAAAACTGAAACTACTTTTATGCGGTTTGCGTTTTTTTAAATTTCTACATACACATCTACCCCTTGTGGAATATCAGCGTAACTGGCAACGTTTTTTATTCGACAAAACTTGTAATTAATACTTCACCAATACTTCCTTGTAGCATAAAAGCCCGAATAAGAACAATAAAATATATTTCGTTTCAAGTGTAAAGGATTTGCCTTCAAAACAGAAACAGGAAAACAAAATATACACGTGTGTTGTGATTTGGAACTAATGGTTGAATAATCAAAACACAATCACGTTTTTTTTTTTAATGAAACCACTTTTCGAAACATAATATTCGCTTTGACTGGTCAGGCGTTGGTTATAGATGAATCATCGAGTTTGCGATGAGTTTTCACAACAATTACGCATCGATAACAAAGCTCTCCCGCCTTCAGCAAGGGTCGGTCCAATTTTCAATTTTCTACATGCATGATCATAGCTAGCTTCCGACCTGTATCGACTTCTCAGTAGCGCCGCAATGCGGCTAAATGGTATACTGCATTTCATTGGGCGTTTTATTCTCTTGCCGTGGAAGAAAACTTCAGAATCTATGTTCCAATGACGAAAAAAGATATTCAAGGATGTGACTATCGCAAACTTTTATGTCTTGTCATTGTTTTACAAATTTATGTGCTGTTGTTGTTGTTGTTTTGTTTTTTGTAACCACAACAATTTTACGCGTGCTGAAACAACATTAGGAAAGAGAAAGGCGTAACTTACGTCACAGCGTGAATTGAGGAAAGTTTTCGCACCTACTTCATGCTGTTTGACAGTGATTGTTATTTATCGGATTACCCGCTGGTTCTAACCGAATTTTCACAGCTTGTTGTCTGTGTTTGTTTTTTCATTCGCCTTGTGAGAATGATGTCTCACTTTGCGACAGTTTGTTTCGTTGTGAAGGTAAAACTAATGGGCGCTATGCAACATGTTTTGTCCAAGGAGTTTACAGATAAAAATCCTGTCCTGGCAACCAGCCTTTTCCCCTTCACAAAGCAAAGACAACTAGAAGGTAACATTTGCAAGGCAAATGCATAATGTTTACCTTTGCATATGGTTTGCTCTGTTAATTCTTTAAACACATTTATATATATGGTCAAACAGGAGTCTAAATCCCTCCTGCTATAAAATTGCAACATGATGTAACCCAACACTAGTTACCATGGTAACAGACACAACATTGGTTCAGGTCATTGAGGTCACTGTTCGGGGAAGAAGAAACTGAGCAAAAGCAATGTTTTCCTTCAGTAAATATAACCAATATTCCATCTCAACGTAGTAACTTCTAGCAAGGACGTTTTATCAAGAGGACTGGCATTAATTTCCTTTCAGCAACATTCCCTGTTTCTAGCCCGGTTACCATGCCTATCTCTCCGACTCGGGAGCTAAAATACTAGTAGGTCTGGTAACCAGGCTAACTTACTTCTGCCAAGCTTTTTATGCTTTCACAGTTGATTTGTGAATATTACACAGTAACTGCAGCTTACAAGAATATCAATGCTCCTGCAAAGATTACAAGTTTGGAAAGGGGAAATTGAATAAGGAAACAACATTTGGTGAGTCTGAAAATAACATACACATACCCAACACCACAACACAATTAATGAAAGTCAGCTTATTGAGGTTACTGTTCAAGACAAGTGCACGATTGCCACAAGAGGTACTAAGTACTGGGTTAAGGGTAAATAAATCACACTTGTAGGAATGACATGATTCTTTGACATCTCTGTTAACACATCAGGACATTTTCTTAAACCAAGGACATTTATTACTAGTATTAAACCTCCTTGCTTAAACTATCATCTACTACAAAAGACGTGTACATATGAGAAAACATCTCTGGTGTGAAACCAGGTTCATTATATTAATTTAGACCAATTTCAATTTTTTTTCATTGCATACATTGCATATGCATACCAGTAAAGGCACCCACTTTGATATTACGGTATTGAAGTTAATGCATTGTAATAAACCATTTTAAAACATTTCCTTTCAGGTATTTGTGATCATTGTGCCAAAGATACCAACTCACAATTAGAATTGAAGTACCGATGCTTGTATACAAAATATGTAAATAGGTAACTTACATTAGGTATGAATTCATGAACATCCATAATACTAGTAATTCATAATAAACACAGAATAACAGATTTTTGACAACCATTCACAATGAAGCATACATGAACAGAAAAATTATTTTAGATTATTTCATTTATGAAATCTGAATTCTTTTTTCTGTAGTCTAGAGAACATGCCGGCGAATACCAAACTTTATTGAAAATATTCAGTTTTATTTTGGCAAAAATATTTCACAAGTGTTTTACTAATTGGGTAGTTAAACACCCAATAATACATTGTACTTCTATCTTTGCCTCTTTGAACTTTCAAACCTATTTGATTTTAACCATTATTATTAGTAGCCTTTAATTTTGGCCACCGATTCTCTATTGCTTATAAGTTAGGCAGCAGGTAGAAGGTTGATAATATAAAGTCTCATTGATCAAAAATCTTTATCTATTCCTTCAAAAAACATTATTACTTTTAAATCTTTGTCATAATTCTATTGCAACCTGAGTCCCTTTATTCTGTACACCCCCATCCACTTTTTAAATAGAATGGTCCAAATATGATTTCTTAGCTCTAAGTTTTTTCTTTTTTTTACAATCCATCTAAACTTATCAAAATCATACAATTCCTGATTCCATACTTCAGTTTTTCAAGAATTCTTACATATTAGGAAAGATCAAATATCACAAAGAGAATTCGAGCTTGAAATATTAATATTAACATTTACAACTCTTAGATGCCATAAGAAAGCAGCAAATTTCAAATTCTATCAGCTATGGTCACATGATCATGTTTTCAATATTAACAGCCAATCACATGGCAGTGAAAATAACAACTCTAGTCTCATTGGCTATCGGCCATCTTTCAACAAACAACAAATTAGATATTCAAACCTAGAAGTGTCAGTGTTGGCATGAATTTTATCTTGAAAGTTCATCCGAGTCACATGTGTCATTCTTTGACAAAGAGTTGCACAGTCATAAATTTGGGTAAGTCTAATTTCTTATGATGGAAATCACACTTTAAACGTGCTTCATAATCAGTATTTTGTTGTGTTTCTGATGCACACAAAAATTAGTCTGACACCTCTAGAGTTGAAGAATCTAGAATAGATTCTTAAATAAAATAATTGACACTTGTTTGATTGTCACTACGGCTCACTTTTTCAACAAAGCACACCAGGTCACCCCTACACTTACATGTATACACCCAACACACTAAATATGTGTGTTGGGTTTCTTTTACATAATGTCTCAGGCAATGCCCAAAACTCTCCCACACACAGGAACATGGCTTAACATAACGATCAGAAATATACAGTAAAAAATATATTATAGAAAGTATTACAGGTTTAAAATTAGCCAGTCAATAAGTGGAATGGTTCAAAGAATAGAAAATATTAGCCTGGATGCCAGTCTTTTTAGTTTTTTTAGTACGTTCTCTTTGTTGCTTCTCTGGCAAAAAAACTGTGTCTACACATATTCTATCCGTCTGGTGATGATGTCACATAATTCAACCATTGTGCACAGGGCCTCTGCTGATTGGATGATACCAAATTAACTGCCACTCAAGTTTGCCCAATCATCACGCCTGTTCAAATTCTGAACAAACATTCAGAAAATAGTCAGCACCAAGTGAAACCCTGTACAAAGAGACCAGGTCTAGCAACATAGTAAACAGGGACAACAACAACAACAATATTCAAATGACAGACAAATACAATATGTGGAGGCCCAGTCTTTTTGCTAATGAATCGTAATCTCCAAGCAGATGTTTTGGTGGCCACAAAAGACAGTATCAAATTGGCCAGGTAGTATCCACTTGCCAAACAGTATCCATTGGTCAACTTCAGGGGTTAATGCACACTCCTCTGGCCAATGGGTACTGCCTAACCACCATATGATCTGCTTGAAGATTAAATGAATCAATGAAGAGAGCAAATTGGAACTAAAAGGCTGTCATCCAGGCTACGATGATTGTTTTATCGGTTTTTGAGACTCGGCGTGATCTCGACGATGAGCGGCTCCTTCCGCATGATGTCCTTGTTGCGCCAGTGTCGCTCGTGGTTGTGTCCGAGACTGCGCAGCTCCGTCATGGTGGAGACCAGGTGAGGGAAGACGTGAGGCTGCTGGGGGTAGTTCAGCTTACAGTAGGCGACCAGCGTGTTCAGGTACACGTCCTGGGCTCGCTGTACCGCCACCTGGTCCTGGACATACGGACGATCTAAAAAAACAGCATACACTGAGCTGAGCTGTGTCCAATTTCTTGTGTGGGAAATTACAGTTAAATTGACTTCAGAATGACTTCTACCAAGGACATTATACACAGTCCAACGTTGCTGAATAGGGACTAATCCTGAGCCCAGTCCTTCTGTGTATAATGTCCTTGCTTCTACCAACAACAGAGATGAACTTTCTGAATAAGATTCTACAAAAGGTGCATAGATGGTTGAAATTAAGTTTGGAATGATAATCTTAATGATTAACTATTGCAAATTCAGAACTCCAATGGCTATTTTCAAGTGGATAAATACAATATGTTAGATATACAGAGTCAAAGAAAATGACATACAAAAATCCCAAAAACTTAAAACGACAATTAATCAAAGAATGGAGGTTACTTATGGCTCTGTAACACCATGGTTGGTTTTCTAATATATTTTTTTGCATAAAACAAAACTTCAACACCAACAAAAAATATGATTCCACAAATAACTAAAATGATTGCCAGCATAGCCCAGAGTGTTCCAGCTGACCCTACCTGGTGATAAGACAATAACAGCGTGCAGCAGGTGGTATGTGTTTGTGTCCAGCCTGAGTTGGTGCACCGACTTGTAGAAGGGAAGGATGTTGTCCAAAAACTCCTTCGTATGGGCTGCACAAAGAACAAGTCATCAGAAAAACATTGGAAATATGCTAATTAGACAAATAAATCTCCTAGATACTTAACTTCTAGAAAAGGAAATGTTGTTTTGTGTCACTGTTTGTCCAGACAGAGTAGGTTGACAGCACATGGGTGAGGAAGATTGACAGGCAGAATGACAGGAAGTCTAAGGGTCAGGAAAGGGGGTTAACTTGAGAGTAGGTTGACAGCATGTGGCATGGGTGGAGGAAGATTGACAGGCAAGGGTTCAAAAGGTCAGACACAGGAAATAGGATGCGCTTGAAGGTCACAAAAGCCCAAACTACTTCTGGGAGTCTGAAATCTCAAATTTCTTGTATCCCTTTTGGTGTCTAATTAAAATTATCCTAGCTTAAAATTTAAGCTACAATACCGGTAATTTCAATTAGACACCATGTCTAAAGGGGATACAACAAGAAATTAGAGATTGAAGAAATAAAATTTTAGTGCAAATTTTACAAGACTTATCAGATGGACATTTACCTGAGATGAGGATGTTTTGTAGAATGTCCTCCCTTTCCACCTCCCCAGCCTGAACCATCTTTAACAACATGGCTTCCACAACTGAGCCCTACAGTAAGAGACAAAACACACATTTCAATTTGGGTTGACAGTTAATCGAATCAGTGTTCTAGCCAGACACTTTTTTCCGTCATCTCAATTTTGTTTGATGTAACATCATGTCGAATACCAAAAAGTGATCTGGGGGCAAGCTTCCCATGAAAATGTTGAAATCTTGACCCTCTGAAACACTATTTTCTATATTTTCCTAGGAAAATTTTGCTGCTAAACTAAGCTCATTTTATTATATCTCTTTCTATATATTCAAATGTCAATTTTTGTTCATCAAAGATGATGGATTGAGCAAAATCTTTGTCCGTCATGAGCAGAAAATTTCCATCAAATGACGGAAAGATGGATGCTAGCTGGAAACTGGGTAGAATTCAGTTTCATGTACCAACACAAAAAAAAAAAAAACACATAAAAATTGGACTTACTTCTTTGCAAGGAAGTTAAAGAAGCAATATAGAATGGTCCTGATTGCCAACAAACTAAGAAACACACAAACCTTAACTAGAGCTATCTGGTCTTCCTCGGAGAAATCCTTGAAGCCACGTAACGTCTTATCAAACTGGATGTGTTTCTCGATACCTGTGAGAATCGACAAGGCAAAATGGTGTGATTGTGTGTACAACTCTATAAATGTTGGTCTACAGCAATTTGGCTGCATGTACTATATTCTATCCACTAACAGACCAAATCTGACTATCCATCATAATTAGGGTTTGGCCAATGAGAGCATGGCAATTAGCAGTTCAACCAATGAGAGAGTGGCTGCATATGCATGTCAAACATGATTTTATTTTGCAGTTGTGTATTTTGACGTGGACAAGGCTATGAATCGGTCTATAGGATGGTCACAACCTGGTGTAAGAAAAAAGGTGTAGAAATATAGGTTTTAGACATACCTGCTGTTATGAGGTCAACAGCCTTGGCCTGATGCTCCTCTAGTGTGTTGGTCACCAGAGTGGCCTGTGGAAAAAAATATGTGCAATGAATGACTCTTTATCTTTTTTCTCGTGTTGGACAAAAGAATTTTGGATTGCAGTTCTTTTTTGAAGCGCTTAAAGAAGTTGAAGTCATAACTGCTAGAAGTGCCTCAAAAAGTTGAAACCTTAAATAACCGATGCCCAGAACTTGTATCCTAAGGTCTCAATGAGCATCCCTGTGTTTAGAAATCAGTATGACATATGTAGACCAAAGACAAGGCCTACCCACATACCAACTTGTTGTGTTATCCTGGATATAGTATAATGTATAATTTGGATGCACAGACAGAGAAACAGACATACCAAAATTATCACGGAGGTAAAAGTGAGGCATCGCCGAAAATGTAGACAGCTTTACTGTAACTGTAAGCTTCTTGTAAGTTGTGACTTACCCTAACTTCATCCCAGTTTTGGCCAGGAAGGTATAAGCTCTGTGCCCTGTCCAGTTCCTCGATCAGTATTTTCTGTTCAACAGTCAGCTGTAGACCGTCACTCTGAGCTGAGCTCGCTCCTCTACGCATCAAAGAGCCTCCTGCTCTATCCTGATTGGTCATCGCAGATCTTTGAAGATTGGTCGAGGCAGAAGAAGGGCCTGCCATGTCAGTGAATATTGAACTCGGGTTGGACACTGACTGGGCAGGGAAAGATCTTCTCTGATTGGCTGCTGACTGAGCTGCCCCGTTTAAATTCGAATCCCCCAACAGCCTGGACAGGATGGCTTGTCTTCCCATGATGTCTGGAGGCACCTGATTGGTCAACGGCTCAGGGCTTGGTCCGCTGCTTGGGGGCGGTGTGATGTTAGAATGTTGACTGCCCAGTGAGGACAACAGGGCTGATGCAGATGATGAGGAAGGCCATTCATTGGTTGGCGGCATTTGATTGACAGTTGATGGCTGCATATGATTGGTCCCTGCTTTAGTGTGAGTAGTAGCTTGGGCCAGAGACTTGTTTAAGTAAAAATTGGCACCAGTATTAATACCCTGACTCTGTTGTGTAGTGTTGTCACTAGCAAGACTGGCGGACATATTCTGAGGGGAGAGCATGGACAACATCTGCTGTGGTGCCAACGAGCCATTGTTAGAGAGGAGTTGGGCAACAAACGCAGGAGACACCTGCACAGCTGATGGTCCACCCTCCCCATCCTTGGGCGGGGCACCCAAGTACACGTTGACTTGATTGACAAACACAGGCTGCTGCTGATTGGTTGACTCATTAGTGGGCAGGGCCACTGGATTTCTATGAGGCTGCCATCCAGGGAGGTTGGTGTTCACAGCAGCTGGTGCACCCATGGACCCAGTCAGGAGTTGACTCAAGGGGTTCTGTTTCTCAAATAGTGGTCTCTGATTGGTTGAGATTTGAGGTTGCTGATTGGTTGTTGAGGTGTCAAGGCACTCATTGGCTACAGTGCAGCCTGGAGGCTGATTGGTGATAGCTGCAGGATTTTGAGCTTTCTGATTGGATGTTGAAGTTGGAACTGGAGAATTTCCCTGTTTTTCCTGTTTGGGGCCACCTTTTGATCTTCTCCATAAGAACTTGGACTTGCACTGTGCTTCTGACAGCAGGCCTGAAATAAAGTCAGACAAACCATGATTTTAAAGTGCCCTTTTCTTGTATCATTTAAGCTTCATGAGAGTCACCAAATACTAATTTTGAAATCAAGAATTTAGAAAATGATGGAGCTACAACATGCATATAGAAGACAATAAACAAAACAAGAAATCCAACTCAGATGCTCAAAACAATACCTCCATAACTTTAACTCTCTCTTTGCTGTCTAACTCAATAACCAATACAAAATTGGTGCCAAACGGCTACCTCACCATCCTGGAGGTTAATTAAGCACTGCAGTTCCATCAAACAAGCTGCTAGGGGGCCAAACTTGTACCACTTACTCCCAGTCCCAAGAGCTTTTCACTAGCCCAAAATCATCGACCTGGCACTTCCATAGAATTTGACCTCAAACTTTGAAGCTCTGCTGCAGTACTGTAGGTACCTGCTAGAGGGCCCAATGTCGAACTTCACCTTCATCTTTGGGAACCCTACCCATACTAGAACTTACATTCAGGTCTCATGCCCATCATCTTACACCTCCTGAGGCGACAGTCAGGACACTTCCTCCTCATGTACAGGTCCATCTCACAACTGCCGCCGTTCGGACACTTCTTCACGTGGCCTCTCAGGAACGCTCGACGGAAAAACCCTACAACAAAACAAAGGAGAGGGTTCTCAAGCGTAATCAAGTGACCTTTAAATAGATCAAGTGACCTTTAAATAGATTAAACAAGCACTTGAACTAGTTTTACATGAAGGGCTTAAAATTTGTTGTTGGGAATAGATTAAAAGTATAGCCACAAATTTTTGGTGTGCAACATATCTTTTTGCCTCTCTCTAAACTTTGATTTTGAAATTCTATACAGCTAACTTAGATTTTTGTACAGTAACAGTACAGTAACAAGACAGTAATACATGCACAACAAATTATTATAATCTTTTTCTGATGTTGTACACAAGTAAACAATGTCATGTAGTACCCAACACAAATCTCAAAAATGAGGTTCACAGCTCGGCTGCACACTAGTGCATATACGCTCTCAGTATTTTGAGCCCTGCACACGCGTTAGCCTGACTAAATCGCGCTCCTGGCGGCCGGCCGCCCCGAAGTTGGGATGGAGTCATTAACCTCTGGCCGAGAGCTTGTGTAACACAGACTAGCACACGCGTGACCCGAAACATGGGACCTCAGCTGGAGTGTGTATCTGAGCGCGTGTTTGAGTGGCTTAGCAGTCACTCGACAAGCCCGCAGAATACTAATTTGCACAGACTCAGACATTTGTGGATTGAAAGTCAGAAGTTCAAGTTACAAATCTACTGATTGGGGTTCGTTGCAGACTGTCTCAGTATTCTAGGACAGCCTGGAGCATGTCAAAACAACATTTTCTCCCAAAACAAAATTTGTTCCAAAATCCCAGCAAAGAAGCTAGTTATCCATATTCCATTGAGTTATAACGGGGGATGGTCATAACTTTTCTCAGGCCTCAGACCTAATGAAATATTTAGATCTTGCGTGATGGTGTCTACAATTCTTTCTTTATTGTGCAAGGGAAACAACACAAGCTGTCTGCTGTCAAGGAGGTCATGTAACAAGAAAAAAACACCTGTAAAAACAACGAGCACTACCAGATGTTGCTGTGAACAATGATTTTCTCCCTTTGGGACAGACTGAACCCAACCATATCCGTAAACCTGATCTAAGGGCAGTGCAGAAACACATGTATACACATGGACACACATACTCACATACCAAAAACATTTTTTCTGAAGGTAAATGCTAAAATCTAAGAAAAAATAATGAAACACTATATAAAAAATTGACTCACCTTTACACCCCTCACAGCTGAAAGCTCCATAGTGGTAACCCGTGGCCTTGTCCCCACAAATGGTACACTCCAAACCGAGCTTCCCCCTCTCTTCTTCAGAGGGACCTGGACCCCTCTCCACCACAGTGGACTCTTCCTGGTCTTCGAAAACATCAGACAGCTTCACGATGTCCCCCATTGTGTTTTGCCTGGAATGGGGGTGAGAGAAGTGATCCACGTGTGTCAGGTTGTTCTATCTTGACTCGGATTGTTCTTCTACCGTATACTAATATTCCTATCTCTACATATAAGATAGTGCTTCTAAATGCTTAATTCACCATCTCTCGCCAGACCCTGCTGGTCGTAGTCTGGTGAAGCCTGCTGCTCTGACCTGGGTTCTCTATATGCAGGCAAATTGAGGATTAGGCAAATTGTACTTACCATGAAGGATAATCCCAATTATACCTCACACGAACTATTTGGGTATATCATTTACCTTATGCAGTATTTCCTATGCTTATCGCTAGGTGGCGCACGTGTACAAAGCTCTAATCGCAAAGCATCACGGGATATCATGACGTAATGACATTGTTCGCCGCCATTTGACGACGTGCGAGAAAGAGTCTGTGCTGTTCACCATGGGTGGGCATTTTCAGCTACTTGGGAGCTGAAGAACAGCAAGGGTGGGAAGATATACCCAAATAGTTCGTGTGAGGTATAATTGGGATTATCCTTCATGGTAAGTACAATTTGCCTAATCCTCAATTATACCTGCACACTCCCTATTTGGGTATATCATTTACCTTATGCAGACTTCAGAGCCGTGGACAGCACAGCCTGGCCAAACGTGTGTTGGTTGTTGTCCCTCCTGTAGTACTTCAGGAAGGTAGACTCTCGTGACCAGTCCGCTGCATTCATGATGCTATGTAGAGACACCCCAGCAGCTGTAGCAGCTGAAGTGGATGCTCCTCGAGTGGAATGAGCTGAGAAAGTTGCTGTGTCAACACCTGCCGTGCCTAACACTGACTTAACCCACCTGGCCAGGGTCGCAGAACCAACTGGCCTGTGTGGTCTGCTGAACGATATGAACAACTTCTGCTCCCCCCCCCTTCTTTCCGAAGGGAAGAAGTCCGCCTTAGATATTCTTTCAGGTATGTGAAGGCACACAAGCGCCTGTCCTGCGGGAAGGCCGCCCAAAAACACTTTCTGGCAGGTTTCCCTGGTCTAGAAGTTTCAGCAGGGTAGGAATTGTCCAAGAAAACACCGTTTCTACATTTTTTTTTTTTTTTTTATGAATCTCAAGTCAAGCGCCGCTAAAGTCTGACCTCTGTCGGCTGACACCAATGCCGCTAGTGTTACCAACTTATGAAACAGCTGTTTCAAACTAAGACTATTAGCTTGGCAACAATGCAGAAGGTACTCTAGGACCCGACTGACGTCCCATGTTGAAACATATCTTGGACAAGGAGGACGTTTGTGAAACAGACCTCTCATCAGTTTGGACACTAGAGGGTGACTACCCACATTACAATGGTCTACTGGTAAGTGTACAGACGAGATCGCAGAACGAGCCACCCCAATTGACATACAATGTATAGCAGTAGTTCTGTCGGAACATCCATTCAAGATATTCTACTACGCTCTCTATAGAGCCGCAAACTGGATCAATCTTCCTTCTATCACACCAGCTGGCCCACTGAGCCCATGCTGACTGATACTGTCTAGAAGTGCTTTCTCTCCAAGCCGAGAGGATGAGGTCTGAAGCCCCTGCCGAAAGGCCCCGACCCTGCAACTGTCGCCTGATCTTGGCCACGCGGCAAGCATCAGATCTGGCAACAGCGGATGGGGTCTCCTGTTGTGCGGCAGGAACAGCAGATCCCAGCTCTGTGGCAGGAGAACCGGACTCTCGAACAACATGTTCAACACCTTGGGGTACCAAGCCTGAGACTCCCAAACTGGAGGTATCAAAATCACTATTGCTACGTCTGACTGGACTTTCCTCAGTACCTTGAACACTAGGCTGAAGCGGGGAAAGGCATGCGCTAGCCCCAGGTTGCCTCAGTGAATGTTTAGGCCATCCACCGACATGGCCTCTGGTTCTGGGCGCCAAGAGACATACTCCTTCAGCTGAGCGTTCATACGAGAAGCAAACAGATCTACTGTCAATGCATTGCCTGTCCAATTGTTCAATGACAGGAAAAACTGAGCGGTTCAGTTGCCACTCTACCTTGTCCAGAAAAAACCGGCGAACACTTGTCCGCTAGGGTGTTTGTCAATCCGGGAACGTGAGTTGCAGACAACGTCAGGCCTCTTTCCAGGGCCCACGACCACATCTCCAGGGCCAAGGCTGCCAAATCTGGCGACCTTGTTCCCCCCACGTGATTCACATATGCAACGGCTGTTGCGTTGTCCAGCCTTAGCAGATCATGCTGAGTATCTGCGCTCACAAAGCTTCTTAGCGCCAGGGAGGCCGCTTTCAATTCTAGTCAGTTGGTCACAGTGCATGCGCGCTTCTGTTTGCGACCAGCGCCCGCCTGTCTCCTGACCATAACAATGCGCGCCCCATCCTTCCAGTGAGGCATCCGTGCAAATTGTCAGGTTTGACGGAACAAAGACTTTACTTCGCGCACATGACCGATCCACCACTGTAGATCTTTTACTGCATCTGGGGTTAGACTGACTAAAGAGACAAAATTCTCTCGGCTTCTTTATGTCGAAAATTGAGAAGCTGTTGCAGAGCCCGGAAAAGTAAGGGCCTTGGAAGAATGGCTTGCTTGGCGGACTCTAACAGCCCCACCACGCTGGCTAGCTGTCTGATTCCTATCACCTCCTGTTCTAGAAGTGATAGGCAAGAACTCACTACCTTGTCTAACTTGTCTTCGGTTAGGTAAATTGTCAAAGTACGAGAATCGAGAACAAGGCCTAGGAAAATCGCTACCTGAGACGGTACCAACCGCGACTTCTCCAGGTTGAGAACAAACCGAGTTGCTCTAGAAGCTCTCTGCCTATAGCAATGTGCTCTAAGCATTGTTCCCTCGACCTTGCAATGATCGGTAAGTCGTCTAAGAAACTACTACTAGTAATCCAGGGGTCTCCCCAAGCAATGAAACAAGGGCGCTGCGCCTCTCAAAAAATTTTCAAATGTAGGGTCTTCTCTTCGTACTTTTGCTTGTGTTAGCTTGGCTAATTCGTGAAATTTTGCTGATTTGGGGGCCAAGCGGCGTCACTATGCCCATCGGTATTGTCTGACAAAAGTTGTAAAAAGGCGCTATTTGAATAACAATAGTCCACTTTGCTACACAAAATCAATGTGTTTGGTAAAATGTTGACACCCTGCTGGCATTTGAAAATCCTATTTTCATGTAAACAACGCTAATTTCTCCATGAAATACAGCCCAAACAGTCAGAGAATAGATTTTTAGGGGCTAGTATATGGCGATCGTAACGTGGAAAATCCCCTTTCAAAATTCGGCAACATGGAAGAAAAATAACTCACGAAAATCTTCCCTTCAAATGAGGAATCAGTGCTCCAACAAATTAAACATATAGAGAAGAACATTTCTTCTTTGTTGTGACCTTGTATTCAATCCATTTTTACGAGTTTTGGACACGTTTTCGTGGCCTTGAACATAGAAATGTGTAGCGCTCGGCACGAGGTCGGCCATCTTGTTTTCTTCAAATCTCCCGATATCTCGCGAGATTCAGTGAGACTTGGGCAAAAACACTGCAGTTTTGACCAAAACCGCTAGATGGCTAGGGTAGAATTACAGGTTTGTTGTTGTAGGGACGAAAAATGTAACCCTTTTAGTTTGAGGAGTACTTGTTGTAGCTATAGTTAAACTTTGAACGGTTGGACTTAGAAGTGCTCGAAGGGGCTGACTTATAAGCCTTACTCAAAGTGCGTCTAGCCTAATCGGCTGAATTAACCTTACTCCAAAAAGGTGTCTCCAAATTAAGAAGGGGAAGAATCTGAAGTTCCCGAGCAGGTCGCTACATTTTTGAGCGAGGACTTTACTCACAAATTTGGAGTTTAACTGCTGCCAACAACTACTCTACTAAAAGGTTAGCAGCCATGAGCATCTTATCCTGGCAATCACTAAAATTCTTATCAGTGTTTACGGTATCATGCTTGATCATATTAGCCACTACTGGGTCTAGAATCGGCGCCCGAAGTGCTAATTCAACATTAGGTGGAGTGGGAAAAGTTTTCCTTCCTCTCTTCACTAAGGGTTCGGACCATCCTCTAAACCCGATGCTGTTTGCAAAGCGATAGAATCGTCTTTGGTGTTTTTTGGGATCAACTTCCTCTACTATGACTCAGTATAGACGTGAAATGTGTGGCAAGGACATGAAACAAGATATGAAACATGTCTTCAAGACCGATTTTCCCACCGGTTCCTCCAAATACTTATTTGAAGTTATTATCGTAGGGATTATCAAACGACAAGGAGTTACCTTCGTCAGAGTCAGAAAAAGGTGATCTTTTCCCTCCTCCGAACACTCTTCCACTTCAGAACCTGGATGCTCTCGCCGGAACCGACTACACCGGCTCGGCTGGTCGACGCTACCGCCCCGTCAACGTCCCGAGGTTGACGGGATGAACTGGACGCCTGAGGAAGTCCCAAGCTGGAACTGATCCACTGAAGAAAAGAGGCAGCGTCGAATCCAGGCGGGAAGGGTGTTTCTGATGGAGGTGGGGGTGGAGGAGACTATTCCCCACCAAGCTTCGGCACGGTCGGGGAGCCCAACTCCTCCGAGTCCGGAGGAAATTTAGGCCGGGGCGGCGGCAGCTCCGCGCCGTCTCCTTCCTTGACCGATGTTCCCGGTGCCAACGCCGAAGGGGCATTTCGCTCCCAAGTGGCGGATGTTCCCGGTGCCAACGCCGATGGGGCATTTCGCTCCCAAACGGCGGAATGAGGTTGGAGTTCTTCTCTTTTTCCTCCGAACCTCCAGCTGTAGGAGCGGGGACTTTTCGTTCACCCGACTCCTCTTCCTCCTGTCCGGAGGCTTGTGCAGACACGCCTGTCTTTTCCACGGCCAGGAATTTTTCCTGACTAGCGTTGGGAAACAGGCCGCTTCTCTTGCCGTTACGACCCGTCTGGTCCTCCGAAAGGCTACCTGAATCGCCCTCGTGGGCAGAAGACTTCGTTTTATCCTCCTTTTTGGGCCTAACGCCGAAAGAAAATCCGAAAAAATAAGGAGTAGGGAAACGAACGTGCACCCCTCTGCGAACGCACAAGGAAAATGGCGGCGAACAATGTCATTACGTCATGATATCCCGTGATGCTTTGCGATTAGAGCTTTGTACACGTGCGCCACCTAGCGATAAGCATAGGAAATACTGCATAAGGTAAATGATATACCCAAATAGGGAGTGTGCAGGTATAATTAATATTAATAGTGCTCATTAAAATTAACCACTTGTTACAATGTGAATAGCTTGTCTTTATAAGTGCTAAACCACATATAGCTGAAGGCTCCAAACACAATACATATCACGCAGTGAAGGACCCCTACTCTTTTTGATATTAGGGGGGCCCGCATGCCCTTTTCCGTAGAGCATAATCGGCCGTTTTGATTCTACACAGATCGTAGACGGACCGCTCTAATTCAACGTAGAGCGTAATTGGTGCATTTTGTGTAGAGCGTATTCGCCGTTTTAATTCAACGTAATGCGTTGTAGCCACTTGGAATTTATCGTAAAGCGTAATCGAGTTCGTCAATCATGTTCCCAGAACCTCCATTTAATGTCCTATCCGAGGGACATCCCTAACTGGATAGCTCAATATCCACCTGAATGAAGTGAGGAAATACGAGATTTGCTGCCTTGGCATAACTTGTTTTAGCCTGCAAAGAAAGTATAAATTTGGTATACTACTACATATATAAGTTTGGAAAGATTTGACATCAAACAGATCATTTTAGGCATATACTAGTAGGTTTCTTATAAGACAACCTTAAATACATTTTACCTGACTAAGGCTAACGTTACATAACTCCTCAGCTACTAACTAAAGGTCACCGAAACACCTGTTTCATTCACATGGTCACATGGTGGGTAAACAGTCAGAATGAAAGTCCAAATTTCGTGTTGGACACTACATAATTTACCATTCAACATGGCTTAAAAAAGTTCAAATAGTTATTACAATTCTAAACTCCTATTTTTGTTTTTAAAAATTAAACAGTACTTAAGTATAAAAACAAAAATCGAAATAAGCCAAAGCCATACAACTCATTGGCTGAAGAAAAGGATTATATAATTAACGAGTTGCTGACAGTTATACAGGCTATTCCATGTGAACCATGATAAGACAGTTATCCTTACTTTACATGTAACATTACATATAATAAAAAAAGGGTGGGGCCTTTTTGAAGATATTAAACCTCCTTGCCAAGAAGATAAACTTCTTTCAAATTACAAGCAGGTTATTTGGATTTCCCCACAAACTAACAGATACAGATACTGTACCACTGTAAAGTCAGAAAACTCGAGTATACAGGTGTGAAATTATACACAGTAACCGTAATGTCTTCTTGTTGTTGTCTGTTTTCTTAATCTTAGTGTTTGCGTCTCGTGTTTCAAGATGACTCATATAAGGTCCACGATTCAGCAATGTCATCCTTAGTTCTTACTTTCATGATAAATATCTCACCAAAATTCCTGTTCTAAGGAAAAATATACACACATCCTGGTGCCACTATTGACTCTGTTTATCATAATATTATCAAATTATGATTTTAGACTTCACAACATAATACAGGACCTTGTACCTCACTCATCCGTATCTTACACGTTTACTGGTCTTTTATGTTACCCCCAAAATCGGCATGTTTTTAAACATAGATCAAGCTCTGTAGGATCCACAGAAGAAGAGAATTTGTTGTTAGCTCGCTGAAAATGTAGCCAAACGTTTTGGTTGTACGGATGATCCGCCATTTTTGATCAGCCCCAAAAGCTCAGGCTACCTCGAGGATGGAAAGGTCAAATTTTCAGGAGAACGTTCGGCCGAACGATGTACAAAATCAAGTACAAGATGGCGGTCATACTTACCGCGAGGTCTGTGGTACAAGCGGAGACAACTATCCGTCCGTTTTTTGGTGGAAAAATAGAGATTTGTACGAGAAAAAGACGAAAATGTCGGCAGACGCTGGCGCCCAACCTGTTTGTCGTGTGGGCCAACCGTGAGGTCGATGACCGGAGGTTTACACATGGAACGGTCTATTACCAAAGAGGGGGGAGGAACTCAACACTCTGATTTACCCTAATCGTAGCAGAATGAAAATAAATTAAATGTACACTGCTTTACATGTAAGTAATTGTGGATTTGTTTTAAAATTTGAATGCGTCACAATTGTAGCTCAATGTGTCATAGACCGCAATATTTCAGTATGGTAGGAAATTTGTACACCCCTATATTTCGTCATGTAGTAGACCATACATACTAGTAGTATACTAGTATATGCGTCATCAGTGACCTAAAGGTGTGTCTCAGGATCTGGTATAACCTCACCCCAAAATAGTTGTCAATGACCTAAAGTTCACTTTTACAGTTCAATAGCAGTAATAGATCTATGTGGTTAATAATAGTGTTTTCAGTTTCAATGCACTGCACCTTTCTTCTACATGTACACTTTGTTTCAGAAACTTTTGTAACAAAAAAAAAGTTTTGCTGTTCACAATCTTGCAAAACTTTTATTACCTCCATGAAAAATGGAGGTATGTTTCTGGCGTGTCTGTCTGTCTGTGTGTTTGTTTCCGCACATTTGTAGCCAGCATAACTTTTGAACCTTTGGATGGATTGTAATGATATTTGGTACCGGTACTCCTTTAGTGGTAAATGCTGGAAATTTCAAACTTGGGACGTGTTTAAGTTGTTTGAAAATATTCCCCGAAAAACGCTTCCTCACCTTCCGGTATTTCGTAGGTCCAGACATTTTGCCAAACGCCGTGCAGAAAGCTTCAAACAGTCGATACTGACAGTGGCCTTCTTCTGTGGTCTTGCCTGCCATTATAGCTAATACATTAGTGCAGTCCTGCAGTCAAATGCTAGGGACCGCTTTTGATCCATGCACTTCACGCTCGTAATGAAATGCATACTACACACGGTTGCAGTCTACCGCCGTTGAAGTTGAACTCCCACCGCGTAAAACTCATAACAGGTGGGAGTCAAACGGCTTTTTATCTATCGATAAGAAAGTTAACCGACTGTTGATACATTTAATAGCCAAGATTAGCTGATTTTGCGACTTATATAGTAGTAGCGTTACACTGTGCACTGTGCGTGTTGAAGTGGCCGCTTTGAGTCGGTTGAACCATTGCTAGTCGAACCCACTTGAACGTCAAAACACGAAAATTCGGTCTAGAAGCCAAGGAGAGGGGCACACATCAGTGTTTTAAGAGTCCACAGCTTACTGGACGCTGTTTGTGGCTAAAACAGAGGGAGACAACCCTGGAAGTGCGAGTCAGTACCAGGGCCAGACCCGGGGGCTAGGCCGGTTCGTATCCGGCCTGCTAGCGGCAATCTGACCGGCCAACGTATTATACAGCGCGGCGTGTCTGAGACTGTTGGGAGTCTGTCGTCGCGGCCTTTTGAGCCTGGGAGAGGGGAACATCTCAGTGTTTTGTTAGTCCACAATTTACCGGACGATGTTTGTGGCTTTAACCGTGATAAAAACAGAAGAGCGCACCATGGAAGTGCCCGTCAGTACCAGGGCCAGTCCCCGGGGTCTAAGCCGGTTCGGACGGCCCGCTGATCTGAGTGTCAATCCAACGGTGCGGTACGGAGCGGTGTATACTCGGGCCTGCCTGCCCGCGACTGTTGGATTCCAGCGGGCTGAATGAACCGCCCTAGCCCCACAGTATTCTCCAGGGTCGAGGAAAGTCACCATCTTTCTACCTTTGCTTGTAAAATGATCTAAAAATGTACCGCTGAGCGCCGAAGTTCCCCGTAGATCAACACCGGCTCCCTACCTAGCTACAACCGCCCGGCAACTTTTGCGACCAAGCCCACCGAAAGCACCCCCAAAACTACGCCTTCTCACAAGCAGTTACGAGAAGTTTATGTCATGATATTGAGTTATTTGTGACAGAAAGTAGGCGATTCCACCTCAAAATTTGTTGTAATTCGGCGATACGAGCTGTTGTAGTAGCGCTGAGTTTGTCAACATAGCCACTTCCGGTTCGTCACTCGGTGTCTGAAAAATGATGCATTCTGCAAACGGCGAAACCGCGAGAGCCCGAAAAAATCGGATAAAACTTCAAAGTACGCCCTTTCTCTTCCGTGGCGATTAAATACCATTTTAAATGTACAACAGAACCGTTGAAAACTTACTGAAAATGCTCAGCATTTTCTAGAAAAGTTGACATTTATAGGTCGATCAAGTATCAAACGTAAAACCCCAAAGCACCCTAATTTCGGGCAGTTGGAAACCGGAAGTGCCGATAAAGACAGTCGCTTGTAATGTAAGGATCCAGCCCACTCGCGGATTTGGGCGATTTGGGAATTGCCAAAATCACTGGGCTCGTAAGGGGTTTTCAACTTTTTACAGAATTTTGCATATTATGACTTTGTAAATGAGTTTACAAGCCGAAAACATATCATTTTATTTTCTGTGGCATATAAGTGAAATAATAAGTTACAAGTTACGAAAATCTATGAGTTTTTTTACGCTAGAAATATATTTTACTGTGTAATTGAGTTTCCTTTTTATACCTCTACGGTTCAATTCTGCTCATCAAATATGTACACAAATTCAAAGAATTGCTCATTTTACACATTATATAGCTGTGTTTTTGTAAACCTAACACTTTTTAAAATGTTTTGCACCTATTTTCAAACGGCAACCTGGCGATAATATGACTTACTTGACTATATATATAGACTCAATACCTTACCCAAAATGCCCTTGTTTTCACTTTGATTGACAGAATTAATGTCTGACGTCTCCTCATCGCCGCCATCTTGTAGAATAATGACCTTGAGGTGCGTTCTTCTTCTCAAGGACAGTTTTCTGCAAGGCGCGTATGTTCCATATCCCTGCCATGTTGTACATTGATTCTATGTAATCTCCAAGCAGATATTGGGAGTCTAAACCAAACTCTCACTCTATACAACCAAGGTAATCTCCAAGCAGATCCTACAATGGCAAGGCAGTATCTATTGGCCAGGGGAGTGTCCATTAGCCATCTCCAAGCAGATCCTACGGTGGCAAGGCAGTATCCATTGGCCAGAGGAGTGTCCATTAGCCATCTCCAAGCAGATCCTACGGTGGCAAGGCAGTATCCATTGGCCAGGGGAGTGTCCATTTGCCACCACTTCGGGACAATGGATACTGCCTTGCCACCGTATGATCTGCTTGGAGATTAAACCAGGCAGGTTTGACAAAGTAAGAATTCTGGTATCAGAACCGGATTTCTTTGCACGAGGGATAGCAAATGACCACTAGGGTAGGTGATATAATGTTGCCCATAGTCCTTTTTATTTTATACTACTTCAGCAATACTGGTATTGTAAGACTCATTCAAAACAGAAAAAGATTGTATGGAATCCATATAACAGGAAAAGTAAAACTCTTTATTAGTATGTAAGCCATACATTCGGTTGGTATAAAAAGTGGCCTAGTCTGGAAGGCGGAAAAGTCTGTACTGTCTAGTCATCCCGGCCGGACTGGACCAACTTTTCCACCAACCTTACATTGGTTTATTGCTTTACAAAGCATTAAAATCTCATTTGTGAGAACAAAGGCTTTTCCTACACCATTGATAACATATAAATATCATTTTAGAATTTTGTTCTTTTTCAAAATAAACATTGGGTAACCTAACAATGTATAACTTGTTCACTGTCCTGAGTCTCTGAATTTGGGATAAACCAAGGATTCTATTTTTAAAACACTTTCCTTTTTTTTTCAGATGTGTATTTGATTCACCTCCCCAAAATAGAGTAATACATTTTCAAAACGCTTTTTTTGCCTCAGCATAATAAACTACATGTATGTACACTTGTACTAAAGGCGTATTGCAACTTTTTTTTAAATTTCTTTCACTGCAGTCTATCAACAAATGCAGCATGATACTTAACCATCAAAAACAAGTTAGTTGTTACAATATATGGCCTTTACAAAGTTCACAAAGAATCATCATCTTTGGCACATAATACACAGTGTCATTACAAAATCACATATTGACAAAAGTACAACTCTTTCATTATTTGACAAGAAGGGCTGCACTAGCTAGTCTGAAGCTTGGTTCACACAACATAGGAAGAAAAGGACTTTCTTCAACCGTTGGGGCCAAAATGTGTCTTTCATTGAACATTTTGCAGTTGATTCAGAACCCAAAATCTTTTTTTTTTGTGGACAAATCAGAAAAAAATGGACAGGGCAAATCTGAGAACCAACAAATTAAATTGGTGTGGCATAAAAAAGGAATGGCATGAAAATGAAACTGTAGTGCTGTTATCTGTCCTCAGGAATGTTGATAGATATTCAGGTGTTCTTAAGAAGTCTTAGGGTACCCAGTGGAATCATGAGTACCCAGTGGAATCATAAAGAAGGAATGGCATGAAAATGAAAGTGTAGGACTGCTATCTGTCCTCAGCAATGTTGATAGATATTCATGTGTTCTTGAGAAGTCTTAGGGTACCCAGTGGAATCATGAGAATTGATGTTATAACATAAAGAAGGAATGGCATGAAAATGAAAGTGTAGGACTGCTATCTGTCCTCAGGAATGTTGACGGACACCCCAAACTGTCGACTCAGCATGCGGAGCTGTTCCTCGTACATCACGTTCCTCTTCACAGCCTCACGGTAGTTGTACTTCAGGTCCTCTATCTCCTCAAAGAATGCCGGGTCAAAGTTTGCCAGCTCTCCTCTCAGCTGAGGAATAAAAAAGAGCCACATCAACATGACTTTTTCACCAACGTATCAACATGACTTGTGTCTAGCCTTTGTATCTTCAAACTTAAAGATGTACTGACCAGTACACATACATAGACATAAATGGATGACTTGGATAGATTGACATTATTCCTGATACCTAATCATTTATCTCATACAAATTTGGTGCCAAAAGGGGACCTTAGAAAGGGAAGGTTAAACTGAAACAATTTCTTAGCTTACATAAGTTGTGATCATTTTAAGCTTACTGAAAACATTACCACACAAATTTGCAGTCTATTTTGACACCTTAGGCCACACCAATTTAACTTGACAGGGAAAAAAAAAAGAAAAATGGGCCTAGGCATCTTATGAGAGCATCCAATGCTACAATGGGAGCCAGGAAGTCGACATACCGGGCTGAATTTAAATTTAAACAGTAAATTTTGAACTTTTAATCACACCAGCATATTGAAACATGGAAAAACTGTTAACAATTAGAGAGAAAAGGCCTTTCGTCCATTATTATGGCTCCTGTCTGTCCTACCTTGTCTATCTCCCTCTCCTGTTTGTCCTTGTCCAGCTGGAGTGACTTAATCTCTGTACTCAGCTCCACGTTCTCTGCCATCAACTTGTCATAATTTCTCAGCTTCTCCAACATGTCATCCGTGTGCTTGGTAAATAAAACAAATAATAAAAGACACATGTGGCCATAATGTCTTGTACATTGTAGTACACAACTATAGTATACACATCAACTGTATGAAGATGATGACTTTATTTCACTTTTGTGAAGCTGTTTTCAATACAAGCTAAGTGATTTTAACTGTAATTTTTTCATTACAATTCTGTATTGCAAGCCTTTTCTTCTATGATGCCTTTTTTTCACACCACATCTAAAACATCTTGTTTCTGACATTTCCATGTTTTTGTTCCATCTGCATGTGAATTTTCAGTTCTATCCTAATATATTTGTTGCCATTTCTATTAATACTGGTATATTCTCCTTACCACATCGTCCCTGCCCCCAGCCATGGGGTTCTGTTGTCTCCTCATCACCTGTAGGTCATGTACCAACTCTGCCTTCTCACTCTCCAGTCTCTCACATTTTAGTCTGGGGAAACACAAACAGTTCAAACCTTTAGACTGAAGTAGCAGTTTGGTTACCAATTCTCTACGGTTACAGGGTTAGGCAGCTAGGAAATGTTTAAAGTGATTTGAGTTTATTTCCCAAAGATATGTTTTGGCATTATAACCATTCGGTACACTGTTTGATAACTTAGTCTAGGATTGGATACTATTAAGAAGAATCAGAAAAACATAGTCAAGGAGTTATTCATAGAGCAAACTCGATGAAAGGAAGAAAAAAAACAGCATAAAAAGAAAAGTATATATCATAATGTAATAATAATTGTTGTTGTGGCTTTTAATTTAGACATTAACCACAAAAGTGGTATCAGGAGTTTTGTATATTAGATACTCTGTAAGCTGTTTCTCCAGTTCTTGAGCAGTTTGCTGTAAAATGTATTTTACTTTCATGGTGGTTTTATTTTGTATGAGGGAAAAGGAGGTTTTCATGGTGTTTGAAGTTCATGGTTCAAACAATTCAGTACAGTAGAAATACACGTACACAATGTCATGTACAAAACACAAAATTCACTGTATTTCGTGGTAAGAGGTCACACCGAAAATAAAACCACTGCAAACATTTCACAATATACAGTATCCCCACCTGGTCTGCTGCAGTTCCCTGAAGATGTCCGGTGCCTTGTCCGACCCTGCAGGGAACCTCTCCAGGATGTCCAGCTTCTCCTGAAGGTCATCCCGCTCGTGGGACAGCTGCTGTTCCCTCTCCGCAGCCTCCCGCAGCAGCACCTTCACATCCTGCAGCATCTGGTTCTGTGGCAGGGAAAATGGACATGGAAATGTCAATAGAAATGCCCATTTCATTTGTAACATGAAAAATGGACATGGTTCATGCAGTAGCTGATTCTGTGACATGGAAAATGGACATGAAAATGTGACTTTCACAATTCATGCAGCATCTGGTTCTGTGACATGGACAATAAACAGTCATAGGAAATGTGACTTTCACAGTTCATGCATCAACTGGGTCTGTGACATGGAAAATAAAAAAAAATGTATCTCCAACAGGTTTCAGCTTAGTGGAAGAATATCTTGCCACTGGTTGTAATAAAAAGGACAGATACTACTACCGGTATAAAATGTATGTACATTATATATCAGGTCTAACCAAGGAGGTTTAAAAAGAGTAAAATCCTTAGCAAGCTTTTTTTGTAAGAACAAATTACGAGAAGTAAAACAAAACAAAATGTTCTGTCATAAGGATTCATCCACTAGCAATGAGTTTAATGAGTTACACTGTGCAATACCCTGGATTTCAGACTGAGGAAAGAAGACAAACTTTAAGACGCCCAGCTCAGAGTCAAACCTTCTTCATGATCTCCTCCTCCTTCTCCTTCATCTTACTCTCGTACATCCTGGTCACCACGATGGACTTCCAGCTCTTACTGTCCATCCCCTCCAACTGGGGACCCTTAGTCTCCACTAGGGTCAGTCTCTGTTTGGTCTGAACAAAAATGCAACACATTAAGAAAACAGATCATAGACTTCTACTCATGCGACTTCACTATGGAGGGGCAACTTGCAATGGTGTGTTTTGCCCTCCTTTCCACGAGTATACTTGGGGAGAATTCTAGTGACAATAAAAAATACTGAGTAGAATGGACTTGGCAAAAACAGTTTTTAAAAACATTCCATTCACAAAAAGAATGGCATCTTGTACTGAGGGCTTGACAAAGTTGTCACACAAAATTTTCCACAGTACATTGATTTCTGACACTTGATTTGAAGCAGTCTGATATGTACCGAGTCCCCTATAAAAAAAAAAGGCCATCACACGTGGTTGACCATGGCATCCTAACCTTCCCCAGACCATGGTTGAGAGTTAGTCTTTTCGCATGGTGGAAGGATGGTTGGGAGCAAAGTTGTGGGAAGGTCCTGAACATGGGACAAGAGCTTCAGGTACATGTACTAATACTAAGAACCATCCACTCACATCATCCAGCTCCTTCCCCAGCTTCTCATTCTGCAGCTCCAGGTTCCTCCTGGCCAGCCTGACTCTCTCCGACTCGTCACGTTCCTTCTTCAGGTCGCTGCGCAATCTCTCGTAGTCCGCCATGATCTTCTGCATGCCCTTCTGACTGCTCTCGTATCGCATGCTCAACGTTCCACCCATCTGCAGACGCAACTTCTCAAGTTGGTCCTGAGAAAAAGATTTGGATTGTTTTTTAATCACTGACAAGAAACCTAGTGGATTCGGCTTATTATGATAATAAGACGTATACTGTGAAACTTGTGTGGATGATTTTATTTTCGTGGTTTTTACGGTGACTTCTCCATTGCAAATTTATGACAATGCAAATATGTCTTCCTTGTATGACTAATGTACTACAGAAAGTCAGGTATACTGTAAATCATTAACCTTTTGCGGTTGTTTTATTTTTGTGGTTGTACTACAGGGGACTTCTCCATTACAACTTCACGACACTACAAATATGCCTTCCTTGCATGACTACTGAACTACAGAATTGTTTCAACTAGAAATCTAAAACATTGTGAAAACCTCCCTACCACAAAATTAAACCATTACAAAGGTTTTACAATTCACAGTGAAAAATGAAATCTGCAGTCTCACTCTAAGTTTATCGTTCTCCAGTTCCAGGTCGGTGATCCGGGAGTTGGACACGACGCCCGGCGCTTTCTTCAGCTCCTCGTTCTCCTTCTGCACGCGCTCCACCACCTTCTTCATCAGCCCGATGGTTTTCTCCAGCTCAGGGACAGACTTCCCGCTCCTGCCGGACAGACCGCCACGACTGTTCCCGTCTACCTTACGTTGCAGGTCACTTCTCTCCTGCTTCAACACATCGATGTACTTCTGCAGGTCTTCTACTCTGTCCTGGAGTTACAAAAAAACAAACACATTTAGAAGTGTTTTTTGGCTCTACTCTTAACTTAAGGGAGTGAATGAGAAATACATGCACGTACAATAGAACTATGTGTATTGACTTTATTCATGGGAGTTCAATGGTGGAAGATCTACTAATATTAAGAGCAGGACTTCAATATGCCCTTCATATTTCTTAGAACACTCTAGAAGATAAGGTCTTATATATAAGATGCATGAAATGCAGCATCAATACGTAAGGATGGACATATTAAAGGAAAAGTCACACAGATTTAAAAGTCTATGTACCTTAAGCCTGGGCACGTCTCTCTTGGCCTGTTCAGCCTCTATCTTCAGCTCCATGTTTTCTTCAGTCAGCTGTAGAACTCTCCTTCTCAGCTCCTCATCACCTCTGTTGTCTGTACTCACACCAGGGATCTGTGGTACAACAAATGTCCAGACTATGCATGATGTACAAAATGACTAATAAACTGGTGGATGTACCAACTACGGAGTACCTAAAACAAGCTCAGAAAAGAACAAGTGACCGGTAACTGTACCTCTGCAGCTCGTCTAGCAGTCATGTCCCGCTCCAGACTTTCCACCCTCCCCTGGAGATACCTGTTTCGCATCATGACTTCTTCTAGTTTAGGGTCAGGGTTTTCAACAAGCTGTCTTCTCAGGCTGGCAACCTGTAAGGAGAACACAAGACATCTTCAAGAAACCCCAGATCTCTAATTATGAAAAGTACAAATCTTCTAACATGACCCCCCATGTGTCACTGAACAAATCATCAAAGTGAAATTGTTTTTACCTCATCTTCTAGCTCATAGTTTTTCTGTTTGAGCTGGTCCAAGGAAGGATCCCTGGGGGTGTACAGCTCCCCTCCCTTCCCTCGGGTCTGCTTCTGTAGAGTGGCTCGGTCTTTGTCAATTCTGCAAGTCGAGACAAAAACAAGAGTAACAATGGTGATGAAGAAATATCACTAATTTGACACAGGGTAAATAAAATCTTTTCAAATGTGCAAGAATGATTTGAAAAATATTTCTTTAAAGGCTAGACAAAACAATCCTAATTCTGTATATAATTCAATTTTGTAATTTGGAGACTTGCTTTATGTGCTAAAAATGGTATCCGACTTAGGGCTGTGTACCGGATACGCAGTACCCATACTGTACCGGAAAAATTGATTAGGTATAGGTCCAAAATACCTAATCCCTCAGTACCGGTACCGTACCTAAACAATTTCACACCGATTTTATGCCTATTTGTGACCTCAAATGAGTAAATAGCTAGTCTCCCATGGGTCCCAGTGAAAGGACAGTGTGTTCATGAAAACAAAAACATCTTACTTTTGCCTGTATCTTATCTGAGCATTCTCCATAAATTAACATTAAACCTTAACTATCAAGTTTATTAATGTTTTCCTTGTTATTGAAGGAGTTCAGAAGAGCATGTAAACTGGTCGAATTGTTCAGGTACAGGTTCAGGTCCGGACCTGTACCTAAACCTGTGTACCTGTACCTGTACCTGTACCTAAAATTTGTTTAGGTACACAGCTGTAGTATCCGTATACATAGTGGTAGTTTCCCACCTAGAGTTGATGTCTCTCAGTGTTGACACCTGTTTCTGTAGCTTGTCGTTCTCTGCGTCCTTCTCCGACAGTTTCTGTTTGAGAGCGTCCACTCTGCGCTGCCACTTCTTCCCCTCCTCCCACTTAGCAAGCTCTTCTGCTGGGTTCTAGAGCATGAGAGAGAGAGAACATCAGTGTATTTACCGAAGGAAAACATTGTTTTTGTTCAGTTTCCTCTTCTTCTTCTTCGTCTTCTCCAAACCAATAATTATATATAAGGTCAATGACCGTCAGCTGAACCAGATGGCTGTTGCAATTTTTTGGCAGGAGGGATTTAGACTCCTGTCACCATGAATGTTGTTGAGTAAGAATTAACAGTCTGAGAGAGGACCATACATGTATGTGAAGGTAAACATTATGCATTTGGTTTGCAAATGTTACCTTTCTGGTTCACAATATTTCTGCATTGATTTTTGTGCTTTTTTCGGCAGATAAAATAATCTGTTTGATTTTGTCTTCGTGTTTGAAACACCCTTTTGAATATTTGAGTTGAATGCAAGTTAAAAGAATACAAAGCAGAAATTCTCAAAACCAATTATACCAGGAGGGACAAATATAAAATATTTATACCGTAACAGTAATATGTACTGCATATAACATACATATTGATTATTGTGTTTTCCATTACCGGTATTGAAAATATATGTACTCATGAGCTACATGGTAAGCATCATATTCTTTTAATCTAATACAGCTGTCAAAATATGATATGTGGCACAATACTAACTGCAACTAAACAATCTATTAAACTTGTCCCAACTAGACAATGCTTTACAATCCCTATTCCCTTGTGTACCGGGTTTTGGTAGCTCTTTGACACACTCAGGTGTTTAAAACAGGTGTCCTAGTCTATTTGAAGAGAGGTAGAAGCTATCAGTCTTGTTGACACCAAGTGTTGAGATACTCAAAGCCTATTGGCTGATTTAAAAGATATTGTCTCTACATCTAGTCTAACAGGTTGAACAAGTGGACAGAAGGATAATTAGGGTTTACCCAAACCATCTCTAGATCAATATCTACTGTATTCAGAAGCAGAATCAACCCTTTTATAAGACAATGTCTCAATGGCATAATTTGTGCAATCAATACAAATTACATGATGAAAAAAGCAATGAATGACTTTCCATTTGAAAATTTTGATGTCTGCGAAATTCTTGCAAGGTGCCATTGTATATGGTGAATCAAAATATTAATTAGTTTAAACAAGGATTTCTAAACCTCCTTGGTTTAAACTGCATTCTATTTTATGGCATATGGCACAAAGCCACTTTTTAAAGTCAAATCCTTAAATACATGTATATGCTATAGATAGTTTAAGCTAGACCTAAAACCACATTGTTATACATGGCAGACTTCTACAAAGCAAAGAAAAACAGAACATTTTCAAACAGCTTCAAAAAACAATCTATCAATTGCTGAACGATCGTAATAGAATTTCGCTAAAGGTCAAGTCAGATCTGTTTTATCTGAAGTCTACAGTAAAAACAAACAGTTGTTGAGAGCACGTCATATACAGTATTTACCTTGCGCAGGTGTGGCAGTTATAATAACCTGAATGGGGCGGTCTATTGTTCACTGTGTTTACATGGTAACATGAACCAACAAAGGTCAGGGGTCAGCAACTGTATTGACTGACGGCATCAGAATGTAGCGGAGTTTTTCGTTTTTCTTTGTATACACACTTTGTACAAAAAATGGTTATAGTATTCTGGTTGGTCTTGGTGAAAATATTTCACTGGGACTTTTTTATGTTGTCTAATGTTTTGACAACATTTGTGAATTCAAACTTATATCTATAAGAAAGGAAGTCAAACATATAAAAGCATTATCACCTACACAGTCAGACAGCCCATACCCACCTTGTCGTCCCTCCTGGCCGTGGCTGGTCTGCCCGGTCGTTCCTTCTCCCTCTGTAGCTGGTCCTGGAGAGACTTGACCTTGGCCTTCAGCTCCTCCACTTCTGTCTGCTTAGCATCAAGGTCAACAGCTTTCTACACAAGTCAAGAGAAAAAAAGAACTCCAGGCTTAAAATTTGTTCCAAATCTGACACAGAACCAAAAGGCGGGCAACAAAATAAGACAAATAACAACATAATTCCAGATAAATGAGAGTTGTTTTAAATTTGAAATTTTTGCTACAGCCACAAGGAACAGTTTTTGAAGCCCTGTTCCTTATGTTGTACAGTAAATCAGTATTTCCTATAGTGTATGAAATAAATCTTGACCCTCCCACTTTTCATTTGCTCCATCCAGTAGGCAAGGTTAGACTTATGGTTACTAGTAGTATTCTTGACTTACACAATATTAAAGTTCTAGGTTTGAATCTCTTGCAGGCCTTAAGAGAAGTAAGACACCATACCTGGTTTTTGACAGACAGTCTCTTGCTCTTGCCTCTAAGTTCCTCTGCCTCACTCTCTAACTTGTCTCTGTCAGCCTTCGCTTTCTTCAAGGCTGCCTCCTTCTTAGCCAAGTCCTATACATCATTCAAAAAGTATGGAAAACAGTTATCTACATCAATATGTATATCCTATTTACAACACATTGGTCAGAATAACTCCTCCCCAACTAGTAATATCTACTGAAAATATGGCTGACTTTGGTACTCATAGTATACTTTGGTTTTCAAACTCAAAAATGTGGTACTACACTTTTAGTTACTTTTCTCACCTCTTTAACTTCATTGACCTCCTGATTCAGAGCATTCTCCCTGGTTTTCCTTTTCTTCACGTCTTTCTTCAGGGCATCCAAGCGACCTTGTAACTCCTCAACCCTCTCCTGTAAGGTATTATCAAAAGTCAATGACAATACTTGAAACTGAAAAATGCAATCACCATATTGAATTGATTGGAAATATAACACTAGACAAAATACTGATGGATACCAGTGGCATAATACTAAAAGCTGTAATTAACTTAAAGTTGATAAATTGAATTCATTCTAAATGTACAATGTAAGGTATAGGGGCAGTGGGTTTTTAATCCATTCATTCTATAAATTAGTACATTCTACTTGAGATCTAAAGTTATATCATTAGCAAGACATTGACCTGTAGTTCTTTAGTTTTCCTGTCCACAATCTTCTGCACATTGATGTCCTTCTCAGCCTCCACAGCATGAGCCTTCACACTCTCCTGAGCCGTGGACACCATGTCAGCACGCAGCTCCATCAGGGCTTTACTCAGGGCCTGGCAGGGGGAAACACAAGGAGTTGGGGTTAAAACAATGAACATTGACAGTTTCCTTCAAGAAGCTTAGAGCATGTTGAGGTGTTTCATCAATTAAGACCAGTCCATCACAGCAAACAGTACAGTTCCAAAACTTTACAAACAAAAATTTAGTAAATTTATTTTATCTTATAGTATGTATTTTGTATCTTAATCATCGTCTTTATACCATGTACACTTTGTTCTCTTATTACTTACATGTACATGTCACTATCCAGGATTTGATGTGACTTAAATGTAGAGTCATTTATTTTGTAGCAGGGGAGACAACTAGTATCTATAGGTTTTGACTACCACCATTCTGTAAACACAAAAGGACTTAGTTTGAGGTTAGTAGCTGTATTCCAGCATTGTAGAATGCATTATCAGTTGACTGTATGTCTTAAACTGTAACAGGCTGTATTTTCTTCTACCTTCACACATTGTGCTAAATCTAGTAGAACATAGGGTGTTACCATCAATTGAAAGAATTTATTTATTCTTCATAGCTTGTAAAACCAGAAGGTAATGCTATTCAACACGGTCAAATGACTAATAAACTGGTGGACGTACCAACCAATAAGTATCTGATACCAGCCCAGAAAAGAACAAGAAACAGTCATGCCTTCAAATATCAGAGTTATCAACCAAGAATTTAGGTGTTCAAAAATTTGTGTCTCCCAAGAACTATCGTAGGAGACTGGAACTTGTTGCCACCAAGCACAGTTGGAGCATCATCACTAGAAAGCTTTAAACAACTCCTGCAATTAAATGTGCAAAGATTGAGTGTAACAAGTCGTTCGGTGTGATATATATAGCTAGCTGCTGCCGCGCTGAGTGCCTGAGAAGCTGGTGTGTTACGCTGAATGGCGGTTATACAGATACAGAAATGCTGCCCACCTTGTGTTGTTTCTCCTTGAGAGCCAGCTGGTTCTTGAGTCTCTCCACCAGGTTCTTCATGGTGGTGGTCGGGGCGCGAGCGTTAGCCTCCTTCTGGGCATCCAGCTCGGACTGCAGAACTGCCAACTGTGGGGAATATGTCAATATCATTCAGTCAGTTTACTACAAATAAAAAAGAAAACTGAAACTGTAATTTCTGTCTTGACCATATTTGACAATGCAGTCACTCAGTCACTTGTGTTGTACATCCAAACCTTTTCTTTCCAAAACTATTTTCCCAAAAATAAATTTCAAACTCCTTCTATTAACAGTAAGGTAATAATTAAGACTTTACAAACTGGATAAAGATTTTAACAAGTATGCAGTTTGAAAAGACTAAATTATTATCTTACTGTTACTACGTACCCTGGATGAGTAATCTTCACCAACATATCCTTCTATTTCTACTAACGATTGCCCACCTCTTTCTGTAAGTCAGAGATCCTCTGTCTGTGTTGGTCCAGCTCACGGTTCAGTTTGTTCACCTCTGCAGTTCTCTCTTCCTTCAGGAGGTCCAGCTTCTTCTGCATCTCTCTGGTTTTCTGCTGTAGCAACTGTGCGGACAAATGTTACAATATCCTGAGAAAAAATAAACACTGATACTTTTAACATTGGAGTATGGTGTCTAGCAGATTATATATACAAGTTCCGCAACTGGTAAAGATACACATGTACAACACAGGTAATAGCTGTTTCCATTTCTTTCCTTTTTTAGTGCTGCCTTGATTTCCTCAAACTGTTCTGCCATATGGCAGATTCCTAAAGTACTGCATGTACAGGTAGAATTGTTTCACACACACCTTGTTTCCACCTCTTTTGTGCTGCCATGAGTTTCTCACACTGTGCTGCCATCTAGCAGATTCTTCAGGTACTGCATGTACCCACCCACCTGTTTCTAACTCAGCTTCCTTCTGGGCAGCCCCGAGTTTCTCTGACTGTGTAGCAGATATAACTAAGGTACTGCATATTCCACACCCACCTGTTTCCACCACTCAGCTTCCTTCTGTGTCGCCATCTAGCAGATAACTCAGGTACTGCATATTCAACACCCACCTGTTTCCACCTCTCAGTTTCCTTCTGAGCAGCCCTGAGTTTCTCAGACTGTGCTGCCATGGCGTTCTGGTGTTCTGCCACCTCCTCCTCCAGGTGCTGAAGCCTCTGTAGGTCCCTGTTGGTGGGGACGGCTGTGCCAGGCTTGTTGATTCTCTCCTGTAGACACAGAATACAGAAGGTTGTAACCTTCTTTCTACTTCCTGACCACGTAGACGATACAAATTTGTAATGGAAGGCAGTCTTAGCACAAAAAGGTTAAAGAAACAAGGAACATGCACACACAAACTTACAGTTAAAATTTTTGTTCCAACATACAGGATTGTTCTCACAAAGAGCTTTCAACCAGTCACTCTGGTCTTCTTCAATAGACTGACCTAGTGAGGCTTGTCACATGGCTTCTCAGAAGTGTGATTTCAACACTGGGTCAAACTCACGGTGATAAAAATGTGAGTGAAAAGTACCCTAACATCCTCGAATTGCAAGTGCCCCCTCCCCCTAACCCATCCCTACCTGTGCCTGTTGTTTAAAGGTGACATGTAGTTTCTGTTCAGTTCTTTTGTCATGTAGTTTGTCCTGTAATATCATGATCTCCACCTCATGTTTGCTGTACCCCCCAGCCCTAACCCCCCTACCTCGTACCCCTCCCTACATCGTAACCCCTCCCTACCAGTGCCCCCTCCCGTCCCTACCTGTGCCTGTTGTTTAAAGTTGACATGTAGTTTCTCGTCCTTGTCCTGTAGTTTATCCTGTAGTAACCTGATGTCCTCCTCATGTCTCCTGTACTCCTCCTGCTGGGACTCTCTCTGCTGCTTCAGTAACTCCTGGTACTTCTGGATTGACTCTTCCTTCTGTGCCAGCCTGGCCTGTGAAACAAACAAAAAAAATTGTTATCAAACATTTTTCCCTCATGACAATACATTTCATTGACAAACAATAAGGCTCAGATACAAAAAATTTGATAAATACGCAGGAATAAGTGAAAGAATGAAACAAAATGACTGAGTGATTCAAGTAAACAAAATATTCTTCAGTGAATACAAAGCAAAAGGGCCATTAAAAAGAGTTTTCATTCTTGTTCATGTCTGTGGAAATGCATTATTACTTTTAGATGTAGTATAAGGAATATTCCACTTGAATTAATCACTCTTTAAAATAACTATTTCTCTGCTATATGAACGACTTTTTGAAATCACAAGTGCCAAATACACATTATTCTAAAATCAAGTTTCTCAGACTGTTGAATAAAGGTTGAAATCATAAAAATTGATTTCAAGAAAATTTCTCTAAATGTAGACTAGAACTGCAGCCCACCTGCAGGCTGGATATAGTCTGTTGAGCAGCCTTAAAGGCCTGTTTAGTCTCGTAGTCCTCCTCACGTGTCCCTGCCTCGGAGATGATCCTGTCTCGTGCTTCTGACGCCGGGAGTCTCAGGCGTAACTCGTTGATGACCTTGTCTCTCGATATCATGTTGGCTTCAGCTTGTTTCAACTGGTCCTCCAACTCACTAGCTTTCTGTGGGGAGAAAAAGAAGGTGGTGATTTAAAAGGGACTTTACAAAGTTTGAAAGCTACCATGGTACAATTATCATATAGTCATGATGAGCATCATGATTGATGCTTTTGTCAACTGTCGTTACTGTAACATTTAGGATATATTATAGGCCTAATACAAAATGCCTTTAATGTTCGCCAAACTAAGATAGCCTTCAGGCATCAAATTTGTGTGAGTAGGCTACAGAAAAAAGGTTAAGGGCCTAATTCTGAAAAAATATGAAAACAATGTTTATGACTGAAAAACTAAATTGGTTTTAAAATAGTTTGGATACTTTTGACCCTGTAGGGAAGATTACAATAAAAAATATACTTTGTATACAAATATTTTTTTCCTTCTAATGAATAAAAATGATAGTTTCATAGCCTTTTTGAGGCTGCAGGGGCAGTGGGTTGTTGATCCACTGTGTCTGCACAGTATTGGGAGGTGAAGCCCATCCCTCTCCTTCCACTGCCTTTTACCTCCCCAACCAAAGTTAGGTACTTATCTTACACCTGGGTGGAGTGAGGAAAGTTGTGTTAATTGCCTTTCTCAAGGATACAACATCAAAGAATCAAACCTATGATCTCATGGTCTCATGTCCACTAGCCAAACTTCTTGCCCGCATTTGACACTAAAAATACTGTATACGCCTGAAAGTTGTCCCACCTGTTTCTGTCTCTCAGCCTCCTGTCGTGTCTCCAGGATAGTGCGGATGTGCTGTTTGATAATGTGGATGGCGTGTTCCAGCTGGTTCGCTACCGGCAGGGTCGGGTCTGGCATGGACCCCGTCGCCTCTTCAAACTGGGACGGGAAAACAAGCAAACAAATTACAGAGTAATTATTATAGCTTGATTACTCAAGACTCAAACAGACAGTCACAACTGAAAGGTTAATAATATTAAGATTAATATCAAACTAGCTACACTGGAAATTTGCATTGAAAAGTATGATAGTCCCTGTGAAACTATCATGGTTTTTTTTTTTCAGCTTTCCACTCCAAATTCACGACACTGCAAAATTTCATGCATCTCCCTTGTATGACTGCTGTACTACTGTTCAAACCAAATCTGAAACACTGAAAGTCTGCCATTCCCTGTACCACAAAATAAAGTCACTGCAAAAGTTTCATGATTTACAGTTACTGTACCTTCCAGTATTTCTTTAAATACTAAACCACAAATAACTTAAAAACCCTACAGTTTTTGAAGAAAACTTATAATTGTTACGGATAATAAAAGTCTGAAGAAATTGTACAGTAAGCTTCCATGGTGACAGTTACCTTGACAGCAGCGTCCAGCACCTGGTTCTGCTGTCTCTCCATCCTGTCCACCAGCCGCTCCAGCTCTGTCTCGCGCTGTTCCCACTGGATCTGCCGCTCCTCGTGTCGCCTGGCTGTCATCACTGACTCCTCCTCCAGCAGAGAGATGCTTCGCTCGTGCTGTACTACTAGGTTCTCCAGAAATGTCACCTGGAATCACAGGACAATGTAGTCACTGAGGGTTAAACAGAGTTGTTGCCATAGCAGCTGTTGCCATAGCAACTGTAGCCATGGTAACTGACTCCTCCTCCAGCAGGGACATGCTTTGCTCATGCTGTACTACTAGGTTCTCTAGAAATGTCACCTGGAATTATACTATATTTATAGAAGAATTTACAGCAGTTGCCATCATGACAGTAGCCATGGTAACTGACTCCTCCTCTAGAAGGGAGGTGCATGGCTTGTGCTATACTACTAGATTCTCTAGAAACATAACCTACAATCACATGAAGATTATTAAAACATAAAACTGCTGCCATGGCAACAGTAGCCATGGAAACAGACTACTCTTGGGATGCTGAAATGCTTTGCTCATGCTCCATTAAGGTTCTCTAGAAAAATTACCTGCCATTTGATTTTGAAATCACAGCGGGAAAATATGACTGACATCAACACAAAACTGAACTGTTGCTGAACCGTTCTATTTAAGGTTCTGGAATAAGTTTGACAATAAAGCTTCTTGAAGACGATTCTTGTTGCCATGTTACCTGTTCCTTGAGCCGTGTGACGTCCCTGTTGAGTTTTAGGTCCTGTAGTCTGATCTCGCCCATCTTGGCGTGCCACTCGGCGACCTTCTGTGCCCCCCTCCCGTCCTTGAGAGTAGCGATGAGCTCCTCCAGACCCCTGTGCTGCAGCTGGAGACCAGCCAGGTTATCTTCTGCTGTACGTCTGTCCTCACGGGCCTGCAAATGTTCAAGATGCCAAGAGAATAGCTTGACTAAATGATACGTCTACATAAGAAGCCCTAGCCTTCCACTGGAGCTCCATGTAGAGCCCTGGACAGTGAGAGTTTATCTTCTGCACTCCCTCTGTTGTCAGTGAGGCAAAGTATGACTGTATTTGAAGTGATTGCTACATAGACCTGGCATAGGTCTATGTAGCAATCACAGAAATTCTTTTGAAAAGCCATGAAAACATGTTAGAAATAAGTACTAGCACTTTGTAAAGACATGGTCAATTCTCCTGATGATTTTAAGCATCAACAGTTACTGACCTGTTTGAGTTCCTGTTGTGTCTTGACCTGGTCCTCCTGAAGTCTGAGCAGGTTCTGTGCAAACTTCTCCTGTTTGGCCAGAGGGACTGCACCGCTGAACTGTCTCCTCAGTTCCTGTGTGCAGGGAGAAAATACAGCCTCATTAAATCATGCCCCCTAGCAGCCCTCTGAGGGACTGCACCACTGAACTGTCTCCTCAGCTCCTGTGTACAGGTTTAGCCTCATTAAATTTTGCCCCCTAGTAGCCTTCTTAATAATTGCAACTACATGTATGACGGGAGAACAGGACTATCCAGACATGGCTGATGTTATCAACTGATTTTCAATTGTACCAGAGTTCAAGCTTGTGGTTGCCATGGGTTATGTCTTGGTTCCAATCAAAAATATTCAGTCTTTTCTGTTCATCTATCCCTCCTTACCTGTACGGTTGTTTTGAGATGTCTTGCCCTGTTCCTTCCCTCCACCTTGGCGTGGTACAGTGCCTGTTCCTTCTCATCTAACTTCTGCTCCAGTCTCAGCACCAGGGCTTCAATCTTAGAGATCCTGGACATGGCGTCTTCAAGTTTTCTTACAGCTGTTCCCTCGCTGACTTGTAGGGCCACAATGTGATGGTGGAGCTTACCTGAGAAAGACATCAGAAAAACATAGGTCAGAGATGATGTCCAGAAAAACTTTGGTTAGAGATGATGTTCAGAAAAACTTTGGTTAGAGATGATGTTCAGAAAAACTTTGGTTAGAGATGATGTTTAGAAAAACTTTGGTTAGAGATGATGTTTAGAAAAACATTGGTTACAGATTATAGTCTAGAAAATATCTGTTTTCATGTCAACAGTTTGTACAAATTTTGTTTTCCTTTATCTTGACTTTGTTTTGAGAAGACCTGACCAATATGACCACTAATTTTCACCATTAACACAAGAATTAAGAATCCTGTCTATAGTGACCACCTGTCCACATAGATCCCTGAGTGGTCTTTTTCTGCAGCTTTGATGGTAATTCTTGTGTCAATTTTCTTAAATGTCCATTTGCATTACAAGTTTTCATTTAACAGTTTATATCATGACTGTTGCTTTGAGACTTTGAGTAGAAAAGTTTCCCTTATATAGAATACAGATGGTGTAACATGTACCTATGACTGTCTTCTCGTCGCTCTCTGATTGGATGTCCAGTAGCTGTTGCCGTAGCGATGCCACCTCCTTCTCCCTGGACTGCTGCTGGGCCTCCAGGGCTCGTGCCTGCGACGCTCCCACTTCTGCCATTTCCTGGGAAAGTACAGATCCAAACAAAAATATATCATCTACCAATCCGTTATGATTTTGTCATGGTCCCTAGTCTCTAATGCTACAAGTCAAAGAATTGTTTTACAGTGAAAGAAGACAAAAACACACTGCACAGGACTTTTTTCACATTGAGATCTTACATTTGCCTTCCTTCATTCATTCCTCATTTATTTATTCCTCATGCCTTCCTTTCTTCATCCCTCATTCCTTCCTCATTCTTTCTTCCTCATTCCTTCTTTCCTTCATTCATTCCACCTTCCTTCATTAATTCCTCATTCCTTCATTCATTCCTTCCTTCCTCATTCTTTCCTTCCTTCATTCCTCCTACCTTCCTTAATTCCTTATTCCTTCCTTCCCTCCATTCCTTCCTCATTCCTTCCTTCATTGCTCATTTCTTCCCTCCTTCATTAATTCCTTCCTTTCCTCTTATTCATTCTGTCCTTCCTTCTTTTAGTCGATCATTGAACTAGGACAAACCTTCAGTCTGGAGTTCTCCACTTTCAGACCGGCCTCGGACTCCTCAAATTGTGCGATCTTGTTCCTGTCTGCGTCGCTGGCGGCCTTCGTGACGGAGTTAGCCAGCTCGTCTCTCAGCTCCCGTTCCACGCGCTGTGCCTCCAGGTTCATCCTGGTCAGCTCCGCGAACTTGGTCTCAAGTTCAAGGTTCCGCTGTTCTAACTGTGAAACTGAGTACAAAGAGAGAAGAGGTTGTTTTGGCTTCGTCATCTTTGTACAATGACAATTATATTATATGAAATTTATCTTTTGAATGTTAACTATTTAGATTGTGGGGTCGTGTGGCGTAGCGGTAGCATCTTTGGCATGGAAACAAGAGGTCCCGGGTTCGAACCCCACCCGTCACCGATATTGTTCCCCCAAGGGAAAGGCACTTCACGACTTTCCTCACTTCACTCAGATACAAATGAGTAGCTAACTTTGGTTAGGGACGTCCCTCGGATAGGACGTTATATGGAGGTCCCGTGTTTGGGGAGAGTCACACCCCACGCACGTTAAAGATCCTACCATACCTTTCAAAAAGAGTAGGGGCATGCCCCGGTGGTCCAAATACTTTGATTGTTCACTACCGGGAAGAGTAGTGGAGATCCTAAACAAACAAACAAATATTTTTTACCTGTGTTTTTGAGTTGAGTCTGCATGGTGACAGCATGTTCTGCCCTCTGCCGCTCGTTAAGCTCCTTCATCTCCAGCATCGTTAGTCTCTTGGAGATGGAGATAATCTCATTATTGGTCACCGTCTTACTGACCTTGTCACCTGGCAACATCCCTGGGAGAAAACAGAGGTTCATCAGAGTTTTACAAAGCACAACATGGCATCCTCTTAATAGCTAATACTTATGTCCGTAGGAGAATTTAACTTTTGATCAACTTGTATAATTTCTTGCAATAACATTGTACTATAATCATGGAGCTATAATAATACATTCTATAGCTTTCTGTTATAATGATGTTATAATTTTTTTTCTATCAGGTAAATGCAGCATGTTACAAAGAATATACACCTTCGAGAAACAAGTTCTGCTCTTTATTCTTACTCAAACACATTTATAATGTATATATGGTAACCCGTCCCTTGCTACATCATGTAATCCAACACTACAGGTTGTCTGCTACAGCACTGGTTACCATGGTGACAGACGTCTGGTACAGGTCATTGACCTTATGCATTTGGAATGGAAAAAGAAACTCAGCAAAAACAATACATTTTCCTTCTGCAAAGGTAAACATAAAAATTTACTTTCACACTTTGCTGTCTTCAACAGTAAGGCCATGTTGATTTGATTATATGGATGACATCCTCCGGGAGCCCCAAAACTGATGCGCGCGTGCGAATAAAAAAAAAGTTTTGCAAAAAAAGAAAGTTGTTTTCATTATGAAATCTACGTGGTCATGAGAGTTGAGCAAATGGCACAGAATATGGTTTGGCGAATAATCTAATCTTCAAGTTCATTTCTTTACAATTTCGTCTTTTTTTCGTTTGATTTTGGCATTCTACGACATTGGTATAGTTTTTATTAATTTTTTTTGTAACTTATGGTATATTTTTGCTCATTTTGCAACTGTTTTGTACGATTTACAGTATGGTTGAAAACTTTTTTTTTGAAACGGCCGAAAATTCATGCGCGCGCGGATGTCATCCATATAATGAAATCAACATGGCCTAATTATTAACAATTTTGGGGCATGGATGCACCCTTTGCAGAAAAAGGGTTAATGTAACACAAATCTCCCTACCTGCTTTAGTGAACTGCTCCATGGCCTGTTCCAGTGTGTGAAGTTTCTCCTTCTCCATCTGTAGTTCTTTCTTCAGTGTGTCCATCTCTGACATCAGACACTTGTTCTCCTCCTCAATGTTCTCTGCTCGCTCTGTTCTCGCAACAAGAGCATTCTCTCTCTCCAACATGTCTCTGTATAATACAGAGGGAATTTACAAGTAAGGAGAAAGAAAAAGTGACAGAAAGTGGTCTTGATCCAGTTTAAACTCACTGAAGAGCTAATCTCCCACTGGTTGTGACAGAGAAGACAGATGCTATGTACAGTATTTACAGGTTCATTGTACCAGGAAATTCCCCTAGCTCTTTGCGACAAAAACAATGAACAGTGGACAACAGCTTAACATTCCGTTCTATGGAATGGGACCCTTTACAGCAGTGTGACTGACCACTGGACTACACTATGCATGCTAAGTGATATTAAGCTTTAAGTACAGCTATTTTCAGGAATAGAAGTATTGTTTTGGGTGGCTGAAATCATGGGTTTTTCTGTACTAATTGCTTTCGATTGCATGTCGGGTGCAGAATACATTCACTATAGGCAGATTGCATGCAGGTATGCATATACCTGCATGCAGATTGCACACACTAAATGCAAATAAGACACATCTATATACAAAGTACACATGCTGAATGCATGATGGAATCTCTGTTTTAACTTGTGAATACTGTACCTGTATTTCTCTGTGAGTTCAGTGTACTGTTTGTTGGCCAGTTCTAGCTCAGACTGCGGCACACTCTCGTCCAGTGTTTTCTGTAGGGAAGAGATTTTAAAGGCTGCCATCTCCTTGTATCTCTGTAGATATCCGATCCTCTCTGCTACAGATTTCTCCATGGCGATAACGTCGTTTTTCAGACGTGTGTTCTCCTTGCGTAGGGAGGTTTCCATCTCTTCTAGCGTGGTGTAGCGCCGGGTTAGAGATTTCTCGTTGACACGTAGCACGGTCATCTTACGTGTCATCTCCGCTAGTCGTCTCTGCTGTTCGTCAGGAGCCATTTCCATTGTCTCTAGCAGTCGCTGTTAAAAAAAAAAACGAGTGTCGCATGAGTATGACGGCAGAACGTACTGTACATGGGCGAAACCTGTAATGTATTGTGCATAGCACTTTGGCAGAACGTTCTACCAATGTGGCGTATGAAAATTAGAAAAATAAACAAGTTGTGAAGTTGTGAAGGTGACAATTTGGTAAGTCACTGAATAAAAAGACTCTTTTTCACAACCAAGTCTTTTATTCAGCCGATGTTTCTGTGACCGTCTGTCACCTTCCTCAGGGCAATTCTGACTGGTTCACTTTGGACAGCACAGGTGTCGCTGCTATAGATGCATTCCCAAACGTACAATATTTACATATCTACACTGAAATATTTTGCTTTGGGGAACGCATCTATAGCAGTGACTCCTGTGCAGTGCAATGTGAACCAGTCAGAATTGCCCTGAGGAAGGTGACAGACGGTCACCAAAATTTCGGCTGAATAAAACACTTGGATGTGCAAAAGAGTCTCTTTATTCTGTTATAAAATTTAATATAATTTCTACCCCTCACATTATACTCCTGTATCCTGACTCCGTCCTGTTCCCTGAGGTCTGAGACCTTCCTGATCTCCTCCTGCAGTTTCTCCTGCTCCAGACGGGTCTCCTCCCGATGTTCCTTAAAGTCAGTATACACCAGCCCCTGCTGGTGTCTCATGACAGAGTACTTCCTTCTGTAGTCTTCCAAGGAACCCTCCAGCTTCTGTAGCAGCTCTTCCTTTTGAGACAACTCCTAGATAGAAAAACAAGTTTTTTTAGCCAGCTTTAAGCATAGAAAGTTGTAAGAAAATTTGAAATTCCCAGTCAAAATCATTTTTGGGTGCATCAACTTGTAAAATTTCGTTCCTTCAATTTGGCTTCTTCATGTCATATGCACTTTATTTTTCATTGAATGTTTACTCCAACCAAAGGATGTGAGTACTTCAGCGTGTATGTGGATGTGGATGTGGATCTGTGACCTCCGTGAGGGAGTGAAGTCTGCCATCTCTGCTTGCTTTGTTTGAAATTTTTCTTGTTACACCAAAAAGACTCAAACAAGTAAAATCCCAACTTTTGGCCCCTCAAAGAAATAAAAATACTTCTTGAATCCAAAATGCTTTGAAATCCGTTTTTCCCATATTTACATTTAAGCATCTACATTTGTTACTTCAAAAGTTGTTTTGGACAAAGTATACAAAGGGTTAAATATGTATTAATGCTAATTTTCCTACTTAGTAAGCTTAGACCTGAGTCAAAACTTTATAATCAGAATGAGTCTCCAAGAATTTTATGAATATTGTAAAACTTACATGTAGAATCTGGACCAGGTACTCATTGAGTGTTGCTATGACATCAGCACTGGAAGGAACCATTCCCTCGGGGAGGGGGAGAGGCTGGATACTGACTCCCTTTCCTCCTGACACCCGCAAGTTCTGGATCTCCTGTTCAAGCTTTTGTACCTGTGTGCATATAAAAAAAGTTATCTGACTGAGTGAATGAATAAGACTGTGCGAGCGATCACCATGATGCCACAATTTAGTTATATAATATCATGAAAGTTCATTTGTGTTGGTAGTTACATGTTTCAATTTAAAACTTTTGTTCCAACTCGAAAGATGGATTGTTCTCACCTAGAGCTTTTGACCAGTCACGTCTTCAATACACTGACCCAGTGAGACTTGTCGCATGGCTCCTTTGAAGTGTGACGTCAACACTGGGTCAGTCTACTGAGGAAGACCAGATGGACTGGTCGAAAACTCTAGGTGAGAACAATCTTTACTGTTGGAACAAAAGTTCTGACTCTAAACATCTTATATATTGTTGTATTCAGTGATTGTTGCTTTTTTTATTGGAACACACAAATTTTATAGAAATTTTGCATTGTAAGGCCACACCAATTTAATTTGTTGGTTCTCGGATTTTTTTAGAAAAAATATGAAGCGACAGGGCGAAAAAAATAAAAATAAAAACAGGTCTAGGCATCCTATTATAGGCTTAAATGCTACAAAATGAGCCATAAAGTCAACACAAAAGGCTGGGTTAAAATTTAAACATTGAATTTTGAACTTTTAATCAAACCACTGCAATGATAGATGGGAAAACTGTAACAACTAGGAAGAAAAGGACTTTCCTCAACTGTTGGGGGGCAAAACATGAGCATTTTTCAGTTGATTCAGGACCAGAATCAAATTTTTTTTTTTTGCAAATCAGAAAAAACGAAGAGGGGAATCCGAGAACCAACAAATTAAATTGGTGTGGCCTAAAGTGTAAACCCAATATTTTCTTCAGCAAGAAAAATATTTCTATCAACAAGATTTTCCGCACAGCTTTCAACAGTATGATATGGAAGTTTGCATGTACTAGATTTATGAAAAAAAAGTTGTATGCCTAACCCTGGTTTCAGCTTTCTCCAGTGCAGACTTGGCCTGCGCTGCCTCGTTCCTGGCTTCTCTCAGCTCTGAGCGAAGCTCCTCATTTCTCCCAGTCAGCTGATCCACCTGTGCCTTGAAGTGCAGCGAGGAATCGTACTTCCCCTCTTTGGCACGGGTGTCCAGAGCCTGGCAAAAACAGAAAAACATTCCACCATTATATGACCTCTGTTTAGAGCAATGCATCAATTTGCACAGTGCAGTTTCCTTGTAACCTGCAAGGAGGCACTTGTAATCTTGATTCTGATCTTGTGCAGATGTACTAAGCAAGCAACACCCTTCATTCAAGTTTACCTACCAGTAATGAAATACAGTAACAAAAGTGGAAACTACACCTGTTTCAGTAACTGCAGTTCCCTTGTAATCTGCTAGGAGGCACTAATATTCTTTAACAAAAACCTATCCCATGATTTTGATGTTGTGATAAGCAATCAGTGCCCTTCATTCAAAGGAAATATATACTATACATTTTACATAGTGAAATACTATACCAAATTAAAACTACAACTGTAGTTCCTGTGCAACCTGCTAGGAGGCATAAGAAACTCACAGTTAACATATGCTCCAAGGTTGGACATCTTAGATACACCTCCTTCTTCTCCTGTGGACCAGTCTGAGACTCCTTGATGGCGTCTAAGATCTCCTTCATGCCCTTCTCCAGTTGCTTGTTTTCTTCCATCAGTTCCTTACAGCGAGACTTGAACTCGGCCACCTCAGTCTTGGCCTGTTTAAGACGTTCTTCATTTTGCTCTTGGTCCTTATCCAGCTGTTCGACCTAATATGGAGAAAGGGCAATTCCACTCAATATTTAGGAGGGGGGGTCAATTCTTTTCCTTTCGCTTTTCATTCAAAATGATATTGAAGAAAAAAAATCCTCTTTAAAGTTTCTGAATAATTTTGATTTTGGTAAAATCAAGTCTTAAAATACCTTAATCTTCAGTTCTTGGACTTGGGGATCTCCAAGAAGTTGGTTCTTCTCCGAGATTCCCTGGTTCTTCCTCTTCAGCTGTTCCTTGAAGTCCTGAATGGCTGTGAGGTCACTAGCAGTAAGGCCCATCTCAACAGCCCTGTACACAAAGGTATCATCTTACCACCTGTGCCACCATATTTGGCAATCCAGGCTTCAATATTTGGCAACCCAGCTTTCAATATTTGGCAACAGAGCTTTCCATATTTGGCAATCCAGCTTTGCATATTTGGCAATACAACTTCATGCATCTGGTAACACACCTTTCTATATTTGGCATCACAGCCTTCCATATTCGGAAACACACCCTTCCATACTTGGAAACACAACCTTCCATATTTGGAAACATAGCCTTCCATATATTTGGAAACATACCCTTCCATATTTGGAAACATAACTTGCCATAGTTGGCAGCCCAACTTTGTGGGCTATACCAGTTACATTAATTTCTTATTTGGTAGAAGATGAAAAAAAAACTCATCACCGCAAAAATAGTAGATTACATACTATTAGATGTAACTACAGCAATAGTTTCAGCACCAAGGGCATCTCCATAAACTCACCTGTGTCCCTTCTCCTGGGCAAGTCTTCTCACCTGCTGCTTCAACTCTATCCTTTCTTCTTCTAGTCGTTCTACTTCTTTCATCAACACCTGCAGATGGTGCAGATGGTTTGATGTTGTGGAAACGTGTTGTATGAAGTTATAGATACAGAAAATAATGTTACCTGAGGACTTATGTTATACTTCTATCATTTCCTGAGAGGATAAAAATCGACATAATATGTAATCCAGACCTGGTTCTCTGCACGGTATCTCTCATTCCTCATGTTCTTCTTGTTGCGGAACTGTGAGATGTCCAGCGGCTCCTTGGGATCCAGTCCCAGCCTCTCCCGCAGGTCCTCATTCTCATCCCACAGGTCATTCATCTCCAGCTCAATCTTATTGATGTGCTGAGTCAGCTCTTCTATGGATCTGTCAAACGATACGAGATTTGCTCAGTATTTTCTGTGTGGCATGGTGTTAAGCAACTGTTAAGCAAAGGGACCCAGGCTCAATCCCCAGGGTTGGACCCAGACATGTCCGGACATGTACCCAGACGTTGTGCCCTTGGGAAAGGCACTTTACATGTATTTCCCCCCTCAGTTAGAGGGATCCTGGGCCCTACTAGGGTTTGGGTTTGCGTTAGGAAGGGCATCCAGTCGTAAAAATCTTACTTAAAAAAAGACTTGCACTTGCAGGTTACTGTAGCGACATACTGACCTTTCTCTGACCTTCAGTTGAGTTTTATGTGCCTTGATCTCCTGCACAGCCTCCGCTAACCCATACTCTCCCTGGTAACAGTAAACAAACAAATAACAATTGTTTTGTCCCTCTTTAAAAACTCTGCATTTCAACATTTAAAGGCATGTGTACATGTACTACAGTAAAGCATTAATTTTGTTCTAACCTGTTTTTTTATACCCGTAAGGAAATAAATTTAAAGTAAACAACAAATAAACAGAGATAAACAAAACATGTACCAATTCATATTCCCTCATCCTAGTGAGAGCCTCTGTCAGTTGTTTGTCCTTCTCCCTGGCGTCCTCCTCAGCTTGTACCATCCGCTCTTCTGCGTTCCTGGCTACTTCGTCTTTCTTTGTCAGCGTGGACTGCAAGTCTTTGATTCTGTTCTGCTGAACTAAAGAGGGTTTCCCTAAACAAAAAAGAAATCAAAGATTTAAAACTTCTAGGAAGTATTATGGGTTTTCAGAACCCTTAACAACAACAACATAACCCTTAGAAGTTCACCCCATGTCTGACCTTTTGACCTCTACCTGTCAATCTTCCCCACCCATATGCTGTCAACCTGCTCTCAAGTTTCCTGTGTTTGATCTTTTGTAATTCTGCCTGTCAAAACCACCCAAAACAATACTTCCGATATTAAAAGTCGCAATTACTTTTACATGCTCAAATGTCTTTGAAAATTATAGAAGTTTTCATTTACTACTATTATTTGTTAGAGATGAGACCTGAGATAAAAAACCTCATCACATTTTGTTCTTATCAATCAGTGATAGAAAGGGTAAAATGAAAAATGCAGTAGGATAAAACATCTGATGTTTTGTACCTTTGGTGCCCCTCTGTTCTTTCTCCAGGTCCTCCATCCTGGCAGCGTTGGTCTCCATCTCAGACACAGCTGTCTCCAGCTGTTCTTTTAGCTGTGCAATGTGCTGGTCACGCTCTTTCAATGCCTGCAACAACAAAAAATTCCAGAAAAAATTGCAAAACCCAAGAAATCTTAAATTTTAATAAACTTGATTATGATAATACTAATAGCTAGTCAAATTTCATTTTAAGGACAGTGGTATTTTTCATAGTAATTTTTTTCTTCTTTTGGCTTCATGATTTGGGTGATTTGCGAAAAATAATTTGACATATATTGGTAACTAATAGCTAGTTAAATTTCATTTTAAGGGCATATCCTTAAATTATTTGTGACAGTGGTATTTTTCATAGTAATGTTTTTCTTTTTTTGGCTTCATGATTTGGGTGATTTGCAAAAAATATTTTCACATTAACTCTTATGAATCATAGATTCAACTGAAGGCGTTATACTAAAAATATAGTGTCATGGAGAAAGATGTTTAAAGCAGCAATGCTTGAGTGCCTAATGCCTGAAGATGATTGGACAATTGGTTGATTGATTTATTGATTGATTGATTAATTGACAGACCTACTGGCAGCTATATGCTGTTTATCAGAGTCCAGGTCTGATGAAATGCTTTAGCACCTAATACCTGCACATGATTGGTTGATTGATTGATTGACAGACCCACCTGCGCCATGGCAGCTATAGACTGTTTATCAGAGTCCAGCTCAGCTGCCCTGATCTGAGCCTTCAGCTGACGGATCATGCCCTGAGCCTCGAACAGTTCAGCGTCCTTGTCTGCCAGCGCCTGTTTCCACTCCTCCACCTTCGTGCCCAGTGCCTGCATCACCTGGTCATCATCCTCTGAGCGTGCGTGCAGCTGTGTCGTCAAGTCTGCCACCTGCACGTGACAGAGAATTGATACTGTAAAATTCATTTATTTTCACATTTTTTTTAAATTTACAGTTGAAACAAAGCTGCAGTACAGTAGTTTGTAGTCATACAATGGAAATGCATATTCACAGTGTCATAAATTTGTGGTGACCTCTTCACTACAAAAATAAAACTGCAGCAAAGGTTTCAAGATATACGGTAAAATTATAGGTAAAATCCAAAGCAGTTTAATTCATGTCACATACTGCTTTGGATTTTACTTTGTGTGCCTTATTTTACAACAATGAGGAAAGAGATGTTGATATTTTGAATGATATATCTGTCTGTGAGACACCAAAAGTTGCACTACTGGTAGACACGAAAAGTTACAACTGAAATCCAAATTACATGCCTGACAGTGCTGTGGCAGAGAGTACCAAAAATAAGCTTAGCAAGGGCCATCTTAAATATGCTACATAGAATTATGAATGTCACTTAATTTTTTTCCTTCAATCATCTTGTTGAAAGATAATGGTTTATGCAAAATCTTATGACCAAAAATTTCTGGGCCACAACCATTTCTACAAAAGTGGGTACCCTTCCCCAAGGATCCAATGTCCACCCCTATTGTACCTGTTCTCGTAGAGAGTCAGCCTCGCGTATCTTCTGGTCCATGAGGATGTCCGACTGTTGGACCAGCATCTTCATCTTCATGTACTCCTCCGTCATCCTGTCCATGTCTCCCACAGACTCCTCCAGGTTACGCCGCATCTGGTCTGCCTGTTTCTGTAGCTCGTCATTTGCATCCGTCAGATTCTGAACAAGACAAATAAAGAGACTCTTTTTTTTACACAAAAGGTCAATGTCCTGAACCAGACAGTCTATCAACATGGTAACTGTTATAGGGTTACATCATGTTGCTGTTTCATAGCAGGAGGGATTTAGACTCCTGTCACCGTATTTATATGAAATTCAACGTGTTTGAGTAAGAATTAACAGAGCAAACCATATGCAAAAGTACACATTATGGATTTGCTTTTCAAATGTTACCTTTCTAGTACTATTTAGTTTTTCAACAACTTCTCTTCAAACCAAACTCACCTGAATCTCCTCCAGTTGTTCAGCGATGAGCCTGTTCTTCTCCCTCATCTTGTCTCAATTCAGACAGACACACAACTCAGCCACCCAAAACAATACTTCCATACACAGAAATGACAAAACTGACCTGAATCTCCTCCAGTTGTTCAGCGATGAGCCTGTTCTTCTCCCTCATCTTGTCTCGATTCTCGACGTCGTCACCGCGCCTCATCATGAGGGTCTCTCGCTGTGAGTCCAGCTGGTTCTGGTAGTCACGGTTGTCCTCCCGGAGACGTTCTACCTCGCGACGGATCTCCTTCGCCCCCGTCTCCGCTTCTTCTGCTCGCGTTTCCATCTGGAAAATTGAATCCGAAGCATTGGTTGGAATTTGTCAGTTGATTGCAAATACGTGACAATGTCATCAGTCAACTATTTCCCCCCAACCTTTATTTTGACATTTAAGAACATACCAAAATTAAGGACACATGTAAGGAGCCCACCCGATCACTATAATTAGCGTCGACAGTCAATCACCAGTAATGATGAGTGACATATCTTTATTGGACACAGCACGGCTAACAACCGGCGTACCTCATTCTTGGGCCGGCAGTATAGTGTTACGTTATATCAAGATATCTAATAAGTTCCAGAGATCCGGCCAGTTATGAATGAAATCTGTTGTAACGCGTAGGGGTCAGACCCCACCAGTTATTAGTTCTGATCTGTCACACCCCGAGAGTGTTGAGTAGTTATTAGCAAGTATAACGGAAACCTCCAACTGTCACTTGTTGTAAGGCGCTGAGTAACTGACGAGACGGGGGAGTCCCGCGTCCCGACCAGGACAAACTCTACTCCGCATACAGCCTTTGGCAGGCTTGTTATTTCTCCAAATTCGTTCTGTTATTGATACCAAGAGTGGGAACAACGTTTTAAAGGGGTTTCCCCGCTTGTAACTTTGATTCTGTAAAGGACATGAACTCGACAAAGGTTAATCCAAAGGGTAGGTCGTGATCCCCGGAAAACAAGGATTTAATGAACTAGAACTCATGTTTCCCTCCCAAATGTCTGCTCAATCGGTAAGAGACTTTTGATTTTGATAAATGATTTCTGTCAAATTACTAGAGTTTTGGCCAATCGGCTATGACCAATTCTGAGGAGAATAGCCAAATTTGGGAGGAGGGCGGAACCCCGATTTTGAGGAAATAAAAGAAGGAAAACACTAACAATCAGGGAGAAAGCAACTCCGTCGGACTCCACGAGCACGGGAACCCCGAGTCACCGAAGTCAGCATGAGCCACCGAACTTAGACTTTTTCGGCTCCGAGCCAGCTAAGGGGTTTTCCCGAAGTCCGCGGAGAGGGAAGGGGAACTACCGTCCCACCTACTGTTACTCAGCGCCATCTCGCGGGTGTGCTTCGCTGTAACAACGCAGGGTCTTCAGCAGAATAAACCTGTCCCATTGCAACGAACTTGTCGGAGACTCCGTGCCTTCCCTCGACCTCACACACAGCAACTTTAGGGCTCGGGAGACTCTGTCTAACGACCGGGAGCTACGCCAAGCCTTACATCTGGTTACACACATACCTTAAAAATCTAGCTCATTTTTTGGCAAACCATGTATGTGTAAGGATACTGATGGTGTACTACCATATGTTTCTGGACTTGGCAGGACTTCATCAACCTGCTGTATCTAATCTTATATTTTGTCTGACCCTGACCTCTTACCTCATGGCATCAATGGATAAACAAAGGCTAAAAAAATAAACAAAAAACACATTTTCTTCATTCTAAACAAGTCTTCCAGTAAGTTAACAAAAACAGCACTGACTGTATGCAAAGAATATAGAGAATGAAAGAACATAAGACTCAAGAATGGACAACTTCTTGTTGTATTCAGAACAATCTCACTGCCAGTATTTAGTACTGACCCTTTCCCTGGCTGTTTTCTCCTTGCTGAGTTCTCTGTCCAGCTCCTTCACCTGTTCCTGTAACTCATCAACCTGACGCTCAAACTCACGGATCTCTTCACGCAGGAACCTGGGACGGTAGACGTCAACATTTCAAATCTTAACATTCAGTTCAGCCTGTTACATACTCAACAAAGAAGCTGGTACATCTGCACTACTTTCTTATCATCAGGCATGAAATAACTGCCACCTTGGTACTCATTATCAGGCACTTCATTATACCTAAGGAAGCTTGAAGTTGAATCACTTCTCGTAAGTTTGTATCACTCCGCTGCACATGGATTGACAAGGTCACAATAAACCTGGAGTAAGCTCACTTATCAGTGTCATTCCTGCTAGATAATTGAAAGATAGAAACCACCCAACATAACATGGTGGCAGTAGTGGGATAATTTCATACTTCGGCAATACTTTCTTGAGTATGTAACACTGTATCGTAATTCCAAAAGAATTCCCTGCCATTTACTGGTACATGTATATCCTAAAGGCCTAGACTAGAAGTCAGAAAATCTACAGATTTTGGATTTAAAGACATGTCAAGATGATGGGACCAACCTGGTGTTGTCTGCTGCTGACCCTCCCCCACCTCCTCCATATCTCTTCAGATCCTTCACTTCATCCTTCAGGGCCTGGATCTGGTCTTCTCTCTCTTGTTCTATGTGTAGCAAGGAAAGAGTTGAACATTAAATATGAACTGGCAAAGGCAATGGTAGTAACAAAACAAGTAAAAGATGGTTACAATTTTTATGAAAAAAAATTTACAAGTGTATGATACATGTACATTCATACAGATCAATCACCACTTTCCTGTACAGAATACACTTACTTGATTTAGCATCTGCCTCCAGTTCTTCCATCAGGACTTTTGACTCTTCTGCTTTCTCCTATATCAAGAAAGTAAAAACAAAACCAGTAGTTAAACTACAGAGCATTGTATAGGTCCTGGGTAATTTGCCATTTTATGAACATTCTATGTGATGAAATGTTTTGTATGTCAAATATCATATCATGCTCTTAGTGCAGAACCCAAGTGATAGATCAATTCTGACTGAAAATCAAAATTAGCAGTTCAACCAATGATAGCAATTCAATTATAAGTTCATTCAATGATTGCAATTGAATTCAACCAATGACAGTAAGGCAATTAGCAATTCAACCAATGAGTGGTTCAACCAGAGAGTTGCTGCATATTCAAGGAAGGTTTCCATTTTTATGTTTTCCTTTTCTCACATTTCTATGCTTTTGACAAGTCACATTCTAGTAGGTTGATATCTGTATTTGTATAGCCTGTACTACATAAACCGTCCTTCGGTATAACACACCAGGGTAGGGCTTTAGGACCAGTCTATCAAAACATTTTAGTAATAACCTTGAGTTTTAGTTTTTTACTTACGTTCATAATGGCCTGTGTGACCTTGAAGAGATGTATGAGTCTCTCTGGGCTCTCGTTGAGTTCTCCGGACCCTTCTGCCTTACACAACATGTCATACATCATGTCTGACTCCTCCTCTCCCATACTGTCTGGGTCCACCCTCATCAGGCGATCCCAGTCCACCTGGGGGGCCATGGCTGAGGGCTAGTCTTCACACACCTGTACAACAACAACATGGACAGAGAAGCAACTTGTTATGATATGTTAAAAACATAATAATTTTGCTTGTCATAACTTTCAGTTGGGTACTATTACTGTATTAGGGCTTGAGCCCTAACCTACAATACATGAATACATCCTGGAAGACGTAAAAATACTAAAATTGCAAACTAATTGTGTAATCCGAAAGGGAAAACTGCAACAAAAGTTGGCAACTACAACAACATGAAAGTATCTTAGTATTCAAGGCCAACACCTGGTTGAACAAGTGGTCACCTATAATTTACTGTCCTTACTGTCCTAGATACTAGTAATTTCATTATCACTGATATCTATCTATGTTAGCGCGCCATATATTATTACATCAAGAATTAGCTGCACAAATTTCACGATGTTGCATACTACAGCTTTCCATTTTATACTTAACAAAAAGGTGCTTGCGTCTGGGGGCTGTTCTCTTTTCTTTCAAGTAATTCGAGGAAACTTACTAGAAACTATTACCTCACCACAAAAAAATTCGTCGTTACTACAAAACAACGGAACACAACTCAAAGGCGTCTCATGCTTTTCAGCGCGATTTGTCAACACTCTGTGAAGAAATGAGGATTCAGATAACTGTGTTCTACTAACCTTTGGTATTTTCAATAAACTTGGTTGGCCTTTGTTGACGAAAACAGCGATAATGTCAACAAAAACAAAGTCAACTGGCCGAAATCGACCGTCGCGCCGCCATTTTGAAACTGAGGTATTTGTTAGGAACCTCGTTCCCAGGATTTCAATGGGGAAAATTTGCAGAGTAACAAAGTACCCTGGGTACAAGATGCTAGGGCATTACATCATATCCAGAATTATAGGGGTGTTAACATCAACTTGTCTTTAAAATAATCTAAGAGAAAATATATCAGAAGAAAATATTATATCAGTGATATAGAAATAAGTTTTCATAAAAATTTTCATTTCTTTAGTTTTGTAAGATATAATTCTTTTAGATTATATTTCTTAACCTAACTACATACCTATTTCTTATCGTATGTGGTTTATTCCAAGTCGCAGAGGATGACGGGATAAGCGCCATTTTGAAAACAAAACAAAAACATCTATCTTGTCTGGAGACAACTTTGCTTCCGATTTCTTCTATTTATCGATCAAAAGGATCGATGATTCCCATTCTTTCATGAACATCTAGAACATATGCCGTAGAACATATCTACCAGGTAAGATTGATACAGTTATTCTCTCCGCGATGCTATAACTTATTTTAGACGTTGGGCCAAAATCTATAGGGGGAGGGGGGCAAAGCATCAGACACTGGTTGTATGGTTGCTATAGACTCTTTACCTGTTGAATCAAAAATCATACATGTACAAGATCAAAAAACACACGCAGATATGTTTTTGTAGCACATGCAATCTACACAACATAGTGCAAAGGACCAAATACAATTTTGTGTTACAAAATATCTATAATTTGTTATGATAGCATAATTATAATAATTGGTGCAAAAATTTATATCTTGATGATATGCCAACGACACTGACTTAAAACATCATTTCAAACTTTCAAACCAAAGAGAAAAAAATATACAAACACAAAGTCTGTGTCTGGCATGATACTGGCTATTTATATTTCTCAAACTCAAAAGACATGACAAGTGAATACACTTGACGTTGTGTTTTAATTTAATACTTGTATATCCTTGTACCCAGCTGTGAGTATGTATGCTGAGATCAGAAGTCGTCCCCAGTCCAGCCCAGTCCACCCCCCATTCCACCGGACCCTGGCTGATGACCTGGCTACTGACAACATCCCTGGACTGGAGGTAGGGAGGAGGAGGGCACCTCCACGGTACAGCCAACCGAGTACCAAGGTGCTTAACAGGTGGGTATCTACTGTTCCCTAAGCACATGTAGTACATGGTCTAGCCCGTACCCTGGATCAAGTACTAGCAGCTGAGTATTAGTATATACTAGTAGTTGGTAGAAACACAATTTTGTCTATGAAGATGACTGAATGCCCATAGTTTTTGTCTGCCATTAGCAACATGATTCCACCAGTGTTTCCGCCAGACCAACGCCCAAAGGCCGTCCCATGGAGGGCGGAGCGGCGAGCTTACTACAGTGGTCCTAAATTTTTAAATTTATAACGCTCTCAAAGGCTATTTCCCGCATTTTGAGAGGCAAATAATTGTTGATAAAGGACGGTCTCCTTTCTGGCTCAGGCCGTCCCCAGCGGGAAGAGAGCGTCAAAGGACGGCTGGACGGTCGCCTGGTGAAAACACTGGATTCCACCAAATAGCATGTATCTGGATGCAGGGAAACCATGAGGAAAATTATTTTTTTGTTTCCTCTCATGTTGTATTTGTATTAAAAACAAAACTGTGTTGATTATGTTTTCTTCTTGTGTTACACTTGCAGGACCTATTCGGATGAGTCTATGACAGGTTACTCCACGGACTCCCTGCTGTCCATCCTGTCACATGACAGTTACACCACGCCCACTGACTCTGACCTGTCTGATGAGGAGTCCAGAAAACCATACAGGTGAGGATTGGTAGACAGCACATGGGTTAGGGGAAGATTGACAGGCAGATTGAGAATGACATGTCTCAGAATTTGGCCTGGAGCTAAAACAATGGTACTCACTACGGTACTGTAGATAATGAATACTGGATCATTTTCAATGTGCACCCCCCCACCCCCGCTTGTACACACACACTAACTTGTGTGAAAAAGATCTCCAATTCCATTAGAATAACGTGTGATGTTTTCTCCACAGAGAAGAGAGACCTCCTGAGCCACCGAAACCCAAACCTCCTCCACCCAGGAAACAGAAGAAGGAAAAGAAGACTTCTCACTGGGAGGAATGGGTCATCAGGAAAACTCAAGAGGAGAGGGAGAAAAGGAAAAAGCTGGCATGGAAGGTAAGAAAACAGTACCATAAGATCAATGTAATGATTAATTTCTACTAGACATCATATGGCTTCTATAAGGTATGCATTGTCCTTTTATGGATAGGGACAAAAAGACAGTGGCTCCATGTATGAGGGAACCTATGGAGTCAAACCGTTGCATGTTAAAGAACCCAACACACTTATGAGGAAGACTAGGGATGTCCAAGTATGGTTGGCTTATGAACTGTAGCAAAGTCTTTCAGTCTAAGGTTTTTATTATTTTACTAGAATTTAGAAGAACAAAGAACATTTGACAGAAAGAGCTGGAATTTTAGTCATCTCCCTATACTATGTACATTGTACATATGTCTGATTTGAAATATTCAATTTGTTTCTTTTCTCCATGTCAGGAAAAGGAAGAGAAAGAAGAACAAGAAAGGCAAAGAAAAGAGAAGGAAGAAAAAAAGCAACTAGCAGACAAGAAGCACAAGGAATGGGCAGAGCAGAAAACACTGCAGCAAAAAATACAGAGGAAGGCAAAAGCTCGACAAGAAAAGGCAGAGAAAGAAATCGAAGAACAGAAAAAGCAACAAGTACATGTAAGTATTGGTATTGAAGAACCTCTAGTATGACATGTAACTTTTGATTGAAAAAAAAATCATCTGTAATGTAGTTTACAGAAAAACATTAATATCTTTGGATAATGAAAAACATCCATGCAATTTTGCACAGCTGAAATTAATTGTGTGGTAATATTGAAGACTGGTTGAAAAATATAGCATTGTAAGGTTTATAATGTAATTTTTTTCTTTCTGCCAGGAAAAAGCTAAAAAAGAGTATGATTTGTGGCTGGAAGCAAAGAAACAAAAGGAGGAAGAAATAAGACAAAAGCAGGAAGAGGATAGAAGAAGAAAAGAAGCAGAGAAGGAGGAGAAGCAGAAGCAAGCAGAAGAAGTGTACAACGAGTGGCTAAAGAAGTCCAAGACAAAACCCAGACCGATGTTCCACAGTTTTGGTTACACAGGAGGAGTTTTAACAGGTGTGTTAGACCCTCACACGTTCAGGGCGTTTCACAAAGTTACAATCCCTTATAGCCAGCACGTCGGCAGAACGTACTGCGCCTGCGCAGAACCCCGTATTTTTGCGTTTTTCGTTGGGTTTTTGGTCAACGTTGCATCAGAATTTTGCCTGTTGCAGAGGATATTCTTTCCGACACAACATTTGGAAACTACTGTCGAAATGCTAACCTTATATGAGCAAACACAACCTTATATGAGACATTCTGCCAAAGTGCTATGTACAATACATTACGGGTTTCGCACAGGTGCAGTACGTTCTGCCGACGTGCCCTTATAGCCTGTGTTACACATCTCTTTCTTTCAAGGGCTACTAGTATTAAAATAACTTGGGACCCCTTCTACTAGTTCTAAGGGACTGGCCATTGGAAGGGCTGCTAGAAGAATGATGTAGTCAGGCTATGGCTTGGAGAAATACAGCTAGCTTTGGTTTTTAAATTCAAAATCAAATTCTCTCTTCCAGGTTACCATGATCGGGCTGCTTACCCCATTCCCAGCTTCTATAACCCCGTTCCCTGGATGCCCATACACGTGCCACAGGAGAAACAACAACCAAAGCCAAAGGTCCCCGACAAGAAACGGAGGGTGGGTAGACAGAAGAGCCAACACCAGCCGTCACCCCCTCTGCTGTGGAAAGAAGTGGAGCAAAGAACTGTCCGAAAACAGAGTTCTCTCACCACAAGAAAGAGATAGGACAAACTGCAATAGCAATTTTAATAGAAAAACTGTTCAATTTTCTAGGCTTGTACAGCTCATATGCACCTTTGTACATACAAGTTAGGGCATAAAGATTCCAATTTTGCAACTCGTAAAACATTTTTCGTGCTGTTACTTGCAATTAAATTGTCAGCAACAAGTTTTGTATATTTGTAACTGTACGTATACCTGTATATTGATATGTATGCATTATGTATGTACAACATAGAGTTAACGCCCTTGCTATGAATTCACTTCCTCAAATCATATGGTATTTTTTTTACAACACTCAAAGTGGAAAATTATTACATAGTAAGCATGATTCAAGATGCAAATACTATTTCTTACTGTGTTTAGAGAATATACATACATGCATATGTATGAAGTTTTCAAAGCACACTGTTAAGGCACTTAACTCAATCACACAATAACCAACTGTACACTTTACACATAGAATTTTCATCAAAATCATTAGAAATAAAAATCATCAATTTTTTGTTACAAAAAGCCATAGATTTTACTCAAGTTGCTCAGGTAGATTTTTGGTTCTATGAAATTTCCTAAATCATGGTAATGTTATGGGAAAGAAGACCTATTGTTTGTTGCTACTTTTTATAATATATGCATATATAAAAGTTTTAGAGACATTACAAAATGTCTTAGAATACATCTGAAGATATGTTTCTGATAATCTAGACTCTTGAAAAGATTCTAAGAAACACTCCCAATGCAAGTGTATAAAACCAAGGAGTCCTTGATAAACAAGTTGTTCGGTGTGATATAGCCAGCTGACGCCGCACCGCGTGCCTGTGAAGCTGGTGTGTTATGCCAAAGGGCTGTTATACCGGCTATACTGATACAGATACAGAAATCTCAGACAAACTAGTCATGAAATGATAGCTCAGATTATTGACACTTGTTTGCATCGCTGCTACATAGTAGTAACTGCACATTGTATAAAACATGTTTGAATAAAACAGAAACTAGGAGAGGAACCCTTCCCACAAAGCCACAGAAAGAACATAAACAGTTTCCTAACTTTTCTGTAAGCTTTTTAGCCAGACACACTGTATAAAACCACCATACCTGCTTTCCAAGTTATGCATACTACTAATATTTACTAATAACATGTTTTCACAATTGAAACCAATTTGCCAAGTTTATACATTTCATATAGTGCATAAATACTAGGTAATGACAGTTCTGAACAGAATTTGTTGCTACCTACCACCGCTTACCACTTTTCTGGCTAGTGAAGCAAACTTATTCATCCCTTTTCTGGCATAATAATATGTAAGGATCATTTCATGTAAGGATCTAATTCTGTGACACTGTTACAACTTTGGTCCACAGAGAAATAATAGACAGTTGCATAGTTTCTGAATAAAGTTTAACATCAATTGTCTTCCAAAAAATTAATCATAAGTGAAATTAATTTGCTATTTTATGACAAGTTTCTTTTTTTAAAACTTAGACTATCAAATACATGTCCCAAAAAATCTTAGTTGAAAATAGTGGGATGAACTAAATGCTCTTTTCAGTGATTTCATTGCATAACTAGTATTACTGAAGGTCCCAAAGCTCGGCCAATATCAGTGTCTGCTTGAAGTTTCTGGTGTTCACACCTGCATACCTCTGGGGCTATCCATGGATACTGATTCAGACAATGGTTCCGACATCTTTCTAGCATCTGACAGGAGGCAGGCCTGTCCAAAGTCTATGATTTTCATCTTGTTATCAGCCAAAACAATGATGTTGTTTGGTTTTAAATCACAGTGCAGAATGCCATGCATGTGGACTTTAGATAACACATTGCACACATCTGTACTAATGATGGTGGATTAGGCTTCATGCATTGGTATCACTGAAGGTCCCAAAGCTCAGCCAATAGGGGTGTCAGCTTGAAGCTTCTGGTTTTCATGTAGGCCTCGTGCATCTCTCCAAGCGTGCGCATTTCTGTCAGCATGGCTGTGATCTTTGCGAACATGTTGGGTTTGGAGTAGTTCAGTCTACAGTAGGTCTGTAGGGCATTGATGTACGGCTCCTGAGCTTTCTCAATCACGTGGTAATTCTTGATCAACGGTCGGTCTGAAAAACAGACAGTCATGTCGCGTTACTACACTTGTATAAAAAATCACCAAAGAATAGTAGATAAAATAGAATGCATAAACATCTCAGAAAAGCTTTTAAAAAGTTACAAAATATATACTAGTAGGCATAGCCTCTGCTTGGAGAGTACTTGGTAAATACATGTAGTTTTGTCATGTTGGTATGTCACTGGGTATTGAGTGATTGGGGGGGGGGGATACAAGCTTTGTCATGCTTGAGGTAGCAGAACACAGTTTTTCGCCTATGGGGATTTCTATAGTTAAGGACCCGGAAGTGACTGACATCGACTCGGATAAAAATACAGTAGGGTACCATAGGAAAGCACGAGAAACGAATATGTTCAAATATAGGGTACGATGTACAAAATAACAAAAAAGTACAAAAAGTTATTGTTTTTTTGACATTATGCCGACCTCTTTTAAATGGCCTCCTGCGGAGCGCACCGGAACTGCAGCCGACTCACCATGGCAGGCAGCGAAAAGGTCACGCGCATTTATACGCCGATCGAGCAGCCTTCCTAATCTCAATTATGCGATATCAAAGCCGACATATTATGGTACCATATGGTAACTTGTATGTCCCGGTGTCATCCACGTTAGGCTGTGTACAAGCGGTGCAAGCTGTTTGTCGCACTCATTTCTTATCCCTACGTCATCGTCTCTGGGGGTCGCGGAGGAATACTGTGTTCTGCTACCTTGAGACTATGGGTACATTCATCTCACTGCAGTGCCACCTAGCAGTGGAATGTAAATTGCAGTGAGGAAGGAAGCTGAAGGATCACCAGAACATGAGCAGGAAATTGTTTTGGGCTGCATACATCAAGATTTGTATTACCTGGTGACAACAGGACCAGTGCAATGATAAGTGCATAAGTGTTGTCATCAAGCTTCAGGTCCTGCATCTTGAAGTAGAATTCCTTGAAACTTTCCAGTATCTGGCGGTTTCCACCTATTAGAAACAAAAAAAGTTATAGTCAAGCCGAGAAATGTGTTACCAGTGATTAAAAGGTCTCTTTAACACAAAGATTGGACTCACCAAGTTTTATTTTTTGTGGGGACCAAATTTTTTCACTTTTTTGGTTTTCTTCTTTTGATGTGAAAGAGTTAGTTGGAGATTGTTAAAAAGTTGTTGTGTGAGGTGGTTGGAGACTTAAAAAGTTGGTGAGTCCAATTTTTGCAATTTAACATTTCCAAAATATTGTATGTATTCAAACACTGATGAGCTGTCATACTGGGAATGCATTTATGATTATAATAGTCTACTGTATAAAACATTTATGATATACATATACACTGTAATATGACTGCAAACAATATTTTCTTTAGCAGAGTAGAAACAATAATGTCCTTCCTACTTGTTCATTGCACTTGAATGAAATATGCAAGAATATCATTTGTCTCAAGAAAATACAATTAGACATTTTAAAAAATGATAGACAAATGATACACACAGGGTCACCTGTATTCTTCTTGATATAAAGTGTGTTGGATTCTTGGTGCAGAGGTTTGATTCCTGGTGTTTATGATCCCTTATGAAAAATGACCGCTCAACTTACCTATCCCTTGACCAGGAATGATCTTTCTCCAATGCCAAGAACACCTCACCAGCATAAGGGCCTCAAAAGATGCACCCTGTCAGCAGAATAAGACGAGTAAACAACATGCAGGGAAGGCCTGGCTTACCTTCCAACCCTGCACCTACCTGGGACCACACACCAGCGCCCCCTACTGTGTGTGTGCAGTATTGCAGGCGCTTGACTTACCACTGTGAAGATATGCTTGCCCTTGACCTCCTTGTATTGCGGGCCTCTCGAATGATTTGTTCCAGCAACCCAGACTGATAATGGCTTCAAACGTTCCAGCCTGAGGGATCAAGCCAGTCTATTAGGTTGATTGACTGATTTTGTGCCTTCCGAGGCAAAATTTTGTGCATAATCAATGACCTAAGATCTGATTGGTTGACGAGTGTATATAAAGGATTGTAAAAAGGTATGAAGAAACTGTGAACCAAGGAATTAAATTGAACTAGCCACTTGTAACTGGCAAAACTTCACCCCCTATATGCATGAGAGTGGTACATAATAATGATATTGTCCCCATCCAATGGCATACTATCATTCCACCACTCCGGTATAACTATACCTGTCCTGGGCATAGTGGGGTGTATTAGCATATGTGTTTGTGTGCGACTTTTGTGTCCTGGGAAGGAGAAGGCATTTTCTACACAAAGCATGCTGGGAAAAGTGAATTATCCTGGGGATGAGTGTTTTGTTGCAAACCACTGTGCTCTACGTAGCACACCAATGTAGCAGGAAGCAGCTAACTACAAGACAGCACACTAAACAGGGTGGGAAGTAAACATGCTAGGGAATCATTTGGTGCAAAGGACTGGACAAAAATCAATTGCATGTACAATATAATATATAATTGAGGAGGCATAAATACAAATATTAGTGCAGCATTCTGTATGAATGTATGATAGAAACAATAGCAAAACAAGAAAGTCTGTCTCTAAGTAAATATATTGGCATCTTCATTTTGTCTTACTGCTTTAGACTTAACCACTGTATCCTATATACATTTAATACATGATAAATTATACCTCCCACACACATGTAGGGTAAGGATCATAAACACTACATTGAGTATATTCAAAGTTCAAAATCTCAACTAACTAACCATCAAGCATTTTGTTGTACGTTGCACTTAATTTTCAAATAAAAGACAAATTTTTCAGTCAGATGTTATACTTATTGAATTGAACATATCAAAGATGATACTGACCTTAAGAATCGCTATCTGGTCTCCTTCGCTGAAGGTCATGAAACCTTCCAGGCACTTGGCAAACTGGACAAGTCGCTCCACCATCATGGTGACTTTCTCCTGGAACATGGCCCTTCTCTCCTCTACTGTGGGCAGTTCCATCATTCTCTTGTACATGCCCTACATTTGTTAAATAACAAAATCATCTTTAGTAAACAATATGTCATATACATATAATAATGTCTTTCTATAATGTGCCAGTGAGTCTACATGTACATCAGAAGTGGAAAAGGCTCTTGAAATCTTTGTCTGCAACATGCTGATACACTATATCTAAAATACTGGCCACATAAAATCTCAGGAAGTGGTACAAATGGGTTGTGGCTTTAATATAATAGGTTATAAATGATTGGTAACACCAATTATTAAAAGGACTTTCAAATTGGTCTTTTTGTCAACCCTTGTTGCTTTCCCAATTGTGTAAGATAGAGAGAAATAATGCATTCTTACTGACAACAATTTTAAGTTATTAGTTTGTTTCTTATTTCACAGACTCTGAGATAGTCTATTTGCAAAAGCTTTTGAAGAAAAGGAAGAAACACATTTAATACTAACCTCATGACAGGGTATTACACATGGCAAATACTTTTCCTTGGCTTCTCTGCAAGCTGTCAGCAACTTGTGCTGCTCACTGGTCAGTGTTACTGATGGCACTGAGCTGCTTGGCTGCTCAATAGGACTGACAGGTGAAGGGGACCCCTGATTGGACAAGGGACTGAGCAAAGTGTTCTGATTGGCCGAGAGGGTAGCTGGTGAGTATGGGTTGGCTGAAAAGGCAGCTAGTGAGTTCTGATTGGTCGACAAGGCAGCTGGTGAGTTCTGATTGGCCGACAAGGCAGCTGGCGAGCCCTGATTGCTTGAAAAGTATGGTGATGAGCTCTGACTACTGGAGAAGGTAGATGATGGACCCTGATTGGTCAGATAGGCAGGTGGTAAGTCCTGATTGGTCAGATAGGCAGGTGGTGAGTCCTGATTGGTCATATAGGCACATGGTGAGTCCTCATTGGTGGGGGACTTTTTGAATTGGGTGTCAGGAGGACCTGGCTCATCACCACCTTTTCTTTTCCTTCTCCAAAGAAATTTTGACTGAATCTGGACATTGGTAAGGAGACCTGGAAGATAATAAAACGTTTGCTGTATTACGAGAACTGTATAACTTAAGTTCAGAGTTCCCATATCATTTTTCTTCTCACTGCTGACTTACTGTATACTTATTATATAATGACTATTGTAATAAAATTAAAAATGGGTATTACACAACTTAGCTTCCTGAAGGCATGTGCTAGGTCATCTTCTGGTGACCTCCCTATCAATTAACTGTCAAAATCACCTCCCACCCACCATGAAACCAAAAGCAATCAGCACAGTTAGACTGTCACAAACCCATTAACTCAGCCACCCAAAACAATACTACAGACTCCGTACAATGGTGTAAACTGTAAAGAAATAGATGCTTACATTCAGGTTTCATGCCGGCTTCCTTACACTTCCTGAGCCGACATTCCTGACACTTCCTGCGCATGTAGGTGTCCATCTCACACTTCCCTCCAGACTTACACTTGTACGTGGCATTGCGCTGGATACTTCTTCTGAAAAACCCTGAAACAAAAAGAAAGCAATATTGTCTTCCATACATATTTCTTGAACACTCAAAAAATCTTATGCATGCACTAGTAGCATGCCCGTAGCCAGGATTTTGAATGGGGGGGTTCGTCCCACTGCTTGAGGGGACCTCGAGCGCCGTAGGCGCGAGGCGAGCGCCGAAGGCGCGAGGTTCCTAGGGGGGGTCCGGGGGGCATGCTCCCCCGGAAAATTTTGAAAAATGAACCTTCTAAAATGGCATTTCGTGCATTTTTGAGAGGATTTCCAAGAAAAAATCAGAGATAAATTTTTATTCAATGACAAAGGGAGCAGTTCTTCTACGATTCCAGTCCATCTTTTCAAGAACAATCTTGGACCTTTACATAAAAAGTGGACCAAAAAGTGGACCTTTACATAAAAAGTGGACCAAAAAGTGGACCTTTGAGCCTTGTGGGGGGGTTCTTCCGAACCCCCCGAACCCCCCCTGGCTACGGGCTGAGTAGTTGTTAGGGGTAATGATAGCACTCTTAGAAGAAAGAGTTTGTATTTACTACAAATACATGTTAAGCATGATTCTGAGTTATTTTAACACACTGACTCTGTGTTGATAGGTTTCTTACATGCACTTGTAGCCATGGTTCTTTCATCTGGTGTCTTGCACTGTGATTTGGTAAGTTAACACAAATGCTCTATTTGAAGGAAATACATCACTGACGTACATTGTGAATTTATTTAGCATTTGGACATGGAAATAAAGCCTGCACATAGGGAAGCACATCTTTGTTAATTAGGCCATGTTGATTTGATTATATGGATGACATCCTCCGGGAACCCAAAAATTGATGCGCGCGTGCGAATAAAAAAAAAAGTTTTGCAAAAAAAAAAAGTTGTTTTCATTATGAAATCTACGTGGTCATGAGGGTTGAACAAATGGGGCAGAATATGGTTTGGCGAATAATCTAGTCTTCAAGTTCATTTCTTTACAATTTCGTCTTTTTTCGTTTGATTTTGGCATTCTACGACATTGGTATGTTTTTTTGTAACTTACGGTATATTTTTGCTCATTTTGCAACTGTTTTGTACGATTTACAGTATGGTTGAAAACTTTTTTTTTTTTGGGAAACGGCCGAAAATTCATGCGCGCGCGGATGTCATCCATATAATCAAATCAACATGGCCTTATAGTAAATTTACTATGTTACCTTTGCAGCCCTCACAGCTGAGTGCTCCATAGTGAAACCCTGAAGCCTTGTCTCCACATACTACACATGCAGTAGGGTCCACCGGAGCATCCCCTGCAGCCTTTTACACAAAAGAAAAATGAGACAGAAAAATGTCAGAAATTTTTTTCTCTGCAAAACATTGTTATTAGCCTGGATGCCAGCTTTGTTAGCTTTGGGCTACTCCCACTGATTTCTGGGAAAGGCCTTTAAGTTAACATGGCTGGCATCCAGGCTAGCATATTGCAAGCTTTGAACATAACAATTTTCATTTCAACTTCTGATTTCCATACATAAATATATAACATTACAGTACTTGTACATGTATTACACCATTGAACACTTTTTGCATTACAGCAGCAGACACAGATTTTACAAAATCAGCAACATTCTGAAAATTTTTAAACACAATCAGCTACACTCATGATGCAAAAGACCAAATATAAAATCAACTTTGTTTGCTCATGAATAATATTATTACTCTCCAAGCAGAAGTTTGGGTTTTGGCTTATTTTGGGCATGTTTTTAGGCTTTTTTATCGGGCTTCTTTTTTGCACTAGAATCCCCCCCCCCGACTCAACCTCTGCATATGGTGAAATTCCCGTCTGTATATGGATGCATGGAGAGTATAATTGCAAGAAAATTGTGAACAGCATCTACATACCTGTGGTTTTTCTTCCTTACTGTCGAATATCTTGTCAAAGATGTCATTAGAGATAGAGTCACAGTCAAAAGGATTGGAGGCAGCATCCATATCTAACATACTGCTGACAATAGAGTCAATAGACAGTTGTCGTGTTGCTGCCGCCATGTCTGGACTTCTTCTTTCACCACCAGTAGAGTTCAACCTAGTGTCAACAAACATGTAAAGGTGTGAAACAATTTTTCATACACATGTATATTTATCAATCTAGCACATTCTGCTTGAGATTCAATACTTGAAATTTTACAATGCATGTACAGGTACTAGTATGGTATAAACAAGCTTCTAAAAGCTGACTTTTCTAATGTTTTTCCATCATAGTCCTATATTTAAAAAAAAGCTAGTTGTCTTCCGTTTACCTACAATGTAACCATATGGATCACTTTAAGAACTAGTGTCTGAAGTTCAATCTCTTCTATTAGAGATCAGTTTGTTTAGTTAAGGAGGCTTAATTTTCCGTCCTTTGGTCCAGACATATCAAAGTACCTTGATGACAGATTTATATACTTCAAGTCACTAATAACATACTTAAAAATACTACATTAACGACTCAATGTTACACTATAAAGGACACAAAACTATTTTTAGTTTTCCATGCAACATGAGAGGGATAAAATCCGATTTTTCATTCTGTCTCAATGAGCTAGACTACTACAGCTGGGAAAACAAGTCCTTTCAATACCCACTTCACAATATACTTCACTATTCACAGTACCCTGGAACAACATATGACTCATGTATATAAGTCTGGGGACACACCTACACTAAAGCCCCTTAAATCACATAGAATAATCACTTCCTGTGCAAATTGTCAATTATGTAATTAGCCCACAATAGGAGATACTGGGTGGGTACGGCTGGTTATTCTAGACATGAATGCATTTGATGTATTAACCTTCTCCCTGCTGCCTAACCCCATAACCTATAGAGAACTGGTCGCCTAGCAGATACTTCAGTATGCTAAAGGTTAAGGTCACCGAATACTGGCAAAACTAAAGGTGAGTACATACAGTTTCACCTCACAAATAAAAAACAAACTTTGGACATAATTTTCAATGCCTATGACCAAAATATAGAAACCTGGAGACCTATACGTAGATATTAACATAGCAACAGCCTTAAGGTAAAACAACAGGTACAAAATGTAACACTAAGCAATGAGAGTGTCAACAGGTGAACAAACAAAAGTTATTGGACCCATCATCAGTTTTGTAGTGGTCTAAAATACCTAGTAACAAGCAAAACACATCACCAAGTTTAGATATAAGGCCACACCAAGTAAATTTTATGGATGACGTCCTTTGGAGACCCTAAATCTAATGCGAGAGGGCGAGAAAAAAACAAGAAGGGCCCTAAAAAACAAGAAGCCTATATTAGAAATTTACTAAGAGACGACAAATGTTAGGACACAAATTGAATGAGGTGACACAGTGTGACAAGCAAGAAGTCTTTTATTCATCATCAAAACAGCAATAAGTCAGGTGGAACAGCAGTTGTCGTCCTGTCCTGTTTTCGCGTTACGGGCTTCACGTCAATCTGACGATTTGCGGCACTGACGTGACTCTTTGGTCATAGTTACAGGAAGCGGAATTTCTTTTTTTTTTTCTACGAACAGGCCAAAATCAATGCGCGCGCGGACGTCATCCATAAAATTTACATAGAATAAGCCAAATCCACATGGTCAAACTGAACAATTTCAAACTACATTGTATTAAATTTTCAAACAAATACTTCATGTACATTGGTACTAGAAAAATTATAACCTATCAAAGAAGACATATAATTTAAGGTACATGTACTTCAAAATCACAAAAAGAAATGTCCAAACTGTACAAAATGATACACTTGTACTACCCAGTATCTTCTTATCAACACAAAAATTCTATTTTGAAAACAACGTTATAGTAAAAATGTAGTTTTGGCTATGAATTTGTGATGGCACGTTTTACAACCCAAATATTATTTCAAACGATATAATTTTGATATACCTGGCTAAATTGGCACTGGTTGTTTAATGGACGATTGTGTATAACCAGTCCCAACTTGGTCCTTTCTACCGGTTGATAACTAACATGGATAACAACAGATGTTATGTTTCTCGGGCCTCAAAAAAACATCTGCAGATGCCATGTTACAGATCAAAGTACCGCATTTTCTAGCTTTTCTCTCCTCACAATATGCACAATACATAACCAGACAGCACCACAAGAGTGTGGATAAATAAATCTGTGAGAAAAGTAGCGCGAAGTCGCTACGTATTTGGAGAAAGTCACCTTTTTTAAGAGGAAGAAAGTTCGTACCTACCTTCTTCTGGTACACTTTCTCTGCCTTTTACGTCACGTAACCTTTGACCTCCCCGTGACTCATATCACCGCAGCAACACGCAAATACACACCCACAGTGGGCGAGTTTAAGTATTAATACAAGATATTTTCAAGGACATTTGACCAATGTTTAAGAATTTTTCTTTTCCTCTTTGAATTTTTCGATTATGCGTACCGTCTCCTGCCTTTGACTAATAAGAATTTGGCTGAAACTTAAAGGATTAGACTCAAAGAGAGCAGATACAGGACACGCCCCTTTTTCAAGAAGGGTTGTTTACAAGATTTTGTTACAAGCCTTAATCATGTTACCAAACCTTTGTCGCGAATTTTACCATCGTAATACGTAATCAAAAACACGAGGTATTCGGTTTTCATCGACAAAATAACTTGAGAACGCTGGAAGTCGCCGTAAATTCCCAGTAAATTTCCAAAAAATCCCGACGTCAAAAGAGCAATGTCCTCTCGGTTAATCTTATATCGGGGGTCAATACCCGTTCGGTCAATCTTCAATTGACGCATGAAAAGGATGCTCGCTCGGTCAATCTTTGTATTAGTCAGAGAAGATTGTTTCCCGGGGGCGTTGGGTGGTCTAGGGAGGTCACAGAAAATCATTAAGTTAAAAAGATTGCTTGACCCCCTTTTTTATGTGCATCAGTCTAGCGTAAAACGCACAAACAGATAGAAAGGAACAAGAAAAACATGTCTTACAGTAGTAAGCTTTTATCTTTATTCTACATCTGTTGGTTCTTCCAAGAGGGCAGCATCAAGAGACAAACACATTGAAAATGTACAAGGTGTTCTCTAGAAAACAATGTGCATAGCAAGGCTCGTTTTATTACGAATACAACAAATTGTATACATGTCAGAAGTAGCAAAATTGGAAGACACTAGAGACCCTTCACTCATGTGCTAACGTACATACTCTCTGCTATACAACATTTTATCAGACATTGTCGATAATAAATACATACACTTTGAACACATTCCCACATCCACACTTCACACTTACATTGTATGCAAAGCAAGAAAAACTTTGATTGGCAGCAAAAGAGTTAACATTGAGCAGAGTTAAACATGTACAGTTACATTCAAACATGTACAGGAACAATTCTATCACAAGTTGGATTGTACTTACATTTCTCTAACAATCTACTACTTGTGTGTCTACAGCTCTTTGCATCTTAATTAATCAACAATGGCAAATTTGCCTCAATGGTTTCTATAATTGTTACATTGACAATACTTTTCAACATTGTGACAGAGAGTAGTAAAGTCTATTGAGCAATTAGGCTCGTTTAAACTCTCTAAACTAAATTCCGCAGCAGTGGTTTCAATTAAAGAAGATTTTGTTCATCTCCAAAGATGACAATACTAGCCTTCTGCAAGAAAAAAACATCTCCCAAAAAGAGCAGTTGCGTTTCTGTGATACCTTTCTTTTACTTGTACCAATATACACAGATAGAGTTGAGGATTGTATACTATACTAACAACATACTATACACTGACACCATTGTAGTCACTATCAAGTATCATATCTTATCAAAACAATTCATAGTTACATTTTTCCTGTCATGTCTGGCAATATGAGACTTTTTCTGAACTGTGTCATCTACAATAAACTTCGCAACCTCCATGATTTATACAAAATCACTCGTTCTTAGCAAATCTACACCAACATTTTTTTCAATCACTAGTAGCAACAAAATCATTACCTCTTGACAAGGAAAGCTGTTCTGCCAAAGAAATGTTTCAAAGAGTTGAACAATGTAATATGGCTTTGTTCATTGAAGCTTAACAATATATATAGTGCCTGTAGCAAATCAGCAGGTACTAGTACCTGTTTTTTTAAGTCATGAAAATTTCATCTAGTGTACAGTAATAGACCAATCCTGCTTCTCCGTCAAAACTATTTAGTGGTTCAATGTATGTCAACTCTTACTCTTAAGTCTGTGTTTTTGTCTGGTACAGTGTATGTTTAACATTTCGATGAGAGCAGAAAAGGCTACAGCTATGTGAACAGACTAGTGAATTGTAGCCCTATAGTCTTACAGTGTTGCTGTTTTTGCACAATTCACAGAAAAGCTTTTCTATTACAACAAATACAGCACAAGTCACATGCAACAGCAAGGCAGCAAAGTAGGAAAGACAGCAACAGGAAATACAATTTTGGCAGTTTTATAACTTCCCGGAATTTTTCAAAGATGCAAGCATTTTACTCGAAAACTGTACAAAATTGACATTTGGCAAAATGGTTTGCACATTTCTTGTGTTGAGTGTTCCTTGCACATTGAAAAAAGCTACCTATACTTACATTTAGTCATCCCCTATGAGGGGACAAAAATACGCTGCTTACATTTTCTACACTTTCTATTCCTGATAAGAAATAGAGTTAAAGAAAAGACAGTAGTTTATCATTTAGGTCTACATGTACAAAACTGTTTCCTAGTACTGTAGTGCAATACATTTCATTACGTAATGCTGGCACAGAGAAACATATACAATGCGTATAAACAATGATACTAGTCATATTTGAAGAATATGTTTGGCATGCTGCTGATATGAAATAATAGTCAAGGAAAGATTTCAATCTTACTAGAATGTTTTGAACTTATACAAGACATTCCCGGAAATAACTGTGTACCTTGTCAGATGTCAAATGTACCTGGTATATCCAGGTATATACTGTATACAGGCATTAAAACTAGCACCTATGTGTATGACATGTGCTAATGTATAGGCAAGGGCATGTCATGTCAGATTCAACTGATATTTCTTGTAGACTAGCCTATTAAGCTTTTAACCACTGAGTTGAGTAAAACAGATGAAGCAGTCTTCAGTTAAGGTATGTTTTATATAACGAGACCACCATGGCAGAAACTGTGGTCACAAATTACGCATACAAAGCTATCTTTTACTACATGTAGGTGGGTATGTCCAACGACAGTATTCGCGGAAATTTCACTATTTAACATGGGTGGGGCATGTGACCTAAGCCCTATTCCGCTGTACATATCCCCATCCATAGAGGAGTTAGACATGAGGTCCAGGTACATAATGCACAGTTGAGGAGGATCAGAACTTGGCAGTCTGGATGGCACTGTTCCTCCACTCCCGGTACTGAAGGCCTTTGGACAGCATCACAGACTCAAGATCCTTGTCTTCCTCCTTCTCCCTGTAGGACAGAGGTTTTCATGTTAGAGACTCAGTGTGATTTGGTTGTCACGAAATACATGAAATACAAGTACGTGTATAAAACTTGCACTAATGGTTGGGTATATGAAGTAGTAATCAATATATAACCATTATGTTCTACCATGGAAACTTGTGATTACAAGCAATATAACTGTAAGTCGTGAAATGATTATGGTAGCATTATTTTCATGTTTTTTTTCCTTTGTTTTGTTGTTTTGTTTCTGAAGTAACAATCTTAGATTTGAAAACAACTGGCTTAACAAACATTATGGTTTGTTGCTGTTTTTGGTTGAAATGAAGGGTTATGAAATTTTGTTGGGATATTTTTGTGTTACATGGTACATGTACTTCTGTATGTGTTACTAAGTCAGTCTGTGGTATATTATTTCAAGTGTCAGTATTGTGTCAGTGAAGCTGCAAAAATACAATGTAATAGCCTGGAATCCACCACCTCCACCTTCCTGTAGAAGCTTCAAGGTTACAAGGTTAAAAAGTGCTGCATTCTACAAGTGATGTTACCTTATTACTGTACCGTTATTTTGCATTAAAACTGAGGTCGTTGGGCTGTTCAGAGACAGGATACACCAAGTAAACTTCAGTCGTAAAGTCAAAAACAGAAGTAAGGGACTTCTGTACTGTTACTCAAACTCTGGAGACAAATTTGACAAAAAAGTCTTTGTAAAGGTATATTTTGTATAGCACATTTCTCTGAACAGCACAATAGACATCAAAATGGCATTGGTGAAAACAATTAGACTTGATGAACTTGATTATCTACAGAGACATCTCATAAGTTTCCTTGTTTTGCCACAGGAAAACTGAAAAATTCTTTTTTGTATGTTCTGTCTTAACTCACATATTTTGTATCTCTATTATGCAGAGATATATTCAGACGGTGTTAGATAGAGTTCCTATCTGACTAGCTTGGGGATCTGTGCAAAACAGTGAACTTATGATTGAGATGCTCTCTACTACCATGGCTGCCCTCCACCTAAGCATACAGAACTACACAGTAAACCTTTGGGTTGTTGCTTTTTGGGTTGGGACGAGAGAGCTGTATCCAACATCTGATCTCTGAAGGAGGAAACACACATGTTAACAACTATATACTTAATTTCTGGACACAGTTTAGTTTGGATACATGTGCTTGAGTTTTGATTGAGTGTATAACTGGTGTAAGTCATCAACAGTTAGATTGATGTGTTAATCAGAATTATAATAATTATCTTTTATCAGTTAGCATGATGTGTTATCTGAAATAATCTTTTAATTGTTCTCAACACTGTCAGTTAGAATACATTTTATGTACATAGCACTTGTCTAGTAATAAGTTGTTGGTTTTCATTATGTTTCCTGATATTGAAATTGAAAAACTGAAAAGTCATAAATGCAAGATGAGGATGTGGAAGAGGTTTTACATGATAACAGTATCTTTAAAATGATTTTAACTGATTAACTGGATTGACTTGGCATGTTAAGTATATGTATGTGACATTACATCATGTAACTTGAGCATTTGGCTGGAATATTTGTTCAATAAACAATTGGTTAATACACTAAAGAAATGTGAACATAAATCAATGTAGATACCTGTTACAAGGAAATGGTGGAAGTTATCTTGTTAAAACTATATTACATAATTTATGTTGGTGATTAACAGTAAGGAAATATTATGTACAGTGAGTATTCGACAAGTTAATTTTAGTCATTGTGAGGATAAGTACAAAGTACCTTAACTGGTCATGGTGCCACAAAATTATACACATTTGAAATGTTTGACGTGAATGTACACTTTCCATTCAAAAACATGCAAACATGACACCATGATAATACATTGGATCACACATAGAACCCCTGCACCTTAGCACAGGTTAGTGTGGGGGTACACTGGTTAAGAGCGCCACCTTGCACCAGACACACAAATCACACAAGCTAGGGAACTGTACTTCACTGTGATATTGCTCTGGTAAGGTTTGACTCTTCACTTTCAAGGCTGTGGGAAAGAGATGTAGCAACAGAAACTGTGTCAAACTTACTGTAGGTACCATTAGGTCTTTGGTTGCAAGAAGTATATTTATAGTTGTAGCTGAATTTTATTGTTTCTCTGTTTCATAATTGATAAGAATATGTAAATGCTGACTCCTCATATTGCAACTGTTACAGTTACTATATATTTTACTTTCAAACAGAAATTTAATGTTACTGTTAACTGTTCATTATGTGTTCATCAACAATTTCAGACAGTACCTACATTGTAGACTTGAAACCTATCGGCTGGCAGTATGCTTTTATTGATTGAATAGCAGTATATTTCAGTGATACTCAGAGGAAGTTCAACAAGCCCTGTGGTCAATGCTTTGTAAGGGTTAAGTACATTGTATACGTGTACAACATACTTTAGATCTATAAACTGGCAAAGACTTGACAATACTGTTGCATGATAAAATTTGTGTACAGTCACTCAATACATTACATTGAAGTAAAATTATACAATAGCAACAAATTGGCAATCAGAGAACACTTAGGAGAAAAGAACAGTACTGAAGAATGCCCACCTTAGTCTCTCCTCCTCCAACATGGCCACCAGAGCATCTCTCTGTTCCACAACCTCCAACATCTCATCCAGGATCCTCTTCTCCTCAGCAAGCTCCTCAGGAGTTTTCTTAGAGTCTGGTGGTGATTGTTCAAGACATAAAGTTACAATGTAGAACTGTCACAGTTTTGGTTTTAAAAAAAATGGCATATTTCATACCAGCACCGCTTATGTGTAGCAATCTGTTGAAGACTTTGAAAAAAAAACGCATATCTGAAAGAACACGTAAGAATACTGGACTCATTAAGAATTCAAACCTAGAAGTAATTCTTGTTAAATTAAGTGTATATGGTTAAAAACTGATGAGGGCTGCTTATAATGTAAAAGTTGAAACCAAATCCAATTTGACTAAGCATGCTACATTTTGTGAGAGGTTTGTTTGGCAGTATTATTATTAATAATTTGTTTAACACAAAGAAGGAAGCAGTTTTTCCATCTTCGGAATTTTTCCAGAGATTTCTTAGTTGCATCCTTGTTAGCTTGTCAGTAATTGCAGTATCTTGTCTCTTTATCAGTAATCCCTGAATTACAAAATAATGTAGCAAGGTCCAAGACAAGTCCTTATGTCATACATGTACTTCCTCATCTCTTGTGTCTGTAGCTGTGTATACATTTTTGCAGATGCTAAATAGTGATTACATGTACTAAATTTATTCTTTTTCCAGTATTTTAAGTTCATGGATGAAACAAGTCTATAGTACAGTAGCAATACATTGAACATCCATTACTCACAATCATCATCAATGTTATTAATTCATGGCATTTATGAAAATGCAATGTAAAAGCACTGCAAATGTTTCATGATTCACAGTGCTACATTTGACAACCATTTACCAATGTAGTTCAGAGCTATAACAGTTACAGGACATGTAGACTTAAAAACAATTACTGCTACATAAACTGAATATATGAAATTATAACAATATAATCTTGTCAGAAACAAGAGATGAAGAATCATACTATCAGATGTAATGATGTTGTCGCCTGTATGTAAATGAAGCTGGGGTTGGTTAGGTTGAACGCCATGGCTTAAAAAAAGATGTACTGAGCATGGTAGCCTTACAAGGGATGTCATCTGTCATCTGTCACACATTGTCAAAACATTATCATAATGTTATCATAGTAAAACATAGTCTGTGTCTCTTTACACAGTTAAATTTAAGAGGGTGCCAGTCGAAAACAAGATGGCACAAAGGTATATCATACAAATTCTCAGAGCTGAATCTTAGATGTCTTGTATGAGTTGTAACTGTTAGAATAGTATTAAAAAATGTCTTCAACATTAAATGCGGGATCTTGTTCTAGAAATGATTTTCTGAAATGCATTGTACAAAAATTCATGTAAATCATTATTTTGGAATGTTGGTGCCATCTGGTTTTGCTTATGTAGATAATCTGTAAAGTTGAACTTTAAAGTATAAGTATTAGGCCTGGAAAAGTGAGTTAAAGAGGGTGGTGAAGCTGCGAGGTCAAATTTACTGCAGAATGTGATTCATGCAACTAAGAAAATTCCATCAGGAAAAAAGAACAAGGTACCTATTACAAGGTCTAATATGCCAAAGGGTCGGAGATGCTCAATAACTGAAAGAAGAAAAATGAAGAACATAGAAAACAGTAAGCACCAATAACTACAAAGGAATGGTGACCCTCCTTTTTAAAAATCATTTTATAGCCTATTGCTTCTCAGGCATAATTTTATCAAAGCTGAGTCAAATCTTTTCATGAAAATATCAAGAATCCCTTTTCTTCATACTTTGATATACATGTACATGTACTTCTTAATTCTGAGAGAAAATACTTTTAATCTTTTTTGCATATGTTTGTATCTGCAATTCATTTTACTCTCCCAAGATGTTTTAAAGTAATTACTAAATTATAATTTAAATACAATTTATATAGTATATAAGGAGGGCCACCAACAAAGCAGGACAGTATTCTACTACCATAGTACCCCTGAGACCAAGAACTTTGGGAAAAAATAGCAATAGAAAGGTGAAAATAAATCAAATGACAGGCAAATTCAATACAAAAATTTATCCAGCTTTTCATTTCAAGAAGATACAAGCAAGTCAACGGTTCTAAAATCTTTGTACACCAGAATACAGTTTGAAACTGTTTTAGAACAATTTTGTCATTCAAACCATGTCCTGTACATCATTTATCTGCATTGCTTACCATCGATTGCCATCCTCTCTCTGAGCTCCTGCTGTAGTCGCCCTTGTCTGTCTTCCAGCTCAAGCTCTTTACCACTGAGAGGGACAGAGAGATTAGTAAACAACAGTAAAACAAACAAAAAATGCATTTTCCCACCAACTGACTCCAATCAACTTCCTGCTGATTCTTGTCCAGCTCAGGCTCTTGGACCTAGCTTCCTGTGTCTGACCTTTTGTGGTCTGTTGGGAAACATTAGGGAACTCCTTCACCCCACGTGCTGTCACACAAGCAACGTTCAAACTCACACAAAACAATACCTCCATACCAGGATCCGGAGGTAACAACAAAGCAGTACCCATTGATGACTTACATGTAACTCGATATTTTTAGCCAATTGGAAGACTGAGAAAGATGTATACTTACTACACCATGAGCTCAGACTCATATCTGACGAGCGCATTCTTCTCCTGAACCAGCTGGAACCACTCCTGCATCAGTTTGGCCTCATCCTGGTCTTCTCCTGAGGGAACACAGAACAAAACAGTAAATAACAACAATAAGAACAACTACATGTATAGTAACTCCAGCCTCTATGGCATGACACATGCTTTAAGATCTTAATTACTGTAACAGTTCTCACAGATTTACGAGTTGAGTGTCAAGCAAACCATGATACAGTTAATTATTAAGCCTTCAGAAGAAGTGTGAAGAGCATTTCTACAGCATGTGCAAAAGTTTATTAAACATGGGCAGGCAGCAGTGGCAGATTATGACTGTTGTACAATGTACTAAGTGGTAGGACAACTGTGTTGCCAGTTAGGGATTAAGAACATGTGGATGTGGGAAGAAAAAGGTGCAATTATACATGTAGTTCCTTGCACCTACAATGTACATGTTGTGAGTTATGTCATCAGTAAATATGCTTGCTTAACACACTTAAGTATTTTATGGATATGATACAGATATACATAAGGACAATTGTCATAAAAAATCATTATTATACAATGTAAGGCACATATTAGTCATACTACAGCTGCAGTCAAATGCAAAGGATGCAAAAAATGCAACGTTAACACATTTGCTGAGTAACAAATGTCAAAACCAGAGATAAAGTTGTTGACCAAAAATCTTTTGCATCAACCAAAGCAAGGTTACCATACTGTCATTTTCAATGCAAAGTAATGCAACTATAACTTGGGGGAAGGGGGCATGTACAAATGTATACTGAGCAAGACAGAGGAGTGTTATGTTAGGGTACAGATTAAGGCATCTGTGTCAGGTAATGTTTTGTGGACTGGCTGAATGAACTTGTTGAGAATGTGTTTGAAAGGTTAGTAGTAGCTATAGGGTGTCTAAATGTGGCAGAACTTCTAAAATCTGTGTGATATTTTACATTTTGATTTATGGATTAAAGTTAAAGTTAATATTTCGTCATGGGAAGTAGTACATTTTGTAGTGGCAAAATAAGAACCTCTAAAAGCTAGTGAAGTCTTGAGGAAGTGTACTGCAAGCAAGGTATGGACAGGCAGGCCACTCTATATTAAAGTGAGCTGAAGCTACAAGTAGTTGGCCAAAATCAGACTACAGGCGGTGAGGCATGGGATGTCTCTATCTCAACTCAGGCATTATCCAAGAAGAGAAGTTAAGTAGTTACTGTACCTAGACCAGTGAAACAACATTTTAGGAAAGAGGGGCTTGCCGGTCGCTTGTGTAAGAAGTTGTAGTAGTCTTTGGTGGGTCAGAGAAAAAACAGGGACAGGGGAAAGAGAGAGACAATTCACATTAGGAGCACCAACTCAGGAAAAGGACAAAGAATAGTAATCAGTTGTCAAAGAGAAAAGCTTACAAAAAGATAAAGCCCAATCGTAATTATTAATTGACATAATTGGATACAAACTTGCACATGCAAAGCTCAAGGCAATATGGCAAAGGCACAATATACAAAACTGCACTTCTGTTTGTGTTGTATTCAAATTGGTATAGATGCTGTGAGTCCAAGAAAGTTTTTAGGTATACCACAGTGACAAAATGTTTGTTATTTTCTGGTATTATTTATGAAATTATTCTGTATTAATTCTTTTGGAGTTCAAGGAAAAGATCTTGTAGTATAGTTACGATTTTAAATAAATAACAAATTACAAAAGGGAACAGAGTTTACACCATCACTGACTGAGCTCCCTTTGCACTAGTCAGCATTGTTTCTATAATTGATGGAAAATGATATACGTCATAAAATTATGATTTAAAAGAAAACAATGTTTAAAAATTGTTCTTAATCTATTGAATTACTGTCGGACAGATTTTCGGTAAATACCCTGACAGTTTGCCTAAATAACAGCGAAAGATACCACGTAACTCCTAAAGGCCTAAACAAATGTCAATGACAACCATTGCCAGATGTATCTGGCATTTATATCATTGGTAAATCCCATTGCAAGTTTTGTTCAGTAGACTGACCTGAATACCACTTTTTGTTGAGTGAGCCCTGCATTGCTAACTTCCTGTCCCTGACAGGTACATGTACAATGTTTGCCAACACAATAGCTTAAGATGCCAGATAATTCTAATAATGTATTGTCTATTTAGTATTAATACATTTTGTACTAAGCAACTGCTAACAACAATCACTTCTAGATTTATCTGGCATTTATATCATTCATTTGGTAAATCCAATTTTCAGTGTACTGACCTGACTCCCCCCTGAGAGCCTTCTCCAGCTGCACCCCTCGTGTCTCCAGTTCCCGCTGTTTCACCTCCACCTCCTGCAGCTGTCTCTGGATCACCTGCGCACGCCGCAGCCGCTTCAGCTCCTCCTGACGGGCCTGCCGCCGCGCCGCTCGCTGCACGCGCTTCGTGATCTTGTCGTTCAGCTCCTCCTCGTGGAGAGCCTTACGATCCTGGAGAAAAGTTAAAGATGTAGATAACCGTGACGGGGGCCGACATTTTCTACCAGATACCTTTGACCAAGTGTTGACGTTACATTTTCAAAGAAGCTATTAAGTAAGTTATAAGCCTCACTGGGTCAGTCTACTGAGGAAGACCAGAGTGACTGGTTGAAAGCTCTAGGTGAGAGACCTTCTTTGTGTTGGATCCAAAGTCTTAACTTGAAACATTAAAGATGCAGATGATGCTTTAAGACATGCGACTTAAGGTCCTGTAGACATTGAACAGAACCTTCATCAAAGTGCTATGCTCCTCTTTGTGAAGAGCCATATGATCCTGGAGTGAAGTTAGAGATGATTCTTCAAGACATACATGTACAAGCAAAGGTCTTGTAGACATCAAAGTTTACACAACCTTAAAGGTTTAGAGTCCTACATTCCTGTAGCTTATGCCTCAAGACATGCGACTAAGAGCAGACATCAAACATAACTTTCACCACTCCTTTTTGTGGGAAGTTACAGATGTAGCTTATGCCTCAAGACATACTACCAGTCGTTGACAATGAAAATGAAGACCACCAAAGTGCTCAGCTCCTTTTTGTGAAGAGATCTACCTTCCTGTATAATTACTAGAAAAGGTACTGATGTAACTTTTGCTACAAGACATACATGGTATATAGCATTCCTTGCACCTAAGGAAGCCTTAAACATCTCACATCACCAAAATTGAGTTTGTCTAATTGGGTTTAAGCATTTTCATTCACTGACACTGTTGTCACCTGATTTTCAATCAATTATTTGATTGGGAAAACGCAGACATGCAACTTTACTAGACAGAAAGGTACCAGTGGTGCTTATAGAGTCCAATCATTGCAATTTTATTCGAGAAAATGTTACCTCAAATTCCTTGAGAGTCCTGCTTGGCATCTTGTCCCTGGTAACAAAGAGAAGGTCTTCACAAGAGTCTGTGGACTCTCCAAGCATTTCAGCCTGGGTTCTTCTGGTCTTGCGAGCTGAGAGAAGACAAAACTTCTGTTAAGAAAGTACTGAGACTACAAACACAAGTGGCTGAGTGTTTCATCAAATGCATGCATTCTGCAGGGCTATATTTCGGATTTGTATTTCGGAAAATGTATTAAAATGCTGTTGGATTATTTGTTAGTACTTTGCTCCAAAGAATTTCTTTTTCATCAGGAATTGTTTCAAAAGTTTGTACAATGGTTTTCTGACAAAAATGTAACTGAGATTCTTCAAAAGCAATGTGAGAATTACAGATATGAAATTACAGATATGAGACAGATATGAAAGTATCTCAGAGAGAAGAACTGTTGAACCATTGACAAACTTTTAAAACTGTTCCATCTAGTCCGATTAGAAACTGAATGTTATGTAATTACTATAAGATAGCATTGACATGCTGTAACAGTTTAATCTTTATGGGGAGGGGGGTTATCTGGGTGTATGAGCCCTGTAGTGCATGAATTTGCTCCTTCTATTGTCAGCTGGAAATGTTCCTTACTTGGAACTCGACCTCTGGATGACCTGCTAGGGGTAACCTCTGGTTCTGAGTCTGAAAACGGGTAAAAATGTAACAAAAAAAAGTTTTACTTTGTGTTCAACTTTCATGTTCTGACATACACAAAAGTCCTACCCAAAGAAACAAACAGAATTTTATGTTGATGTTGATCTTGTTGACTTGATGAGTTGGTTAGATGCTTGAACTCTGGTAAGAATATATATTTTACGTTATTAGTAAGAATTTTCTCAGTTAGCCTTATACAAACTAGAATTGGAAGGTTTGCTACCTTCTACTCCATACTATCATTCTATACCATAATACATGTACATTTGTATCTGTATCTTAAATCTGTACTAGGTGTTTTTATTGGAATCTGAATGACAGCACCCCCCTACCTGGCAGTGGGCCCTTCTGTTTCCTGTAGGTGACGAAGGGAAAGGTCTTGTCGAAGGAGTCAGGAGACGTGGAGACTGTCACCTGGTCTTTGTCATCTGTGGAGAGAGACAAGTCTACATGTATTCAGACTCTGACATTCAGGGCAGGTCCACAATGTTACAATCATTCTCCCTAGTTTGAACAAAAAGAGTACTTTATGTCATACCTGGGTCGCAATAACATAATACAGGAGTTCTAGCCCGTGTGATAACTAGCTGTATCACATGGGGTTATAACGGTTATCACATGGGCTTCCAAATCTTCCATAGAATACTTCAAACGCGTTTCACGTGTGCCGAGTGAGCCACTTTCAAAAATTCAAACACCAGAATCAGACAATGGAATTGATGTTGTTACAATTTCTTGTTTAGGGAAACAAATTTTTGGCACATTTCACATTGAAATGACTGTGTCTTCTTGGGTAGGTATGACATAAATAAAATACAACACGGTGTATTCCGCATCACCCTCGGTCCCAACCCTCCCACGGGTGATACAAAATACATTCTATTTGCTACTGAAACCTTCTTACAAACCAAACAAAAGAGAAAAGGAAGGTGGAATAAAAGAAAACTTGATGATTCATGGCAGCCACTCACACCATTCATAAACTCCTGGTTTTTAAGAAAACAAAAAGAAAAGAAAAAGAAAAGCAACCCCTCACCTACTACCTCCCCATTCACCCTTATTTCAGGTGAGGCCACACCTGTACTTGGCTTGATGTCTTTAGGCTCGCTCCTTCTCTTGCCCTTCTCCGCCTTCTTCTCTTTCTTGTCTGCCTTGACTTTCTTAGGTTTGCTTTCTTCAGGCGATGTGACTGCCGACATCTCCAATGTGTCACCTTTCGAGGTCTGAAATGTCAATAATAAGGCTCATTACACAGAGTTATATACTCTATACATCTATTATGATTCTAATTCCTGCTAAGAATTTTAAGGAGTTTAACTGTTTTCCATAACTCATGGTCGCCGTTATAAAAATAAATGACTATATTAGACACTGGCAAATACTTTGAAAACTTAAGACCAAATGGCATCATACAATTGTACAATAGAGATTACTAACACTTTATACAGTATACCGTACTGAAATTCTGAGAAAATATTGCATACTGAACTACCAAGTTCAACATACCCTTGACTTAGTCTTGCCAGGTGTGAGTGCCTTGAGTAGTCTGGATGCTGGAGACTCCTTTGGTGACTTTGTCTTCTCCTTCTTCTTATCTTTCTTCCCCTCTTGAGAACTGACACTTCCTTTACTGTCTCGACTTTCACTTCTCGGGCGAGAGTCCACTGAGTCTTTCGAGTCCTTACTTTCACTCCTTGGTCTAGAGACCTTTGATTTTGTGTCTAACAGTCTTTCTTTGCTGGTGGATTTTCTCAGTGCCTTGCCCTCTTTTCCTGCGAGTTTTGTCTTTGCACTATCAGTGGTGTCAAGAAGTTTTTCTTTGCTGGGAGATCTTTCCTTAAGAGGGGGTTTCTTTCCTTCGGCGAGTTTTTCTCGGCTGGCACTAGTCTTGGTTGGCCTGGGTTTGACAGGAGCTGTGCTACCGTTCTCTCTACTCAGTCTTCTACCGACCGCATCCTGGCTTTCTTTGGCGGCGGTTTTTGCTAGTTTGGAACCTGTTGACGGTCTGCTCTTTACTTCAGCCTTTGGCACAGTTTTCTTGGCAGCGCTCGGACCCATGGGAGGTTTACTGGCGGCCGGAGAGACAAGAGGATCACTAGACGTCGGAGACGTCTTGGTACTTGGCTTCTTCTCCTTCCCTCTTAGCGGTAACCTAAAGCCAGTCTTCTTCTCAGTCTTGGCCTTCTCTTCTGATTGAGGTGTTTTGCCACCCTCTCTGGAACTAGCACTACTTGTGGATACCTTTCTACCGGACTGTGCCTTGCTAATTTTCGTATCCCTATCTTTTGATGTTTCGCCTAAAGAACTAATACTTTCCGAGGAAGATTTCCTACTTGAGAGACTTTCCGAGGATGCGAGTCTAGCTCTTCCTACGATTTCCTCAGAAGGCAGTTTGCGTGTGGTCTTTTCTGGTTTGCTGGGAGTAGGTTTGGCCTCTTCTTTCTTTGCTTTTGTGACACCGTCTTTCTTTATTCTTGTGTCAACCTTGCTGGCCATCTCTGAGAGTCTAGCCCGGCCAGGTTTGACGTCGCTTGTTCTTCTTGTTTTATCTTCTTTTCGTTCTGTAGGTTTAGTTTCAGCTGGCTTCTCGTCTACTTTGTACTTTGCTTGCCGTTCTGCTGCAGCTTCCTTTGGTGACTTCTTGGACTGCAGTTTGGTCAGCAGCATCTCGCCATCCATCTTGAGTTTCTCAAGGTTTTGTCGAATGGTTTGCGCCTTCTCCAACGCAGTCGCCACTTTCTTCTTGGATTCATCTGCCGGCTCGGTTTGAGGCCTTGGAGGAAGTGGCCTGCTGACTTTAACCGGTGATGCTCCGACGTCCTTCGGGAGGGTCGGTAGCGGTCTTCTTGGCTTCTGCGTCGTAGGAGGCGTGTAGAACTCTTCACGTGAGTCGTTAAACCCTTTTGCGACCTCGATTTCGATCTCGCCATCATCGACAAATGGAATGTCTTCGATGCTGCCACTGTCCACAGACAGTTGAGTCGACTTCTCGACCTTCGCTCCAGTGGAAGTCCTGTCGTACACATGCTTCTGTTCCGCTGCAGTCGGCGACCGTAGGTAGGACAGCTCCTTTCCATACGGCGTCGAGGGTGGTGTAACCATAGGCAAGTCACTGGACGTACTTTCCAGTCTGTTCCCCTTGGCTCCCTTTGTTGGTGAGTCCATGAGAGAATCATGTATCTCCTGAAACCCTTTCTCCAGCTCTTTGTTCATGCTGTCAACTTTGTTAGATTCAGCTGCTTCTCTTTCCTCCTTCAACACAGGAAGTGGTTCCATCTCCATCTCTACAGAGGAGGTTGGTGATGAAGCTAACGACTGACTGGGTGTAGAGATAGTGAAGTCCGATTCCGACCTAGGTAGGGACCGCACCCTACTTTCTCTGTCCTTCAGGGGTTCGAGTTTGCGTTTGACTTCTTTGACTTCTTCCTCTGTCTCCATCTGCGAGAGCTGCCGCTCGTAGGTTTTCACCATTTCATCTTCGTTGTCGTCCAGAACGGAGATGGGCCGTTGGTCCAACATGTCCTCTATTCTCTTTATGTCCATGGGCGACTCAACTGGAGATGGGAGGGGGGAAGGAGACGAAACTGGAGATGCAGCAGGAGAAGGAAGAGGGGAGGGGGAGGGGATAGGAGAGGGTTCGGCTGCAAGTTTCCTCAACTTGTCTTCATACCTCTCCAGTTCCTCATCTTCCTTCTCTTCATTTTCGTTCTCCATTCTTGCGAGTCTTTCTTCATACATTTGGATGTCGTCTTCCGCAGAGTCTGTTAACTCCAGAACAATGGGCTTCTTCTTCCTGTACTCCTTCGAAGGAGAAACAACTTCTTGTTCTTCCTGTGGCCCTTCTTCTTCTCTCCTGGCGAGAGCTTCTTCATATGTCCTGACCAGGTCATCCTTCTCTTCTTGAGGTGGGGGTGGCGTGGTTTGAACTCTTGGGCTCTTGTTGTCCTTTCTTAGTCTATTCCTTCTGGCAGTTCTTGGGCTCTTCTTTGTCTCTGGTGTCTTTTTCTTGCGAAGGTTCTCGACAGAGTCTGCATGCACCAGCTTGCCTTCTTCCAGACCCTCTTCTTCAGAGGATGTTTCTGAGAGATACTCAACACCATGAACCTCAGTAGGGACTACTTCTACATAATCATTTGATTCACCTGTTTCAACTCCTTTCAGATTCAACTTGAGTTCCCTGTCTGTGTATGGATACCTCCTCTGGGGTGACCCACCGTCCACCCAGTCATTTGACTCACCCTGTTCTACCCCTAAAATATCCATCCTTGGCTCATTAGCATACAGCCTTCTTGCTCCATGTGCCTCTCCCTCACTGACATAATTCCTGCTGGCATCCTCCGAGGGTCTCGTGGGGGTTGCGGGTTCACTGTCAAAATGAGAAAACTTCTCCCCCATCAGAGCCAGAGCTTTCAGTCCGCGGGAGCGCTGTGGCATCTGACCGTCCGGGGTGAGATATTTCTTCGCATCGAATGACCCCTCAAGATCTGCACGTTTTGGATGTTCAGGTGTTCTGACGATTTCCTCGTGTTCTGGTACGGTTGGTCGTTCTGGGGATGGCGTGGATGGTTCCGAGACCTGCTGCTCCTCTACGTCCTCTGCTGACTCCTCGTCAGATAGTTCAAGTTTGTCCTGACATACAAGAAAGTGTATTAAGGATTATGCATATCTACAAACCATTGTCCACATCCACTGCAAATTCTACTTACCGGTGCAAGGCTGAATGTTTCAGTTTTAAGAAGCAATTTTGTCTTTGCTGGCTCAAATCACATCCAAATTAAAGTTTTGTTCTAGAATTTGCAGCAGACATAGAACTTAGGGAAAGATGCAGCTACATGTAGGTTAAACATTGATTTTGTTGATTTGTGGTGAGGGAGGGAGGGAGATTTGGAAAAATCAGCAGTTTTGTCATCAGAACTTTGGTGGTATGGACTCCTAGTCTGGAATGATGAGTAAGAATGTTCTAAAAGTGATCTGACTACTTGGGGAATAATCACAGATACGAAGCATGCATTTCAAGGCCTGCCATTCTGCAATACACCATTCCCGTATCTGAATTTCAACATCAAAACATTTTTTATTGTTCCAATGTGTAATGACAAGACATGGTGACGGCACACTCAAGTTTTCAACTTATACCGCCACCAACGCAGAGGACAATACTCATTTTCACCAGAGTGAAGTGAGGAAAGTCATGTAAAGCGCCTTTCACAAGGGCACAAGATCGGTAGCATGGCAGGATGCAAACCCAGGACCTCTTGGTTACAAGCAGAGCACTCTGCCTTAACACCACAAGACCCCACTAAAACTTCAGACCTGAGAAGTCTATCAGTTTGCAAAAACTTTCTGAGGAAACAGCCTTTTTTTTTTCACAACATAGAGAATGGTGTATCACATAAGTTTGAGGCTACCACTGCCTGATTAGTTGATTTGTTGCTGCATATCTCATCTGGCCCTTACCCATCAATTGGCATGGCTTGAACCTTAAAGCCCACAGGTTAAGTAGTTGTTAATGACAGCACCATAACCAATTGAAGATAAGGGCCACAAGATGAGTTGTCTTCCCTTTATACACCACATGCACAGTACAACATCGCTGCGAGTCCATACCTTACCAAACAGCCTCCTATACAAGTCCTCGGAATTGCATTCAATGTTCACTTTCTCCGAGTTTCTAGGGCCTGTTGCCGAGGTTGTTGGGTCATACTCGAAGATGGACCTCAGCAGGTTCTAGTTCAGATAAAATAAGACTACCAGTTTCACTACAGTCTACTCAGCTACCACAGCAAGCAGTACAGCAAACCTGCGATTTTATATAGGATGTTTTTCTGATGTATTTTTTATGTGATGGTGGAGATGTCGTGGGATGTACAATGTCATGTACATGTATTGTAGTGAAGTGAAGGCTCATAACAGTTGAGAGAAAATAGATGCACAATACATATATCAAGTGTTTGTGAGTTTGCCCCCAGTGTTTGTTATGACCTGCTAAATCGACATTTAGATGAAGTTTTGGACACAGTTTGTCCTTCAAGTAAAGGCTGTTTTGGAACAATATTATGCAGATCTTTCTTTACATACAAACTAATTTTGACATCTGGGGACAACCTGCACTAGAACATTCAAAAGAGTGTCTGACAGTCAGCATCTGTGCACATATTACTGTTACTGTTTCTTATAAGCTACAATTGCAGATGAAGCAAGCCTACTGTTTCCTCTTCTGCAAGTAACCATTGTAAATAGAGCCCTAACAACATGGCCTAATCCTGTACAGTTGACAACTATGCTTGAACAGAATTGTTATTGACAATACAAAACTAGCAAATTTCAAAGCAAGGTCTGGTATTTGTCAATGCTCTCTACAAAGCATGGATCAAGACAGTGTACACAGTCATGTAAGCAACAACATTCCTTAGAAGAAGTTTAAGCTACCTGAAAGCAGGAACTGTTGAAAAGAGAAGCACAAGAAATGTCAGACATGCATAACTAAAGCATCTCAGTCATTAGAAACATCAGAAAGTTTGTGTGATGAAGAAAAAGATAATTTTGTGACAGATCTTTCATCCTGAAGTCTGATCTTTAGAGACAGTCTCACAGAATCATATCCAATGATGATGTCTTGAACAGACAATGATGGCATTCTACTTGTCAATCATTTATCTATGACATTTCCCATTGGCTAAGATCAATTCAGGATGAAAGATGACAGTTTGAAGATGTAAGGTGTGTGTAGGGGTCTGTTGTGTATGTGTTCACCAGCTTCTTTGCTGCAGACAATTGGTCAAAAGAATCAGACCAAACAAATTCACTGAGAGTAACTTTTCACAATATAGACAATTACTGAGAGTAGATCACATAATCCACACTAAGTCTTGTTCTTTGCATTTGAATATAACACTGGCCATGTTGGATCTCATTAAAAAATGGTTGACAACAGGACTTGGTGTTGTTTTAATAGTAAATGCTGGGTTTGTTTCAAATTACAGAGTAGTGACCAAAAGAGTCTGCAGCATGTCTGTTTGTGAGAGTGACATTGTGTTGTGTTGTTTGTTTGTTTGTTTTGTTGTTGTTTTGGGGTGGTCCCAAGACCTACCTCGCGGGAGTTCTTCAGTCTCTGGTGCTCCTGCTGCCACTTTACTTCCTCCTTCTTCTCTTCCCTCTTCCTGCCCAGTTTGGGGCTTCTGACTCTCTTGGGGCTGGTTTTGGGGCTGCTGGCCATTTTGGGGCTCCCAGGGGGCTCCTGCCTTACAGCGTAACCTTCTTCCTCATCAATCTTCAGGAAGGCACCGATGGGACTCTTCATTTTCTTTTGGTCCTGAAAATACGCAATGTTTTGAGAACGTGCCCACACGAGGTACAAAAAGATAACAAAACAAAACTTAATTTCTGAGATGCACTGAGATGAAATGTTAAATGACAATGCATGACACCACTTTTCCATCTGCAATACAGGCTTGCTGTTATCATGAAAGTTCATCTGTGTTGGTAGTTACATTGTTTAGAGTTAAAAATTTTGTTCCAACACCATGCCATCAGATTGTTCTCATCTAGAGCTTTCCACCTGTTAATCTGATCTTCTACTAGTTCTAGAGCTTTCGACCAGTCATTCTGATCTTCTTCAATAGACCAGGGTGACTGACTGGTCAAAAGCTCTAGGTGAGAACAATCCTTTGTGTTGGAACAAAAGTTTAAACTCTACAGTTTGTTGCTATTAGTTCTCAATGACATTCCACAATTCAACCACAGTAACAATGGCTGTCGCCATTCCTTTTGGTTAAAATCACATCCCTAATGCAGTGATGCAAGTCTTCACCTTTGACCCTTTGCTTCAAATCCTTCACCATGCCATCAGACCTTTGACCCCTTGTGAACTTCACACAACACTATTCACCTTTGAACCCTGACCCCCACAAAAAAACCAAGCCTTTAACCTTTGACCAGAGGTGTGAAATCACCATGCCATGACCAGAGCACCCCAGGGCAACCACACATTTCACAAGACACCATGCTTCTTCCACCATGGAGCGTGGGGAGGGGGGCTTTTCCGTCATACCTTCCCGCCAAACAACTTGGAGTACAAGTCAGTGGGTTTTTCGGGTGTCTTTTCTTCGTTAGGACTGAGGGGCTCGTTTTCAGGACCAGTTAGCGTTATTTTGGGCCTGTCTCTGCTGAGTTCAGCTGGAGGAGGTGACTGTGGGGGGGTACTGAGGACCCACCTGGCAGTGCTAGTATATCTCTAAAGAACAAAACAAAACCACAGAATCTGACACACTTGGATAAAAACAAAAAAAAGGAGAATCAAACCAAACCCCAAAGACTTCTTCACAATGTGGGAAAATGCTGGAGAAATTATACTCAAGTTGGGAACTCCGCTTTAAAGATAACAGACTCTGAGGTTGTTGCCATTGTTACTACCGGTATCATTCATAACAAACAATACAAAATATCGACAAATGACAAAGCAAACTGTTTGATTGATTTATCTAGATTGTTATTAATAATAAGTTGAAGCAGAGAGGCATTTATGGAAGAATATTGATTTTCTGGTCTCCATTGCAATGCTACATTTCTATTTACTTAATACAATGTATGTAATACTATGTATTTGTTACCTTTTTTAAAGTGTGAATAAAACAACTGAAGAAATAATGTATAAAAGGTCATTGACAAGGTCATATATCATGACCTTTGCCCTACCTGGACCTCGTCAGCCTGAGGTTGCTGCCAGTCCAGCACCTCCCCTTCACTCACATCACTCAGCTGGTCCTCTTCATCTTCATCTTCCTCTTCTTCTGAGGATTCTGCAGGGGAGGAAAAGACAGGTTGCTATCAATGAACTATCTCAACATCTGCTTCCGATTACAAAATGTTACAAATAAAAGTTAAGAGATTAAGTGCATAAGCTATGATCAAATGCAGAATATTATAGTTGATACATTATTTTGGGGTCCTTGTTTCTGGAGATCAAATCAATCATACAGTGGTGCACATACAACAGAACTATACATGTCATGTACTGTCTCTTGATTCTGAAACTCAGCATGAATAGCATCACCTAGGGCCTAAGTACATGTATGGCTGTGCAGTGGCAATGGCACAAGTTGTATTATATCAACAGGAACAGTTCAAATGGTTAGTAGATAAGAGGATGGGAAACCATGCATGTACATGTATATCAACTGCTAGAAAGACTCATCTTCAACTACTGGTAAAATGCATTTACCGAATGCATGTACTACCAAAGAGAGAATTCAAAGTAAAATTTCACTACATAACTGTATACTTATGAGTTGTAAGTAATGTTCAAACCTCCTTCTTCTTCCTCAGAGCCCTCTTCTTCCTCCTCCTCCTCCTCCTCTTCTTCCTCATCTTCTTCTTCTTCCTCATCTTCAGATGCTGCGGCTCCTCCTACAGCACCCTGAGGTTTTTCTACAAACAACGAAACTCCGTCAACAACTGTACCAGGAGTCCATGTTTGGTTAGTCAACTGGAATACATGTAATACCTTTTCTTGATGCATGCAACACTTAGATGGGTATTTGGTATGGAAAGTTGAAAAATAGTTTGTTACTTTCTTGTGAATTTGCTTTCTGTCAAATGTTCTTGATATGCTACCATCCACAAAAGTTCTAAACAAGACAGTTACACACAATACTAGTCTTTGTTTGAACTGTAAGTAAGACATTCAAACAATCATTCGTGCAGTTTGTACAAATAAAAAAAAAACAATAGTCATACACCATCATAGAGCCTGAAAGGTAAGACCAACTCATGCACACAAAAAGTGCAAAATGATGATATTGGAAAGCCTATGACACATTAATATACAACGTGCAAGAACACCAAGTCTTGTGCATGTAATCATTAAAGAAAAAAAGGAAGGACAATAACAATACAACTTAAGAAGTTCACACAAATTACACTTGGCACAAGCAAATGCAAAATAATGTATATATACTACAGAACAGGTGAAGGTTCAAAGTTCAGAGGTTGACAATCACAAGACATTGACACCAACACTCCAAGACTGTGAAGCTCACAAGACACGGCTAAGGAATACCTGGGAGGTAAGGAAAATCTACCACCCTCCACAGGAGTTCTGAAGGGCGTGTCTCCACAGGACTGATGTCATCCTCATCACTGGACTCATGCTCTTCAGGACAGGAGAGAGGGAGAGAACGGACAGAAGGAAAGACAGCAAGAGGAGAGAGATACAGTCTGTCAGATTGATAGAATGCTTGTCATTGTGACTGCCTAAATTTAGATAATATAAAAAAATATGTCATGCATACCGGTACAATAAGTACTGGCAACAACTACACAATTCTTTTCAGAAAATTGTAAAACCACCAAATTTGCATGCCCATGCACATCAAGCACAAAGATTATGTATCACAAACTCATCTGCACCACAAAACACTATACACTGTAGTCACAAGACCTTCCATCATGCAACAATTATCAAATAGTATTCTAACCGGTAAAGAAATCTATAAAAAAAAAAGAGATCACTATGCAAGGCATACACTGTAATAAAAAATCTGTGGATTTTAAAAGCTACTGAATGCTAGAAAATTAACCCTTCAAGCAGCCATTTATTTTCAGGACCAAAAAAGCCACCATACTATGTCACAATGTATATATAATATATCAGATCTACTCAGGCATGCTGTAGAAACAATTTGACTTGTACCCAAATTTCTAAAGACATGGCCACTTTTCCATAAAGAACTGAATGGCTTGCTTGTAATACAGCTGATTTACTGCATTGAGCTTTAACATTGCAGCAATTAACACCTAACCAAACACCACATTGTGTAGCTTACATGTAAGTATGTAATTCAGGAATCAATCTACATAGACCACAAGCTGCTTTCTTGACTCTGAGCATCTTTTAACACATCCAAATACGTAGAATGATGCTTTAAAGCATTCAGATTTAACCTTTACCTAACCTGTACCTGATACCTAACCTGTAACCAATATTGAATTGGTCATATACAGAGCCAAACAACTACTTCAGTGCACTACAGGTTAAACATCACAGCTACTGTAAGTCCACCCAAACACGCCAGACAGACTACCTTCTTCTGTAGTGGAAATGTGCAGAGGTTCCTGCCACTGGGGCGGACCTTCATCCTCAGAGGACTCATACACTTCCTCCTGCGGGGGTGCTTCAAACAGGACACAGACAGGACAGTTACAGACACAAACAGGACAGGCACACACAAACAGGAGAAAAATGTTACAAAGAATAGTTACAACACTATAGGATAAAGACTTGGTTTAGAATAGCCTTATTGTAAATGGAAAACAGCCCCAATTCTAGCACTGTAATGTGTTGAAATTCTCATTAAAGTTAGGTACCCCGGAAGATGATGACTAGTGCTGTGTTCAAGAGAAACATGAAAAAATAAAATGAGACAATCTACTCAAATACATGAAATACGGTACATCCATTTTGAGCCAATAGACTCTGAATCTGAGATAGCTTTGTACAGAGAAAACACACTAGGTAATAGAGTCTGTACAAGGAAACAGACATGAGTATATGTAGGAAATCATTAAAGGGATAGGAAGCAACTACTTCTGTTTTGAAGCTACCGTAGGACGGTATATAGCCCTCATAATGATTTACCTGCCAGGTAAAATATACCCACCACTTTGAAAAAAAGGTGTCTTAAAAAATCTCTAAAATGAAACACCTCTAAGTATGCACACTTTCAACATGCAGGAGTATATATACTGGGGGATGTTATGTTGGAGATCTGTTTCAGAACATTTTTTTCAATTTGAAAGTGCATGTAGTAGAATAAGCATAACCTGGCAAATGCATGGAAAATGTATAAGTGAGATGTTTTTGGCAACATTTCATGCAACAGTTAGTCGGGAGGTACCTCTATTTTCTGGGGAGACTGGTAACAGATGCCAGTTTAGATCAGCGCCTGATTCTATAGGGACCAGTTTCCCCAGACTGTCTGACTTTCCTGATTCAGCTAGGAGAAATACAGCACACACACATTCTAAACAGCAAGTCAGCACACAGCAACAAAAGGGATAGACATAGAGTTAGCACAGAGGGAAGAGACATAGATTTAGTACAGAGCAGAGCTCAAAATACTGGGTGCATGTGCACCCAAAATTGGATTTGGAGCTGTGCACCCAATTTTTTTCAAACTTCAAATATTTTTGTAGGTATTTCTGTATATATGATTTGTATATATCAAACTATAATAGTATGCAGGATATTCTTGGCATCTAAGTGTCAGAAAAATAATAAAAACTTTGTTGTAGTACTTGTTTGAGATTTTGAAGTTAGCTCCCATTTCAGATTCAAGCTCAGAAGAGGAGCAGTAATGATCTGTAATTAGGTTTTGTTTTATATGGTGGACCCAAACAACTTTTTGTGCACTAATTTTTTTATGTTGGACGCACCAGTGCACCTATCCCCAAAAATGAATTTCGAGCCCTGGTACAGAGGGAGGGGAAATAGTACTGTACAGCAGACATACATGTATCACTAGGACAGTGCATCAGTGTTAAAGGCAATGAAGATACAGTAGACTTACAAAATGTAATACATAGAACAGAGCATCAACAGAGCATGAGGGGGGAGGGGGGCACACACAGACATACCAAATAGCAAGTCAGGACATAGGAAAGCAAAAGGAAAAGAATACAGAAATAGAAAACTTAGAATCTAGATCTAAGACAACAGAGAGGATTGAATTAGGTTTTTTAAAACTATGCATCAGCCAAAAATATGAAGATTATTCCACGGCAAGGCAGAGAATTTGTAACTCAGAAGATCTAATATGTGATTGTAACCTTTGAGTCATGCTAAATGACACTCTCAAAACTACATGGTTGTACAAAGGGTCAACACAGGGTAATGGGGATCATATATTTAGTCATTACAGTCATGTATATCAAATACAACAGTGTTAATAAGACAGTTTGACAACAAACTATTTATGGGAAAGCACCTGTCCCACTGCTTAAAATATCAGTTACAATGAAGTATGTCAAAAATGATTCCATCACCATATATTTATTTTATGTAAGTTTGGATTAAGAGCTGTTTTGGTAAAGAATAAACCAGGATATAAGTCACAAAGTACATAATGTTTTACACTAAATTGGCAAACAAAGGGATGGGCACAATATGGTTTGAAAGGGGTTGTATTGTACTGCTTTTCTTTGCCAGAACAGCTCATTTTTTATTAGTTTCCCAGTAATTTCCAACACCAAGAAGAATTTTGACATTAAGTAGTTTGGATTTAACTATCTACATGTTAGGAACCGACACCCATGTCACCAGAACTACCTTCCAAATCACTCCCGCTGTCATATTCCGAGTCAGACGAGCGGGTACGGTATGGCGACGGTTCGAGCCAGACCAGATCCTCAACGTTTTCGATAGGAACGCACTGGGACAGGCGGTTTAGCCTTCTCCGTGCTACACACAGAACGACACAGTTTGACGTACAGACAAGTCCTCTCATCAACTGTACTTTGGGAGTTCTAACTTCAGCCATTTTTTGCATAATGCAATCAATCTTGTACTTACACCTCTCAGTGTTCGAAATACCCGTCTGCAGTCTGCAATTTGCAGATAGATTTTTAAGATTGCAGAAGAAAAAATCTTACAATCTGCAATTTTGCAGAAGGAAAAAATAGGCTCCGGATTCAATAGTTTTCAATTAGCAAAGCAGTGGCGCTGTGAATAGATCGAAAACCTGCGCCGCACGAACCTGCCGGCGTTTTTCAGCAGACTGTAATGGTCCCATATAAGGGAATTTGGGGTCAAAGTTGAACGATTTCGACAAGGCGACGAAAGGCGACGATAACCAAATATGGGCACTCGCCATTTTCCGATGTTAGATTTCGTCTCCCGGGAGGACCCGACAACTGCCTCGTGAATTTTCGGCAGTTTTCGCTGAGCATTTCCCAGCAGGCAACACGGCAAAGGAAACATGGCTCCTCCGAAAAACCATATTGTTGCAAAATGAGAGAGACGGAGACTAAGGTAAACTTCTTTTATTTGAAGGCTGGATTTTCATTTTCCTGGCAGGCTTCTTTGTATGTAGTGATCATCAGTTATTCAGTAACAACAAATATGGATTTTTGTTCCGGTCAAAAAAACCGGTCCACCGACGTTTCGTTTTTTTGGACCGGACCGATAAAGTTTTACGGTCCGAACATATTTAAAAGATTGATATTTTGAAGAATTTCAGTAATGCTACAGATTTACAAAGCTATAACTATTACCGTTAACGTTATATATATATGATGTAAGAATAGGCATTATTGGTTTCAGAAGGTTGTAATATGGGGGCTTGTGTAGTTGCAGAAAGTGTTTCCAAATTGCAGGACGAAATTTTGACTCTTCTGCAATATTGCAGAGCACTGAAAAAAAGTATTTCGACCACTGCCTCTGCAAAAGGACTGTGTAGTGCCATTTTTGATGGTCCCTTAGATTATTTTTTTGGCCATTGACTCCTGTATTAAGAATCATGTCTATAGTGACCACCTGGTCATAGTCAGTCCAAATCCCTTCAGTGGTTACTTAAGACAAATTTGACTGTATACAAGGATGACTGTTACTGCAAAATGTCATAATACTGTCATTAGAACTCCAAAAGATCAGTTGTACTGTGAGGACTGAAACACAGTGAAACACCACACCTTTACAACATACATGTGGACAATACAAGGTGGAGATGACATTGTAACACATTGATATGCCCAACTACAACACCTTAACAACAAAGGAAGAGGAGAGAGTGTTATACCAAGGGAGACTGGACAGTTGTTTGCGGTGCAACAAAGAGTGGAAAATGTGTTACTTGACTGCGTACCAGGTACTTCCAGTAAGCAACTTTGAATTCTCCATGCAGTTTCCTCAACTACATTTTTCCAAAAGCAAGCTTCTATCCACAACTAATGTGTAACTGTTACAGTTAATTCTAAACCTACAGCAAAACATGCCAAGCTCTAAAGTATGTGTGCACCAATAGTGCTTTGCAATGCCCACAAGCTTGTTTAGAAACTTTCCAGCAAGGCAAGGGTATAGAGTCACTAAAGTTCAAAAAACCTTCCAGAGGTTTCAAATTCAGCTACAATTTACTTGCAGACTACAATGTACATGTATATGTCAGCAGGCCAGCAGAAAACATAGCATAAGCATCATGAACTTTTTGACCTTGTCAAAAAAAATGCAACAAAGTTGATTGCACATAGACATAACAGTACTTCAAGTTCACCCGTGCACAAAAAGGTACCGGAAATTCAGCATGCAAACAGACTAGAAAAAGCTCACCAAACACAGCATACCATACAGTTAAAGAGACTCATTTTTAACAAAACAATTGATTTTCAACAATTAAACTCAGCAATCGTGTGAAATCTGTTGAGTTACTTTAACAGCAGTACTGTTATAATATCAGTACTGGCTTCAGACAGTTTCATCATTTTATATGTGAAAAAAACAGTCATCTATTCACCTGCATCCAGAGAAGGGTCTTTACTGTCCATGTGTAGGAGGTTGGACTTCCCTAGTGAGGCAGCGTTCTCCACCTTCTTAGCCCAGGACATCACATCCATGGGAGACTCCTCTTCAAAATCCATCTCATCTGATGAGCTAAAAAAAAACACAAACACAAGAAACGGCCTCAAAACACAGAACATTTTTGCAACAAAAATGAATATCCCGAATATCAATTTTAAATAATACTGTGACCATTAACGCTCATGTACTCAAGCATAGTTCTTCAAAAATTATGTCCGTGTTACTGCATATTTTGTTGTGTGACATTTCAGATTTCCCTCTGTGGTACCATCTAGCAGTGCCACCTGGCAGAGATAGAAGGTGTTGCATCAAGGTCATCCAAACACAAGAGAAAAGACTAATATTAGTATTCAACACATCCTGCAAACCAGATCTGTGGTGCCATCTAGCAGTGCCATCTGGCAAGAGATGGGGGTACTGCAGTCTGTTTAGACTGATGATATCAACACCTACTGTTGATCAGACTTACCTGGAGCTCTCGTAGTCTTCCTCGTCCTCCAGCCCGACAGTCTGGATGAGGTTGTGTTCCGTTAGCGTCTCCTCCGGGATCAGACCCTGCGTCTCGTAGATCGTCTTCCTGTAGTTCTCCAGTTCCACGCGCTCAGGGGTGGCACGGTAACGCTTCTGTACAGGCTCTGTAGTCACACCAATAAAAAAAAAGAACCTCAGTCTAACTACAGCTTATGTTTAAAAGTGCAGCATAAAATGAAAAGTATTTTCTTTATCTTAAGAACTGCTACATGTCTGTCACAGGTATTGTAATATCCCAAGATTTGTACATTATTTAGTTGTTTACGTACGTCCAGAAGGTGGACTGAGTAGTTTGTCCTCCAGACTGGCTCTTCTGGCTGGCTCCTCAACCTCTGCTGGGATGTTCTCCTGGGGGAGATCAGGGAAAATACATGGTCACATCGGCTTGATATATCTATATGTCTGTGTTTGTACAAGTAGTATTGTTGGGCAGACCTATCCTTGGTGCTGAACACAACATGCACACAGTTAGACCTGTCCTTGGTGCTGAACATAACATGTATACAGTTAGACCTGTCCTTGGTGCTGAACACAACATGCATACAGTTAGACCTGTCCTTGATGCTGAACACAACATGCATACAGTTAGACCTGTCCTTGGTGCTGAATGTAACATGCATACAGTTAGACCTGTCCTTGGTGCTGAACACAACATGCATACAGTTAGACCTGTCCTTGATGCTGAACACAACATGCATACAGTTAGACCTGTCCTTGGTGCTGAATGTAACATGCATAGTTAGACCTGTCCTTGGTGCTGAATGTAACATTGTATATAACCATACATACAATCAAACCTGTCCTTGGTGCTGAAAACAACATCCATACAATCAGACAACTACCATTTTAACTTGTATTTTTTTAAACAGTCCAAAAACTCCTATTCGTAGGCTTACAGATAAAGTAGACAGTTCCTCTTATGTCTGGCATTAGATTGTTAAGTATAATGTTTTCACATTTGACATTTCCCATTCCTATTTATGCCATAACGAAACTTTTATTTTGTTTGTACCTTTTCTTCTTCATCCTCGTCATCATCTCCTGCTGGCCGTTTTCTCTTCTGCATCCTGAAGTGAGGTCTGCAGTAGAATGTACCTAAAACATAGTGCAAATAGCTATTCACATGAAAGTTCATCTGTGATGCTAAGCAACATTATGAAGATTTAGAATGCTGTGACTGTACAAGCGTTCAGATACGTCACTTAGACTTTGGTCATTGCAACTTGCAAAGGACCAGAGAACTGGTCAAAAGCTTTCAAGTTTATTTATTTGCTTGTTTTTAAGCATTCTAAATCTTCATAATGTAAGTATCTAAGTCTCTTCAAATTTAGAAAAACATTGTGAAGTGCAGTTGTGGATTAATCGATCGAAAAGCAAGCTCAAAACAAATCACTCCTCTACTTCAGTGTTACACTGCAATGCACAAAGTTGATTAAATCATCAATGTCAAGATTGGCAACCAATCACTGATCAGCTTGCACAATCTCATAGCTTGGATCTTTTGATTGACACACATGGCAGGCCAACTAAATGCTTCACACAAGCAACTGGAATTTCTGCAAATGACTTGGTTGTTAACCTTCAGCACCCAAACTTCCTGGTGTACCTGTGCAGCACCCTTAGAGTGCTGAAGGTTAACCAATTGTCAGCAGCAATATAGCAGTGTGAAGAGGTGAAAGCTGTGCACTGTGCAAAATTAGGGTTCATACAGTCTGAAATGACTGGTATTTTCTCCAAATTGATCAGCAAGAAAACAAAATTTAATGAAAATTTGAAAAAAAAGTACAAATATTGATAACAGTGGTCATAACTATGTACATTGTACTTATGATGTTATGTACTTATGATAATATGTAATATATGATGTTACTAATGATGATTATATATACTTCTTGTAAATGTCAAAAAGCCCGTAACATCAAGTAACAATTGAAAGAGATTTTCTTTAATGTCTCATGGCAAAATTTTAAATTGTAGAATGGTAAATTATTGCAGAATGGTAGATTATCATGGTAGATCATCATGACAATTGTTTCAAAACTTTGTGACCTCTCAGGCCATCCCATTTCATATTTTTTAAAGCATGAAAATCAATGAAAAAGGTCATGTTTTCCAGTTTCCATGTCAAACCTGTATGAACCTTTTTAAAGTGACAACAGAGAATCATCAGTGCAGTGGAGTGAGGCAGTAAAAAAGTGCACTTTATTCACACAAGCTTTAGACACTCCCAACCAACTAACCTTTTTTACCCTTATCACCGTCATTATTATCTGCGCAAAAAAAAGGAACCAGGGAACAAAATGAAACAATGAAGACTTAAAAACAGGACTGACAGAGCAAGGATGCATACATGCAATAAATAATGCACACAAAATGTCTTTAAAAGATATGTAGATTTTTTTTTCTCCAAGCAGATGTTGGGGTGTACGATTGTAAAGTTTCTGACTAGCTGGCTTTTCTGAAAGTCACTATTCCCTGACAGAACTTTACTGTCCATCATAACATCAGCTTGGAAATTAAACAAAGACTAACTCTTACAGTAATCAACCATGTAGGAATGAAATGAAATACTAGTTTCAAATGTATGTGTACATTCAAACAACTGTATTTCATGGGTATGTTATAGAAAACTGTCATTCGCTCACTCACTCATTCACTCGCCTCACCCACTCACTCACTTACCTACTTATTCACTCACCTCACTCACCTCACTCACTCACTCACTCACTCACTCACTCACTCACTCACTCACTCACTCACTCACTCACTCACTCACTCACTCACTCACTCACTCACTCACTCACTCACTCACTCACATGTGTACCTTTAAAAGAAGGTGTAGCTACACAAAATAAGTTTGTTTTTTTCCTACCTTTCCCGTTGACTCCCTCGCCGGCTGCGAATGCGTAGTTCCCCAGACGGAGGATACAGCCGCAGTAGTCACACTTGAAGCAGCTGCGGTGGAAGAACAGCCCCTCTGCGCTCAGTCGCTCCATCACGTACACACGCTTGTCGCAGAAGAAACACCAGTCACTTGCAGCCTGAAGACTTATGAACCCACGCGATTTCTGGGGGA